ACGTATGTTTTTTTTTTCTTGTTCCATCAGAATTTTCCCCCTCCGCCGGGGTGCCTCTCGGGAGTTGCAAAGGAAAAGATGAAAGAAACATCGACACGAGACCTGGGAACTCTCGAGAGCATTCCTTTCCCCCTTCTTCTCTTCAATGGCGCCCGTCTTGCTAACCTCCCTCTCAGACACAAAGGAGCGCCCCTTCAAGTGCATGAAGTGCAGAAGCACCTTTGTGCGCCGCGACCTCCTGCTTAGACATGATCGCACAGTCCACGCCAAGGATGGCGGCGTCCCCCTTCACAGCGACGGTAAGCGTCGCGCTGGACTAAAGACTCGAGCCATCGGCGGGCCCGCCAAGTCGTCAATCGCCCTCGACACGTCCACCCTGGAGCAGATGGAGGCCGGCGGCGACGGCATTTTCGACGTGGAAGCCGCCGCCATGCTCGTTGCGGACTTGCACAACAAGGCCACTGCTGCCATGCGCGGAGACGATGGATCCTATGAGGACGGCGCATCCATGGCCTTCTCTCCGCGAAGCTCCACCGTCATGGAGCCCGCCGTCACGTACCCGTCCGGCGCCATCGCCCTCCCCCAGGTCCAGTGGGACAATTTCATGGCAGAGCCCAAGCCGCACTCCATCACCTCGAGCGCCTCTGGCTCTTTCGAGTCGTCGAGACTGCAGCACCATGCAGGCCAGCTGCCTCCCTTCACCAGTCGAAACACCAATGGCCTCGTGCCCGCTCTCCAGTCCATGATGAACTCCCTTCCAGCCCCTGGCTCAGAGGTTCCGGGCCCTCAGTCGCCCGCCGCAGTCGACTCTCAACAGGCCGGCTTCCGGGCTCCTCAGGTTTCGGGCGACGACGAGCGCAACGCCATTCTGGACAACATCCGCAACTCTGACCGCGAGCACGCCATTCCCGAGAGCTTTCGCCTGCCCGGCCTGGGTTCTCTGAATCGCTATCTGGCCACGTACTTTGGGCTATTCCACCACCACCTGCCCTTCCTGCACCCGGCCTCCTTCAGCCCGTCTCAGGTGTCGCCGCCGCTGCTGTTGGCCGTCCTGAGCATTGGCGCTCTCTACGCCTTTGACCAGGACCAGGCGTACATGCTCCACATTGGATCCAAGGTGCTCGTCAACCAGTTCCTCCAGAACAAGGAGAACTTCAGCTCCCGCAAGTGTCCCCTGTGGACCATGCAAAGCTCGCTGCTCAACATGATCTTTGCCAGCTGGAGCGGCGACCCCAAGGGCCTGGAGTGGGCATGCTCCATCAAGAGTCTGCTCGCCAACATGGTGGCCGGAAACCGCTACGAACTCAAGCTCCGCCAGGAGGCCCGCGGCACGGCCAAGCCTACTCGTGCCGAGTGGGTTGAGGACGAGGGCTGCCGCCGCACCTATTATGCCGTTTACATCTTCTTTGGCTTGCTGACCCTGACGTTCAACCACACGCCCGCCATTGGCTTCAATGAGTTCGAGGACCTGCAGCTTCCTTCGACGGAGGCCATGTGGAACATGCAGGTTGCCGACGAGGCCGCGTGGGCCGAGCAGCTCGACAAGTCGCCCGCCGTCATCTTCATGGAAGCCCATGACAAGCTGTTCCAGGGCGAGACGCTCAAGTACAGCGCCTTCTCCACCCGTGTCATGATCAATGCTTTGTTCCTCGAAGTATGGTACCACAAACGTAGCCCTGAGGCCCTGCAGGATGTCGTGACAGAGTACAAGCTTAGACTCGCGCTGGAGACGTGGGAGAAGTCGCTGGAATTGTGCGAGCGAGAATCTGTCGTGGTGCCCCTCAACGCCCCCCACAAGGGCCACCCCCTGATCTTCAATGCCCGCGCCATGTACCGTAACGCACGCGCCCGTCTCGAGGTCGACCTGAAGACTGTGCAGGAGGCTCTGCGCTACCATGAGCCGTACGAAGTGGCCGCGGCCATGTCCCACGCCCGGGATCGCGTCAAGCGCTCGAGCGAGATGATCAAGGTGATTGAGGAGTGCTACAACTGCCTCGAGACGGCCGTGGTCCAGGGCGTCCGCTGGGTGGCGCGCACCTCGTCGACCAACTGGAGCGTCGAGCATCCTCTGTGCGGCCTGGACCTGATGATCATCCTTACGCTGTGGCTCTATCGCCTGGAACATGACGAAGAGCCCGCGACGGAGGAGGAGGTGGCCATGTATTACAAGGTTCGCCAGCTCTTCATCAAGGACTTTGACGAGAGCATCATCGCCAACCTGAGCTCGGTCGTTGCCCGTCTGTGGGGTTCCATGTTGGACGAAGTTGTTGTGTGGGGGTATGTTTCCCTCTCTCCCATCTTTCCTCGATTGCCTGATGCAGACTGCTAACGAAGCTTTGACAGGATTACGCGCCTCATGGGCGAATCATTCAAGTTGCACTCAGAAGCCCTTGTTGGCTATGTCGGCGACGAAGCTTCCTCTAATGTGTCGACTCCCTCGATGACATCGCAGGGAGCGGACGAGGACAGCGTGTACTAACAATATCTGCGACGACGAAACGAAACTTTTTCTTCTTCTCTCTGTTCATCTTTTACCAGGGGAGCGCTCAGACACGCGCCGGCTTTTTCCTAACGCACAACTTGATACTCATGGCTTTCCTTGTTGCTTCTTCAACTCTCTCTTTCTTCTCTTCGTCTTCTCAACTTGATTGTCAAACTTTTTTAACTTGTGGCGCGTGCGGTTCGGAAGGAGTCAGGTTAATACTGGGAAAGTACTGTTTTTTTTCTCTCTTGTTGCTTTCCTCTCTGTTTCTCTCGAAGCTTCATCTTTTCTCTTTCCTTGGTTTCTCTTGTTGTTTCCTTGACGACACCTGAGGCAGAGCAGGTGCTCGTGTGTCTTGTTAGTTGTCTGTTACTGATCTTAATCTTTGGCCTTGGCTTGCATTTGCTCTTTTATTCTGCATGGGTCTGATCGAAAAGATCATGGGGGAATAATATTGGAGAGGCGGCGAAAGCAGGAAATTACCGGCGGGATAAAGGACTTTGGACGTTTCGCATGATTTCGGGGCCCCGAGAAGGATTATTTTGGATCTCGACATATCGGCAGCGCAAGCTAATGAACAGTGAGGGCAGGTTGATTGGCTGGTCCATGATGGTGATGCCGCCTTTTTCGCAATCCCTGCCTTTTCTTTTTTTGGTTTCTAATGGTCCTTTGTGGCCTCCTTTACTCTACTTTGATAATCCTTCCCCCCTCTTCTTTTTTTTATCTTTCATTTCCTTGTTATACTCTTATGTTGTGCGTTTGCTTGCTTGTCGGCTGTCGCTTTTTATTTGGGATCGCAGTCTGATTTACCATTGGCAACTTTCCAAATTCTCAGATACCTTGTTCGATATACAGATTGCTATTCTTCATTGGACTTTTCTTTTTCCCTCTCCTATCACCCTCGAGTCTCCTTTTTCTCTCTCCTCTTCTCCTGGCATTTCTGGGTGCTCTTACCTGGTATTGTCGTCAACGCTTTGTTCTTGTGCCGTGTCTTGCTTTCGTCTTGGTCGAGGTATGCTACGAAGGGATGTTACGGTATGACAGGCCTCGTCGTCGGCGGGGTGCTGCGTGTGCCGCTCTTCGATGTGTATAGATATCCTAGTACTACAATGCAAAAATAATCTTGTCTCTGTCAAATGAGGAGTCGATGCTTGTGATGTGGTGGCCGGTGAAGCCACGTAGTCTCTAAAGGCGTGTGCTGTCTGTTCAGGTAGGTAGTATCTGGTATGCCGTATGAAGAAGTGTAGATGCAAGGTGAAGCAGCGCGTAAAGGTGTGTGCGGATGCAATGCAATGTGACTGCGCTAGATCAAGCAGTGACATCTACCACACGGGGCCAATGGGAGAGAGATGCTCCATGGTAAAGGAGAAGAAGGAGACGAATGGCGACGAAGAGAAAAGCTTGGCTCCTCGGAAACGGGCCATGCATGGATTTTAATCAAAACTCTGCTCGTGGGAAACCGACGGCGAACGAACGAGAAAGAGAAGGACAAAGATTTGTGTCGCCATCCCACATGTCTTGTCCGACCCCTGTCGTGGTATGTAAGGTAAGGTAGTAAGGTGAGGTAAGGTAGCAGTAGGACTGCTTTTTTTGTGTGGGTTTGGGTATCATCCGACGGGGAGAAGAAGCTGGGTGAGAGCAGGAGGAGGAGGAGAGAAGAAAGAGGGTGAGCGATGATGTGGTGACACTTGACTGTTGTGGCTTTTTCTCCTATTGTTTGAATGTGCTGTGACTCTTTGTGACGGGTGTATATATGAGTGAGATGACTATGGTGAGGAGGTTGGAGGGTTGGAGGTGGTGGATGAGGCTGGTTTTGGAGATGGTTTACTTGATGTTTGAACTACTGATTCACGAGCTGAGCAAACGACATTCAGAAGACAACTAGGAGAATGACTTTCTCGTATTGAGTATCAAGAGATGCAGTTGGAAAAGAGGAGAAAAGCATGCAAGGGAGGGAGGAGGAAAACGCGCGAGCCTCCAGTAGGACCGTGTGTACCTTGTGGTAGGGCAAGGCAAGGCATTCTTTGCATCTCAATTTTCTGGTACATCCCGAGTAACCTCGCCTTACATCTTGTACCTTACCTGTCTGCTTCGCTCCTGGCCTTGTCTGACGGACATTTGAATTTCTCTCGTGTTGCTGCAGCAGCTGCATGTCGCGTGGCTGCTTGAGACGTGGCCGGCAGATACCACTGGACCTCGCTTTTTGCATTGAGGTGCCTGCATTGCATTGCAGCCGGTTGCTCATGCTCGCCTTGCTCAATCATTCTTTCTTTTGAGAGTCGTTGCGGCTGCTGAGCTACGACTGACTGACTGACTGCTCTGGCTGCGGAATGGCTTCTTGCTTTCCTCGTCTGCTTCTTCTTCTGCTTCCGCTTCTTCTGTTCTGCTTCTCCTCTTCCGTGGCTCTGTTCCATCTCCGACTCTTCTTTATTCTTTGTGCTTCTCATCATAATTTTGCTCTCAACTCCAATTGCTCACGACCAAAGGTTGCTTTCTGATGTATAACAACGCACCTCCCATGTTTCGTCTACCAGGCTTGGGCCCGTGGCTGGCCCTCTTACTGGCCTTGATGGCGAGCCTGGTGGTGGCGGACTGTGAGTGCGGCTTTGTCCAAGACTTTCCCGCAGAGCAGGCTGGAGACGGAGATGGAACCGCAGATGGCCGTCTGCTGTTTACCCATATGATGGAGAGCAAGTTCACTGAGCTGAGGAACATCTCGCGGGACGGCAACTGGAAGCGGCAGCAGTACAACGTCTCGGCCAGGGCTGGGCGGGGAGAGTACGGCAAGGCGTTTGCCCTCAAGAACGTGTACACGATTGCCCCCGACGGCAACGGCGAGAAGGTGGACGCTGATGACGCCGGCCCCAGCGACGGCATCGCGCTGGTGGTGGGCAGCACGCTTGTGGACGAGGCGATTCCGGTGGCGGAGCTGACGTCGGCGAGGGCGGACATGTACTTTGGCTCGTATCGTGCGGGCATGAAGCTGACGCCCGTCAACGGCACCTGTGCCGCCTTTTTCTGGGTATGTTGGAGTTGGCTGGCCGTGACCCCTTTGTCGAGCTCATGCTGATTCGCTTGCGCCGCCCAGTACTTCAATGACACCCAAGAGATTGACATGGAGTTTCTGTCGCGGGAGTTTGACGCCAGCAAGGACTTGTATCCCGTCAACCTCGTGATCCAGTCGGAGGCGTCGCGCCAGGCGGGCTACGACGCGGCCAAGACGGGCACCTTCAAGGTGGTCAACCTCACGTTTGATCCGACGGCGGGCTTCCACGAGTATCGCTTCGACTACCTGCCCAACCGGGTCCTTTTCTACGCCGACAGTAAGCTGCTGGCCGAGATGAACGGGACGTCGGTGCCGTCTGGCCCCGGCCACATCATTCTGCAGCACTGGAGCAACGGCAACCCCAAGTGGTCGGGAGGTCCTCCCAAGCAAGATGCCGTCATGACGGTGAGCTACGTCAAGGCCTACTTCAACTCGTCCGACGCGCACATGCAATCGAGCTTCGCCGAGACCTGTCAAAAGGCGCGCGATGACGATTCGAACAGCGGCGCCGATGGGAGGGTGTGTTCGATTCCGGGCGTGACGGCGTCAAATGCAAGCACAGGCGGCACCTTTTTCAACACGACGGATCCGAACCAGCCAAGCAGCAGCGGAGGAGGGACGGAGGACAGCGATAGCGGTGCGGCGCACCTGAGCAGCACGCCGTCGACGGCGGCCATGTTGCTGTTGATGGTGGCCTTGCTGGCGTACTCGTGAATGCTTTTGCTTGCAAGCTGCGCTGAACGAGGCCGCTTGTGACGGGCGCTGGAATGCACTGACGAGGCTGTCTTGCTTTTGTCTTGGAATTGGAGTTGAAGAATTGGAGTTTGGGAGTCTGATGAGGGACGAGCTGCGGTGGATGTGCGCATGTGATGTGGGCTTATTGTGACTGGGCCTAATACTTGTTGCCTAATGGTAATGGGAGATGACGAGTCGAGAAGCAAGCAAAGGAGACGACGGGCCGACAGTTAATAAATCAGTTTATGCATGATTGCATGCGTATCGGCCATTGCCTGTGCTCATCTGATGGGTTGCGGCCTGGAAGACGTTGGCCTTCGATCGAGTTACCTGTTTGGTCAAGGTGAGGCAGGGCTGGCGATGGTCAGATGCACGATGCGGTCATGCGGCCCACCAGACACCGAGCAGCTGGATCTGATGGGGCGGATTTTGTCTGAGGAATGCCGCTGGAATGGAGGTGCGGCTGAAGGAGGCGGGTGATGGGGGCTGGTGAGGATGATGATGCTGGGCGATGATGCTGATGATGATGATGGTTGTTTATGCAGCTGCGTGTAGTCGTCGAAGTTTCAAAGTATAAGTTGGAGCTTGTTTCTGCTGGACCTGGCTTGGGATTATTAGTTTGACCTCAGTTACAAACAACTACAACACTGCCTCGTATCTTAAACTGATGCCAACTACAACTTTTCCTCGTCTACAACTACTGCTGCCACGAGGTTGATACTTATATACTACTACAACACCACGAGAAGAAGAAAGACATCCAGCCACCATCAAGATGACGCCCACTTCGCTCAGCATCGTCGTCAAGAACAACTCCAACGCGGCCCAGCTGTACGCCTACGTGACGGGCACCGCGGACCAGGGCGCCTTCTTCCTCAGCGCGGACGGCGTGACGCCCTACTACCCGGCCTCGCCGTCGGCGACGCTGCAGCCGCTGGGCAAGGACTGCGCCGTGGCGGTGGGCGGGCCGGGCCAGAGCCGGACGCTGACGATACCGCGGCTGGCGGGCGCGCGGGTGTGGTTCAGCCTGGACGCGCCGCTGACGTTCCTGCTGAACCCGGGCCCGTCGGGGCCGGCGGTGGTGGAGCCGTCGGCGACGAACCCGGCGGACAAGAACTACGACGTGCGGTGGGCGTTTGCGGAGCTGACGCTCAACGAGGCGGAGCTGTACGTCAACGTGTCGTACGTCGACTTCTTCAGCGTGCCGGTGTCGCTGAAGCTGGAGAACGGGAAAGGGGAGGTGAAGAGCGTGGAGGGGATGCCGGCGGGGGCGCTGGACGACGTGTGCGGGCAGCTGGCTGCGCAGGGGGCCAAGGACGGCAAGGGGTGGGAGAAGCTGGTTGTGAAGACGGCGGACGGGAAGAGCAACTTGCGGGCGCTGAGCCCCAACGCCGGCGGCGTCATGTTCCAGGGGCTGTTTGACGGGTATTACGACGGGTACGTGGATGCGGCGTGGGCCAAGTACAAGAGCGAGGACCTGGTGGTGAACATGCAGTTCGGGGACTGGGGCGATGCGGTCGGGCGCGTCGACTCCACGGGAGAGAAGCTCGTCTTCAGCAACGGCGGCGGGACGTTTGCCAAGCCCTCGGCGGCGGACATCTTCTCGTGCAGCTCGGGCCCGTTTGCGGGCGGCGAGGGCGTCTCGGACAAGCAGCTCAACGTCGGGGCGCGGCTGGCGGCGGCGCTGAACCGGAGCACGCTGCTGCTGGCGGGGCCGCACCCGGAGGGGGACGCGGTGAGCGAGTACTACCAGGACCCGACGACGAACCACTACGCGCGGATCTGCCACGCGGTGAGCATCGGCGGGCGGGGGTACGCGTTTCCGTACGACGACGTTGGCGCGACGGGGGGGGAGGACCAGAGCGGGTTCCTGAACGATGGGGATCCGAAGGTGTTGACGATTGGGGTTGGGGGACCTCTGTGAGGTGGGTTGGATATGTACTTGTGGATGCCTGATACTACTACCTTACCAATGGGAGATGATGGGGAATTGTGCATATATGGAGGAGGATGATTTGTGTATAGTATATGTATGGTTGACTTGAGGATATCTTTGATACAACGTGGAGGAGGCTGGAACTACTGGATATATACGGCATGGGAACGGTATAGAACACGAAGTATTATGTCTTTCGTTTACTTGTCAGGATATAAATTGGATACAACTCTCTCTCTCTCTCTCTCTCTCTCTCTTTCTCTTTCTCGGTTTACCCTCGCTATGCCGCCTCACAAACTACAGTGTATGTGAAACCTATTTATAGCAGGCATCGATTGCATGAATGGGCCCCGCTGAATTAGCTAGAAGAAAAGGTTTGTTGGCGATGATCCCATTCGCCCGGTTCCGACCATTTGTTGTTAATTATAGCATCAGGTCCTTGGCGGAATTCTTCTTGACAAAAGAGCCAGTAAGAGGAACGGAGAAGAGCGAGCAGAGGATGAGAGAGGGAGAGTAAGACGGAGGACAAAGATGTCTCCGAAGACAATGCTCCGTACAACTACATGTACTTTGATCTTCTCTCTGTGTGAGGCCAGATGGGTATTACTGTTACATCAAACACACGGCAGGGTCTGTATGTATGACAAGCAACCTGCATGCACGCGTGTTCCACGGACGGTGTTGTTGTTGTTGTCTCTCACGCATCTCACCAGTTTAATTACCCGGGCCTGTTGGCGCTGTATGTAACACTCCTTTGGTTGCGGGATGCCGGAATGGCACTGCATTCTCGGGCACGGGCTTGTGCAAGTCCACCAACCAGGGCCTGGTTCTCTTGATGTTTATTTCTAAGCACGATAGTACAAGTAGCTGACTGCTTCTTTTTCTCCTTTCTTCCCGCTCCTCTATTTGCTTTGTCTTGTTAGCTGTACGACTACCTTGTGGCTTCCTGCAATGTCAAACATGACTGGAGCCGTTCCTTGCAACTAGTACTGGCCTTGATGGGACTGCTGCCGTGGTCAATCCAAGTCTGGCTTGTAGAGTATCAGGAACGGATTTCCAGGTAGTAACCCCTTGCTTTGTTGTACGGCCGGATATACAGCGTTGAGCGGATCCTTGTGAGGTAGCAAGCATGCCTGCCAAGCCGGAAGCCGAACGAGAACAAGACACGTCTGTGGCCATCAGATCAATTTGTTTGTACGGCCAGTGGTAGCACAGCGAGAGGAGGGGGGTGTGCAGTCGCATTGCATCTTGATGCTACGCTGGCTGGCTCTTGTGTGGTTGGTGCTACCAGTAATACCCTACCAATTTACTTACTACTAGATTGCTACCTGGTACTGCTACGCACATAACTGTCTCAACAGCAGTGACACCGTGTCTGTAAAGTACTTGTACATCTGCTGATATCCTCCGTATACCTACCTACCTTGGTACTTTTTGTAATATTGTACATGCATGACTGCAGTTGAAGTTATCGAGGCCGTCGCCGGCAAGGCCCAATCGGCGGGACTCTTGCTAAGGCGGTACCGCGATCAGACATGTGCTTCTCGGGCTACCGGCTTGTACCTGCCTAGCCGTGCCCCACCGGGGTCCTTCGGCGCAGATTGATTGATTGCTTGATTACTTGCTTGACAAGCAAAGAGGATCTGGATGAAGGATGCACAATCTCCACCTTCTCCTACTATCTACTAGGTAGGTAGTACTATCACTACTCTCTTACTACGACGGCATTAACACTACAGCTTGACAGCTTTGTGCCATTACTGCTGCTGCTGTTGCCAACGGACATCTGATCTCGCTCCTTTGCTGGCCTCTGCTTCTTCGTCTCAAGCCGCGGGTTCCCCCGCCTTTTGGTCGCCACTGGAACTTTGGATCTGCTGGATGCACGAGGCGCTGACGAAAAGAGGCGACACAGCACTGAGAGTGCCTGGCCGGGGGCTCCTTGGCGTTGCAGCAGCCGGAGACGAAAAAGAGAAGAAGAAGAGAAGAAGAGAAGAAGAGAAGAAGAAGATAGAGAGTCCAAAGGAAGCGAATGAACAGCCGGGCGACGCAGCTTGCGGGAGGCATTCTACATTTCATCATCATCATCATCATCTCAGTCCGGCGCGGTGCCATCGCGACGCCGAGCCACAGGAGAGGAGCCTTGACTTGCCCTTTTGGCTTCGCCAGCGTTGCCGGAGACGAGGCTTGAGAGAGGGCGAGAGTCAGCGTGTGAGAGGAGAGGCTGAGAACTTCTCACGCAGCCAGAAACCGACGACGACATCATCATCTCAGTCCCAATTCACCGTCATCCGCAGACTCCGTATCGAACAATGGTCTACTGCGGCAAGCCCTCCAAGGGCTGCTCCAACTGCCGCGAGCGCAAGATCCGGGTAGGTTTGCCCTGCCCACAGCCTTGACCCTCGTCCACTTCGTCATCGGCTTCCTCTTCCATCCTCATCCCTTTTCCTTTCCCTTTCCCCAAGCACTGAGGGCGCTTCACACCGTGCAAGCCCGTTGTGGCGTTTTCCCATCTGCTTACGCTCTCTGCTTCTCCGCGAGTCTGTAGTGCGATCAGAAGGACCCCGGCTGCGGCCAGTGCACCAAGCGCCAGATCGAATGCCCGGGCTATCGCAACATCGTCGATCTCATGTTCCGGGACGAGAGCAACCATGTGATCAAAAAGGCCACCGCCGCGAAGCCGCGCATCAAGAAGCTGAAACATGGCGTCCGGGCCGCCCCGAAGCTAGACGCGGCGCCTTCTGATCCGCCGCCACTGCCGCTGTCGCCGCCATCGCCGTCGCCGTCGCCCTCTTCGCCGCTGTCGTCCGGCGTCCTGGTGCTGCGCGACAGCCCGCGGCCGTCGTCAAAGACGAAGCTGAGCTCGTTCAAGCCCCGGCCCAACAAGTCGTCGCCGCTGCTGTCGGTGCTGCTGGCCGGAGACCGGGGAGGAGGCGAGGACGGCGGTCGGTATGGCTACGAGTCCTGGCAGGCCAACGCCTATCCCTGCAATTACGACGACGACGAGGGCAACTACAACGCCAACGACGACTACGACGGCGCCTTTGGGTTTGGTGACGAGGACAGCGATGATGCCCTGGTGCACATCCCGTATGCGCCGTCCATCTCCCTCCAGGAGCGCGGCACTGCCTTCTTCTTCTCGCGCTATGTTGCCACGGACCATGGCTGCTATCAGAACTACGACTTCATCTACGACATCTGGAAGCCGCCCAGCATGAGGCGGCCCAAGGGACGGGGCGCCGCTCCGCTCAAGAGGACAGATGCCCTCATCTCCGCCGGCATGACCGCCGTCGGGCTGGTTGGCCTCTCCAAGATCACGGGCGATCGGGAGACGATGGTGCGAGCCCAGCAGAGCTACGGCGCCGCTCTGCAGCTGGCCAACGCGGCCCTCCGGAACCCGGGCGAGGCCGTCGAGGACAGCACCATGCTCGGCGTCCTCATCCTCGGCACATACGAGTTCATCTCGGGACACACCCCGCAGACGTTGCACGCTTGGCAGGAACACATCAACGGCGCCGCCACGCTGGCCACCATGCGGGGGCAAGCTCAGTTCAAGACAAAGGCCGGCGTCCGGATGTTCCTCATGCTATGCCACTCGGTCCTCATCAGCTGCGTCCAGAGCGGCCTGCCCATGCCCAAATCCATTGTCGACTTGCGCAACGAGCTGCGCCATGTGACGGACAGCAAGCGGCCGGCGTGGCGCGTCATCGATCCTCTGTACAGAGCCCTTCAGATTCGGCACGACATCAAGCACAGGCGCATCACCGGCGTCGATGAAATCGTCGGCAGCCTAGTCGAGATTGAGGACGACTTTGAAAAGCTCATCAACGAGCTGCCGCCGTCGTGGCGCTACCAGAACGTCAAGCTGACCAAGTCGAATCCCGCCATCATGGGCCGTACGTGCCACGTCTATCCCGGCCTGACCCAGGCCACGGCTTGGAACGCCGTGCGCACCATGCGGATGCTCGTCCAGGAGACGATCCTCGAGCAGCTGTGCCACAGCGTTGACGACCCGACGACTCTCCCCATGCACCACCAGCTGCTCCTGGTCAAGGCCATGAGAATGCTGCGCATGCTCGGCGAGGCTGTCGTTGGGAGCGTCCCCCAGCACTTTGGCATCGTGAGCTCGCGAGATATCAAGTACAACAAGGCCAAGGGGGAGCAGCAGCCAACCGTGACCGCTCGGAACCAATCGTCGACCATTCTGCTGACGCCGCCGCTCTTGCCGCAAGCCTCTGACCGAGACGAAAGCAAGTCCCCCGTGCCCGCCTGGCCGCGGGAGAGCGTCGCCACGCGGCCGACGCTGCTCGATCCCACGCAGTCGGAGCTGGGCAACGGGCGAGGCTGCGACTCGGAGCGCTTCCTGACGCTGGCGACGGCGAGCAACACCATCATCTGGCCGCTGTACACGCTGGGCCTGTCGTCGTCGTGCACGCACGAGATGAGCGCCTACATCGTCGACAGGCTCATGACCATCTACCGCGAGACAGGACTGGAGCAGGCCCGGGTGGTGGCGGGCATGATGCAGAACAAGGTCGAGACGCTGACGTGGGCCAGCATCCCGACGACTCGGCTGCCGTCCTTGCCGGATGATGCTTTGCCTCTTGTTGTGTAGGGTATGCTTTTCTTTTCTTGGGATCTGCATGGAAACATTTGATGCTCTCAAATATGTTGACAAGACCCTCTTCCTTCTCTTCTTCTTTGCCTTTTTCTTCATCCCTTTTTTTTTTTTTTTAGATATAAAGAATGCTGACATGAGGATTATTATTTTGGATACGTTTTCTCCTTTTTTTATCCCCCCTGATGAGCGACGGCATGATAGATTTCATCTCCTCCCACTTTCCCTTTCCTTGATTCTGAGCTTCAGCTGTTCTTTTTTTCGCCTTCCATGTCAGCAGCCTTCCTTGAGATAGCCAGAAGTTGTATTACATTATCGTCATCTATTCAAACCCAGAGAGACTAATAGTTCCGCCGTAGCTGTAGTAGTTAAAGGAAATTCGTTCCCAGTGCTTCCATCCTTTACCAACCGTCAAAGTTCCCAAACCCGCCTGCTTTCATCTTCTTGCGCGGCTGCGCCTCCCACGTGTCCACCTCCTCCGCATCGTCTGCTCCTCCTCCTCTGCCATTGCCATTTGATGACCCCTGATCCAAGGCGCTCGCATCGAGATACTTGCCCACACTGCTCTTCGCATCCTCCTTGCTGCCCAACGTGCCGTCCCCGCGGAGCCTCTTGCCCGTCCACGTCGTCCTGTCGTCCTCGGTGCCGCCCTGCCGCTGGATCTCCTCGCGCCGCCGATCGAGGCGCTCCTGCTCCTGCTTCTGGGCCTGGAACTCGGCAAAGGGGTCGACGAAGACGACGACGTCCTTGATGACGATTTTGTTGAGCGGCCGGTTGGAGCCGTCGGTGGGGACGGCCTCCATCTTGGCGAGGACGTCGAGGCCGGAGGTGACGCGGCCGAAGATTGTGTGCTTGCGGTCGAGGTGGGGGGTTGGCTTGTAGGTGATGAAAAATTGGGACGAGTTTGTGTTTTTGCCCTTGTTGGCCATGGATACTGCACAATGGGGTTAGATTCGAAGCCCCCAACCAACGAGCGGTGTATGGGGAACGAAAGGGAGAGGGAGGAGGATAAACATACCAACACCACGAGCATCATGCGTCAGAGGCCCGTCAAACTCGTCGTTAAAGTTCTTCCCCCAAATGCTCGTGCCCCCTTTGCCGGTGCCGGTGGGATCGCCGCCCTGGATCATAAAGTTGGGAATGTTCCGGTGAAAGGCCACGCCCCTGTAGTAGCCCGTCTGCGCGAGCCGGATAAAGTTCCAGACCGCCTTGGGGGCCGTCTCGGTGTGCAGCTCAATGGTCAGGTTGCCCAGGTTGGTCTCCAGCCTGGCGTAGCCCTTGGTCTTGACGCGCTTCGGCTTCAGCATGAACTCTTCGTCCGTCAGGAGGGCCCTTTCGCCGCTCGTTTCCGGCGTCAGGCCCGTGCTGGTGAAACTGGCGGCGGCCTTGCCGGTGGTGTACGCCGCGGCGTTGGCGGCGAGCTTCTTGTCCTGTATCGGGGCTTGTCGGACCGCGGTCGAGGCGGACTGCTTGGATTTCTCGAGCGCCCCGGAGCTCTTGTTGACGTCGCCGCCGGCTTCTCTCGCCTTGCGCGCCTTTTCCACGGCGGCCTTGGCCTTGAGCACCTTGTCGCCCATGCTGCCCAGCGCGCCGGCGTTGATGTTGCCCGCCTTGCGCTCCTCCTGCTGCTCCTTTGTGAGCTGCGCCTGCCCGCCCTCTTGTAGGTATTTGAACGTGTCGAGGTTCCGGCTCGCAACGTTCTGGGGATCTTGGATGGTGATGATGTCGGCGCGCGTAAAGGGCTGGTCGTCGACGAGGTCCTGCCACATCTTGGCCTTAATGTTCATGCGCTCGACCGTGTCCCAGGCGAAGACGTTGGCATAGCTGCCGTGGCGGATGGCGACGATGTGCGTGTTGTCGGTGAAGACCTTGTACGTGACGGGGTCGATGAGGTCGCCCTTGCCGTCGCTCATGCCGACGCCCAGCGAGTCGGCGTCGGCATTGCGGGCGAAGTTGAGGCGGATCAGGTCCTTCTTGTGCAGGGGCTCGGCGTTGACGGGGTTCTGGCCCGGGTGCTTGTCGAGCCAGGCGTCAATGACCTCGACGTCGAAGACGGTGCCGTCGGGGGTGCAGACCGGGTTCTTGAAGGGCTGGAGGCTGGCGGCGCAGAAGTTGAAGGGGAGGCGGCGGAAGGGGATCTCGGATTTGGAGGCGCGCGAGCCGGCTCCGGCGCCGACGCTGGCGGAGTAGGCGTCTGACGAGGACCATTCGGAGTGGGTGATCTGTAAAAAGTCAGGTCAATCTGTGAGTTGAGCGCACCGCGTGGAGAGGACGGAGTTGGACTCACGTAGAGCTTGTCGGTTCCTTTTCCCATTGTTTCTGGAGGAGAGTCGGTAGTCTGACAGAAAAGAGTGAAGAATTGAAAAGAAGAATGAGATGATAATCCTAAATAACCACAATGTGTCTGTGATTATCAGCAGTGCTCTATGCAAAGGGGTATCTATCGGATCATGGTCTCGTACAAAGCAAAAGTATGGATGAATCTTGCAGCAGAAATGACGATGCTCTGGAAATGATATCAATTCCTTATCGCTATCAGCTGGAGCCACCGAGACACCGAGCGCAACCCCTGCCAATAGCTACTTCGGCGGGCAACGTAATTGGCCTTACGTACCACCGGATGGCGTGCAGCTCCAGGTACTCCGTGCGCGCGCCAATGCCGGAAGCTGCCACCTGTATCCCGTCCGCTGCCATTTGATCCATTGATTGAGCCTGCGCCAACTGAACTTGGACCTCTGAGGCGTCACCACCAGCTGCTCCTCTTCTGCCAACTCCATTTGGAACCTTGTGCTCCTCTGCCTGGTCGCTCGACACCGACGGGCTTTTTCTCATCTTACGCTCTATTCTTTTGCCCTCTCTGCGATTAGGAACTCAGATACATAGGAACATCTCCGTGGCCGTCTTCTGGCTCTCTCAAAGCCGACAGCTGCAGACCCCCCCCCCGACCAGCAGCAGCATCTGCCTCCAAGTTGCGCGCTTCGCTCTGCTCTGCTCGCTACGGTGCCGCGCAGTTCAATCGCCGGATGAACAGTCAATCAGTCCGACATACCAACGACAGCCGCTGATCCGAGTCGATCCGATCCCCCGCCATCGTCAAGCAGCTTCTGCTCCCTTGGATCCTCAGGACCCTCTGTCCACAGCCACCGACCCCGGATAGCTCCTGCGCCTACCTCGACTCCTCGCCAACATGAGGGCTCTTCTCGGGCTTCTCGCCCTGGGCATGTCGCTCTTTGGCGCCCAGGCACTCGAAGTTCCCATGGTATGCGCCCATGCTGCACAGCTTTGGAAGGGATGGAGGAACGGCAGTGACTGACTAATTCTTTGTGCTGCAGAACGAAAAAGAAGACTCTCGCCAGTATTGCACAGGTGCGTGTGCCTCATGCTCGCCTGGTTCTCAGTCAGAGAACTGACAACAATTATAGGAATGTACAGCCGCACGTCTTGGGGCGGCCCGGTCGACCCGTTTATCCTCGTCAAGTTTCTCAACGATACTGCCGCTCAGGGCGACGACCCCATTGCGAGTCTGGTGATTTTCGAGTGGAGAGACAGCGAGTTCATCGGTATCCCAGACCCCGATATCCAAGCCACGGTAAGACTGCCCTCGGCAATCGCTTCAACTGCACAACCACCACCTGGCTTGTCCTCATTCTAACGATGCTTAGCGACTTGCGCTCTGCGACGATGGCATGATCAAACAAGGCATTTGCAACTCGACCGACAAGGGCGAGTTCGTCCTGGCCCCGAATGCGACTGAGAAATCCAACACGTTGATCCTGAGCAAGGCGGTCCACCTGAACAACCCGACCCCGATCAACTACCCCATCAAGAAGACCGGCTACTACTGCGTCATTACCGAGGGCTTCAACATTGAAAAGTACAACGCCGTTGTTGAGTTCCGAAACGCCTATGGAGAGCTGCCGGCGACCCAGATCCCAAAGCTCCCGTTCTACGGCGGAATGTCCATTCTATACGCCTTGGTAACCGTTTTTTGGAGCTTCCTTTACTATCAACATCGACACGACATCCGTGAGTCCTTGACACATGCCCTGAAATGGGAGTTCCTACTAATCGACTCTGTTCCAGTTGCGGTGCAAAATTACATAACAGCTATTCTCATCTTCTTGGCTATTGAAATGATCCTGACATGGGGCTTCTACGGTATGCGCAGATCTGTAACGGATGCTCTACATGTGCCTGTACTAAACTGCTGCACAGATTACCAGAATCATCACGGAACGGCGAACATCGGGAGCAAGGTCTATCTAATTGTCGTTGCTGTTCTCAATGCTGCCCGAAACTCCTTTTCCTTCTTTCTATTGCTCATCGTCTGCATGGGCTACGGTGTGGTCAAGCCCACCCTTGGCCGCACGATGATCTATGTCAGATGGCTTGCCGCTGCGCATTTTGTGTTTGGTATTGTTTACGCAGTCACGAGCTTGCTGGTGTCGCCAGAGAGTGCTGGTACGTTGAGAATTCCCGCTTCTCGATCAATCGTCCTTGATGTACTAAGAGAGATCAACAGGGCCATTTGTTCTTTTGATTGTCCTTCCGCTAGCCGGCACGCTGACGGCCTTTTATGTCTGGACGCTTAACTCGCTCAGCTTCACGCTCAAGGACTTGCGTGAACGAAAGCAGCATGTCAAAGAAGGCATGTACAAGAAGCTGTGGTGGGCCATCCTCATCAGTGTCCTGGTCATCTTTGCCTTCTTCTTCTTCAACAGCATCACCTTTGCGTCGGTCAACGATCCCGACTTCGTCCCCTTTCACTGGAAGACGAGATGGTTCATCTTGGACGGCTGGCTCAACATTGTCTATTTTGCAGACGTTGCCTGGGTCGCCTACATCTGGCGCCCAACGGCCAACAACCGCCGCTTCGCCATGAGCGACGAGATTGCGCAGGATGACGACGGCAACTTTGAGATTGGAGACATTGGCATGCCCGACGACTCGGATGACGAAGAGGCGCAGATTGGTAACAAGCCCGCGGCCAACTTTGGACAGGAGAGCGGCTTGACAGGCGCTGGGCTGTCACAGGCGGGTTCTAGCAGGGCCGCTCCCCCCAGTGGCGCGCAGTCACAAGCAACCGCTCGTGGTGTCCCGCGAGAGTCTCTGGATGGAGAGACGATCTTTGCGGTAGGCGAAGACGGTGACAAGGCATCAGACAGCGAGGGCGAGAGCGAGGCCGATAGCAATGACGAGGATGCTAAGCTTGTGCACAAGAAACGGTAACTGGGTTGGGGATGAGCTGTTTGATGGAAACGCTTGACTGTAGAATGGAACGGAATAGGCCGCTCGGCGTTTATGAACTGGGTTTCTTCCCTTTTTTTCTGTAACACGGTGTTTTTGTGTACAATAGAAGAATCATGGAGCAGTATGCAAAGTCCTTGCCAGACACGGGCCATTGAAATTTGGACTGAACCTTTCTGATAAGTTTAATTTGACAAAAGAAGACCTGGGTGTTGCTGCAGAAATTGGGGTACAGAAATCCGGAGCATAAGTGAGTGAGGACGGCCCGAAGTAGTTGTCTTCTGAGCCAGTAGGTATTAGTATGATATCATACAATTTTGATCTTCAAATACATCATGATTGACTCTCCCTTTTTATCTACTTATACAAGCTGTTGCTCTCGAGTCCGCATCAGCCCCTTAAGCCTCTGTCACATCGCCGCCGAAACCAACCGGTCGTCGACGGCCATCATTCTCGGGCAAGATAGCGAGCACCTTGTACACCTTGCCCATCCCATTGACCCCCCGATCAACGAGGCGCTTCCAGGCCTTCTCAATGTCCCTAGCCTTTTCGGGGGTGACGCCAGGCGCCTTGGCCAGCGCCTCTGCGCGCTCGCGGATGCCCATGAGCTCGAGGAAGTCGGCCTGGGCGACGGGCCCGTGGACCTCGACGCCGTCGCTGGCGAGGGTGGCGGCCTCGGCAATGGCGTGGAAGTCGACGTCGGCGCTGAGGTCGACGAGGCCCGGGGCGGAAAAGGGGCTGACGAGGCGGTGCTGGCGGATGCCGCGGAGGGAGTTGACGGGGACGGTGTCGGCGGTGCCGTAGTCGAGGATGAGGGCGGCGCCGCGGGGCTGGTGCTTGGGGTGGGCGGGGGAGCCGCCGATGCGGGCGGCGAAGTCGGCGGCGTAGAGGGAGGCGTCGGGGCAGATCTCGATGAGGGCGCCGGGGGTGTCCTTGAGGCGGCGGTAGCGGGGGGAGGATTCGGGGAGGTAGCGGGAGTGGCGGGTGGTGGAGGAGGAGAGGACGAGCTGGAACTCGGGAGGGGGCTCGTCGTGGGATTTGGGCGCGTGGGAGGATGATGATGGGCTAGGGGGAGCGATGGAGACCATCATTTCGCGCCATTCCATGGGAGGTGGTGTTGAGGACTCGTCGGGGGTTTGAGGTGCTGTGCTGTCTGGCTGGGGAGAGGGGGGGGTAGGGGGGGTTGATGATGAGGGTTTGGGAGAAGAAGCAGGGGCGGATTGGAAGGCGTGGATGGGGAGAGCGTCGAAGAATTCGTGAGCCACGATGAAGGGGGTCTTGTCTGACTCTGTGATCACATGATAAGCTTTTGTTGATCATATAGTTTCAACCAACGACGAAATGGGGGGAGTAAAACTGGAAACTGCACACACCTATGGGTATGGACTTGATGGTCTCCGTCCAGACGATTGGAATCGAGCCGTACTTGCTGGGGCTGTGGCATCCAACATTGGACTCGGTGGAGGGAGCGTCAGGGCCGCACAAGAGGTTCTTTTGCGTCTCGCGCAGCTCGCGGCTGGCCTCGACCATGAAGACATTTTCAATGCTACTGGCCATGGCCGGGAAGCGCTGGATAGTCTATCAAGGAGGCGTTAGTTTACAGGGCAGTCAGGTAACACAAGGATGAGAAAGGGGCTTACCCGAAGCATGTCGTCCATGAGCGTTCCTCGACCCGGGCCCACCTCGATGAGCTGGACGCCCTTGCTGGGCCTGCCCTGGCTGATCCATTCGGCGATGAACCAGATGCCGAGCAGCTCGCCGAAGATTTGGGAGATCTCGGGCGAGGTGACAAAGTCTCCCTTGGTGCCGAACTGGTCACGGCCCTGGCCGACGGCGCCGGTGTAGTAGCCTCCCAGGTCGCCGGTCAGGCACATGCGCATGTAGCTTGCCAGGGGGACGGAGCCGGTGGTCTTTGGAGGAGGCGGAGAGTTAGCTAGTGCTTTTTTGAGATCCTGATGGTTGTTCAGGTATAACAGTGGTTTTGAGGTTAGTGGTTGTGCTTACGGAGATGGCTTCATAGAGCTGCTTGGCCAGCGGCGTGGACCATTTTCTCTCTTCGACGCGACGAGGCTGGGTTGAGGAGAAGTACCTTGAGACTGTCCGTGGTAGCCTTGATACTCGGTGTGATGGACTCGAGTGTGAGTGGTGTGATGGTGTTTGCAGGAGAGAGGCCACCAGCCGTCGTCTTGCCAGGTGGGCGGCTCTGGGGAGGGAAGCCGAGGGGGCAACGACGGGCCTCATTGCGGCGTCTGGCAGGGCCTGTTGGACCTCTTTTTCACTCTGTTGCCCGAAAACAAGTAAACGAATGTGTCAACTGTGTACGTGATACAATGTCGAGTTATGCAGCAACAGACAGTGAGACAGTCTGAGAAGCCGTCTTCAATGTCTAGACGTTGGCTTTGAGTTCCAGAACCGGAGCCAATTTTTTCTCCCGGGTGCGCCGTCTCTGTTAGGCCCTGTGTGTGCTATGCTAGGCGGTGCTAACAGCTGCTGCAGGTCCAGTGCTGAAGCTCACTGGACTGACAGCTACAGCTGCCTGTATGTAGTACTTCTTTTTGGGTGCGACTACGCCTGGGTTGGTTAGAGGCGACGATAAGATAAAGCTCTCGTTGTGCTGGACGAGTTGATACAAGCAGGAGAGTGAAATGATGCCGCACTGTTCTTCACAGTTGGGATAATCTCATTGTAAACGTAGACTTCAGTTGGGATAAGGCGTGTTAAAGGAAATGGTTATCAGTGCGGCTGTTGTAGTATATCGAATGGTGAAGAGAAGCCATGCCTTGGCGAGCCCATACTACCAAGGCACCTTTGTCCTTACAGTGGACAAGGCGCAAGACTCTCACAACTCACAACAGGGCCAACAATTGGTAGGATTCAATGTCTACAAAACACATGTAAAGGTAACAAACAATTGTCCATGAGAAAGGACCATTTAAGCAAGAAAAACAAAAAAAAAAAAAAAACAACAACTGAATTTCGGCCGAAAGAGAAGAAGAGAGAGACGGTTGACCCCTATTTGAAGCTGCCGGCCGGACTCACATGTCTTGCCGTGCTGCGGCCGCAACGCCACTGAAAGCAAGGGAGAGCAACCCAATTCCAGCGGCGCAAATTGAACAACAAAGACGCGGATCAAGTTGATGACGGCCGGCAATATGTAATCTCTATTGCTACAGATAATAGTACCTAAATGTACAATAAAGATCTGACGTGGGTGAGACGCGGCGCAACGATGAATTGGGTGACTTCTCACGACGGCGATGCAGTCATTCTTACTGTGCGGACAAGGCCAGGCATGGATTGACATGGAGTTGCAGACGATGAGTCGCAGCTTTTCCTGCGCGAGGTGTCATGATGCTCAGAGATATACTAGTACTAGTACCTATTTATATAGAGGACAGAACCGGACAACTCCTTGCCGTCCTCCAGTGGCACGCCCAGCACAGCATCATCGGCATCTTGCCCGCGTGAGACTAAGAGCAACCCGGTCCAAGTGCGTACGAGCACTCTCAGGTACATACGAAGCAGCTCCGAGTCGTCAGCGCCATCGCATCGATCCACTGCATCGCCACGGTGCCACCTGAAGCGCTGCTCGTACAGCATGGAGGTGCGGGTATGGCTTGCTGATGGCGCCTGTACCCTCTGTTACGGTCAGCCACACAAACAGCCGCTGAGGAGCTAACGCGATCTACTCTTGGCCAGCTCGGATACGGGTGTGGCATGCACACCATTAGTGACCTCGGAGGGGGAGCAGAGATCCTAATACGAAGACCGGACCTGACACGAGGACGCTGGCGAAAAGGCAAAGAATCATTCGTCGAATCAAATGCTCCGGGCCATGCAGAGGACTATTTTTACTTTGTGTGATGCTCTCTTACAGGTACCACGCAGTAACCGTTGGTGGTTAAAGAAATCGTCTTTCATCTGGTCATCTTTCCATCACAGCCTTGCCATTCGGTTCCATCCGTGTCTCTCCCTCTCTTTCCCGTCTCCTCTCTGCTTCTGATGGACCATGTCAATCCGTAAAAAAGCAAGTACCTTCAAGTACCCCGGTCCTCCCATATGCAGGCTCTCAACGGATCGAACGGTACATGCAGCTTGACCGTAAGCTCCCTACAGTTGGCAAGTACCCATCCGCTCTTCCTCCCTGCTGGCTCCGGCCACGGGCGAGATTCCAGTGTTATTTTTACCTACGCCACGCCCGATCAGGCAAGGGCTCACCAACATTACCCCTGTCTAGAGCCTCTTCCGCTACGCCTCTTCAGGCCATGGCGCGGTGCGTGGCACTATTCTGGGCCCCGGGAACGACCAAGGTACCTCGTCCAGGTCACTCCGTACACGCTTGTACACGGACTCGAGTGAAGAGGAAATCTCGGGATTTCTGCACCTCCTCGTATGTCCCCTTTTCTCGCTGCTTCTTTTTTTTACCCTTCCTTCTCGAGCCTTGACAGCAGCTTCTTTCTCCGTTTTCCATCTCCGTCGCCCCTCCACCCGCAGCCGCCCTGTTCGTTGCTTCGTTCATCGTCCCTCGCTTTTTCATCGTTCCGTCTCTCCTCTCTTGACGGCTCCGACACTCGCTTTCCTCTGCTGCTGCTGCTGCTGCTGCTGCTGCTGCTGTGGTTTTCCCGTCCATCTGCCAACGATCCGACCCGCTTGTGGTACAGCCACAAGGCCATCTTGACTCGTTCCGCCGAGGGGGCGCTTGCCATTGTCTTGTCCAACCACCGAGCATTTTTGTTGCGAGCAAACACCAGTCTTTTGCTATCAAGATCCTCTGTTGAACCGGAAGTGGGTGGCTTCAATACCCGGGCTTGCTTCCTGGTTCCTGGGACTGTTTACATCCGCATCATCTTGCGTGTTGCGTTATCGCCTGTGTTTCGTTATCATCATTTCTTTTCTGGTTAGAATCAACAGTCATATCACTTCGGCAAGATGCGTCCCACGGCGACATTGATGCACCTGGCTCTGTGCCTTTCCTCCGCTGCGCCTCTGGTGTCAGCCTGGCCCGGCTGGCTTCCCGAGCTCGACGCGCTGGTTGTTCGTGCTGACAAGGGTATGTCGTGATGCGCTGATGCGGCATACGCCCTGCGCTTTGGATGAGCCTGTATTGACCGATTTGACAGAGGGAAACACTGCAGAGCCCACGCTGCCGGGCAACACTGCTAAACCGACCCAGAGCGGCGATGCGGCGGACGCGACCCAAACCGGCGACAGCTCCGACGACAAGTCGAGCACGAAGAAGGGGGCTAGCAAGACGACGGACAAGGACGACAAGAAGACGACGAGCACTAAGAAGGGATCAAAGTCGACGGATCACAAGCAATACCCCCCCGAGTCCCCCCCGGGAAGCGTCGTGATGCAGACGCCCAACGTTTTCGCCGCGAGCGCCGCCCTGTACAAGATTGGCGACTACATCACCTGGGGATGGAACTACACTAACATTTTGGGGACGCCCACCGCCATTGACGTCCTCATCAGCTGCTCGACGGCCTCGGAGACCTGGACACTGACCTCCAACATGACTTTCAAGCCGTCTGCCGCATACACCTGGGACAGCAGCGTCCAGGAGAGCTCGGTGGAATCGCCCCTCCCCGTTGCCATGTACACGCTCATCATCAAGGACTCGGACGCGGCCATTAGCGACGTCCCGGACGCTGGCTACCTCGGCACCTTTAGCAGCTTCACCTTTGGCCTCTACACTCCTCAGCCCTACGTTCCCTTTCCCGAGTGGAGGTGCGACGCCTGCAATGCTGCCTTGTCCAAGTTTGACCACCAGGTTCTGGGCTTTGCCATCACCATGGGCCTGGTGACGGTGCTCAGCTTCACCTGGTTTGTCTCTGGCCTGGACCTCCAATAATCAGGCCTTTCCTGCTGCTGCAACAATCCTCTTGGTGTAGCCTTTTGCATATGAAGCTTTTGGAGAGGGGGGGAAATTCATCACAGGCGATAATTACGGGTCATTTCCAAAGGCGTTTTGTTCTTTGAGCTGGTGTTTTTTTAGTCTATTTTATTGCGCGCGTGCATGCTTGGATAAACAAAGGGGGTGCATTAAAGTTACTCGGACGACTCTTTTCACGATGGAACCACTCAGATGAAGAAGAAGACGAAAAAGATAGTTACAAGTTTTAATGACGTATACATTTAATGGGCTGATGGCCTTGACCAGATGTTGAACAATTTGCACTTCTTCGTATTGGAAAAGGTGGCTGGCTTGTCAGTGATAGGAGTGCACATGGGAAGATGTGAATCGCCTTTTTGTAGATGGATGGATGTCTTGTGCCTCGCCTGTGCAAGGCTGTGTGTACTCTTTGGTATAGTATAAACAAAACTGGCTGCTCTAATGTGTATCTAAAATCTCGAGAGATGGGACAAATGGGCATGCTTCAATGAGTAGCAGAGGGCATAACGAGATGGGAGGCTTGAAATAGTAAGCAATGTGATGGGAATAAAATGGTGCAGCCCCCCGTTCAGACCATGCGCAGACTGAAGCCGGCGCCTCTCTCCTCCTTGTCCCTCCCCTGAAAGATGCCGCTAAAGTCGACGTCGCCCAGCGCGACGGCCTGCCCGCGCACGGGGGCGTCGGGCTCGTGCCGGCGCCGCCGCTCCTGGCCGGCCTTGCTGGGGAACGTGGGGAAGAGGCTCTCGGGCTTGGGCTTGGGGTCCTGGCGGAAGTACTCGTGGTCGAGCATCTCTGCGGCGGAGGGCCGCCTGTCCGGGTCGAGGGACAGCAGGCTGCTGAGGAGGGAGGCGCCGGCGGCGGTGAGGCTCGGGAAGCGGGCGCGGATGACGGAGCCCGAGGCCTGCGGGGGCGTCTGCTTGGGGAGGCGGAGGGAGCGGGCGTTGGGGAGGCGGCGGAACGAGGGCCAGGAGTCGTCGGTGGGGACGCCGCAGAGCTCAAAGACCTTTGAGATCTGGTCGACCTCGTTGGAGCCCTGGAGGAGGGGCTCGCGGGTGATGAGCTCGCCCATGATGCAGCCGACGGACCACATGTCGACGGCGGCGGCGTAGTCGCGGGCGCCGAGGAGGAGCTCCGGGGCGCGGTACCAGAGGGTGACGACGAGCTGGGTGAGTTTTGGGCGGGGGTCGCCGACGTGGCGGGCCATGCCGAAGTCGGCGATCTTGAGGAGGCCGCGGTTGCTGAGGAGGAGGTTGGACGTCTTGAGGTCGCGGTGCAGGATGTAGTTTTGGTGCAGGTAGGCGACGCCCGCGGTGAGCTGGAGGAGGAGGCGCTTGACCTCGGAGGAGAGGAAGGGCTCGGGCATGTCCTGGAGGATGCTCTTGAGGTCGTGTTCGACGAATTCGAGGACGAGGAAGATGGAGCTGTGGCGATTTGTAACAACGGTTAGTTTACTAATAAGAGTATGTTGTATTTGTTTGTCCGTGTTGGGGTTCTTACTTGTCTGGCCTAGAAAGGTCGTTGCCGACGACAACCTCCTCCATGGTCACAATGTTGCGGTGCCGGCACTTCTTGAGAATCTGGATCTCGCGCAGGCCCGTCACGGGCAGGCCGTTGGGGTCGCCGGGCTCGAGCTTGAGGCGCTTGAGGGCGACGACCCTGCCCGAGGCGATTTCGGTTGCGCGCGCGACGAAGCCGTACGTGCCCTCCTCGATGTCGTTGAGCTTGTCGTAGTTGTCGACGCTGCGACAGGGCCTCCAGGTGCCGACGTCGAAGCGGAGCAGGGAAGAAGAAGAAGAAGAAGAACTGGTGTTGTTGTCGTTGTTGGTGGTGGTGCTGGAGGAGGGCTCAGGGGTGAGTTTTCGGCGCTTGGAGGGCCGTGATGATGATGATGATGGTGGTACTGAAGCATCTTGGTTATCTTCCCCGTCGTTGGCGTCGGGTTGTGATGTCGTTGACGCGGCAGAAGCTAGGAGCGCTTGTTTCTTCTTTTCCTCCTCTTGGAGCTTCTGCGCCTTCTTGCGCCGCTTCTCCTCCTTTTCTCTCTTGAGCCGGGCTTCAAACTCGGCGTCTTCTGCGGTGTTGGCCCATCTGGACTTTGGCTTGCTAGACATGTTTTGCGGTTCGGAGCGGATCTATAGGGGCCGTCTGTCGCTTATTTCGTGTTCGACCTGGTTGTGAGGTTGGTGATCTTGGCCAATTGAGCCAAGCGGAGCGTTGGTGAAGCTCTGGTTTGTGTAAGGTAGTTGAAGCAACTGGGATTGAATGGACTGACTGAACTCGTCCGCGCTCTGAAGAGCTGCGTCGGTTCCCTGCAAAATAGAGCGGGTCTGCTTTATCGGGCTGCTTATCTGGTACAGAGTACATGTGCGAGCGTCCGGGGTTGCGGGGCGTCAGAGGTATCTTGAGCATTCTCCTTCAATCTTGATATTGACCATCAGCATCACAGTTTACAATATCACAGCCATTTCCTCTGTCCAAACCTCTAATTAGGCATCTTGAGGGGCATTGCTTCATTCATCTCTACGCCGGTTCCGTTTGATAGCCAAGAGATACATCACTCGCCCGCCTTGCTCGCCTTCTTCTGCTTCTTCAGCTCCCTCCGCTCCTCTACCAAGCTCGCCATCTTTGTCCCAATCTCAGTCCCCAACTCACTGAATCCTGTAATCACTCCATCAGCGTCTCCATCGCCCACCTCCTGATCCATCTTGAACTTGCCCTCCATCCTCTCAATCTTGACCTCGAACCCAATGATGGCCTTCTTCTTCATGTTGATATACGCCGCTGGCGCATCAGACACCTGCCACGGCTTGGGCCTGGACCCTTCTCCCGTGTAGCCCATGGTGACCCTCTCGTTGAAGCTGGACAGATCGTCAATCTGCGAATCGAGGAAATCTGCCGTCTCCTCTGCGTTTGCGTCGACGTAAAAGGTGGCCTTGCCGTACACCTGGACGGCGGCATAGTTCCAGGTGCCGACAACTTTGCCCGTCGCCGGCTTGGTGGCCGTGTAGAACTTGGGCGTGACATAGTGCTGGACAGACGAGGTGAACATGATGAGGACGTCTTGCCGCAGAGTCGTCGGGTTGCTGTCGCCTGCGGCCTGGCGCTGCTTGATCTCGTCGATGATGGCCTTGCTCTGGGGGTTGGCGCGGGCCATGTGCGCCCTCAGCCGGCCGAGCTCCGTCTCGCTGGATTCGTCTTCAATATCGAGGACGAAGGGGATGTGGCTGGACTGGAGAAAGGGGTAAGATGACGAGGCGATGGCGGTGGTGAAGAGGCCCAATGGGTTCTCGCGGATCAGCTGCCGCAGGACGCGGAGGTCTGTCTCGACGTGGTCGCTACGGAGATACATCTTTCGGAGATGCCTGTTTGTTGATGTTCCGAGCTGTTGCTCTATCCTGCTTTCTTGGCCTTTTTTCGTCCTGTTCCTCGACGTTAACTGATGCTCGCTGTTTTACAGGACGAGGCTCTAGAGTCTCTGAAAGTGTGACTCTTATGCTGCGTACGGTGCCTCTATCACTGACACCTACACTGACTGGTACTGGCAAGATGCCTTATATACTCCATCGATCAAGAACTATCATAAACAATCATCCGATCAGTCTTCCCATCCGGGGTATTTCATTATTCACAGGCAAGCCTCGCATCCCCTCCGAGGTGGAGCTCGCTCGTGTATACTCGACGCAGTTAGTCGACATTGGTGCATCTCCGTAAACGGAATTGCCCTGCACTTGATTGGACAACGATGACTCTGACGGGCAACATTGCCGTTGAGAGCTTCAACTTCCTGATGCTCACGCAATACTTGTTACTCCCATTAATACCTGTATTGGTAGCTTCATTACCCCAAAATCGTCAAAGGAGTTGGGAATAGGGTCAAATATTAACCGAAGTACTGAATGCACCTTGGTGCTAGCTATGATACTCGGCATTATTGTGAGCACCGCCATGAACGATCACTAATACGGAGTTACGGGACAGCTTGACTGCCAATGGACTTGGGCAACCTGAGGCCTTATTCCATCCCATCAACCCCATGCCTCTGGACATCAACATCGTCGCCGCCCGTCAACAGTTGCCTGGTTGAAGAATATCTCAGGCTCCAGCATAACCATCCCAGCCACCTCTCATACCCGATCCATCACAGAAACCTCCAACAAGGAGGCCCCAAATCCTTGGTATTTCTCGCCTCGAGATAAAACGGCGACTGCGAGAGATCGACCCTTTCCGCCGAAGCCTCCACCACCCTGCTCTTCCACATCATGGTCATCTTGCCGTCGTAGCATGCCCACAGGCGAGGCAACGTGTCCAGATCCCGCGCGAGATAGCCCTGCACCTCTTCTGTCAGGGGCCGATTCGCGAGCACAGTCGAGATCCTGCCCTCCCCGGCGAGCCTCTTCCGAATCTCTTCCGTTACCACCTAGGGCTTCGTATCACTCTCGGAAGCAGCAGAAAACCCCGCGTCCTTTTGGATGCACGTCTTCCAGTCCTTGACGAATCGCCTCGACGCGTTGTAGCACGTTGCGAGCTCCATGAGCTGCAGGTCGAGGACGAATTGGAGGCTGATGGAGAAGCGGCGGAACAGGATGTGCGAGTGGTCGCGGACGTCGAAGAAGACCTTGGGGATGCGGAAGGACTCGAGGATGTCTCTGAGCGTGTTGCCGCTTTTGCCTGGCGCTGAGAAGCACTCTTCGTCGAGGACCTGGGCGTCGATCAAGTGTATCTCTTGCGTGGGGTGGATGTAGAGCCTCAGGATGGACAGGGAGCATTCGCCGCCGGGCTGTATGACGCCTGTGATGGCCATGTATATCGACGGTGGTTCGGTGGGCAATTCCATGAGGGAGTCGATTACTGTGGCGAGAGCCGAGATGGTGTCGATAAGAGTGTGTGCAGGGGTGAAAGGGCCATTGGCAGCTGAGTTGTTCGCAATGCCAGTATCCATGCTGGTTGCTATGTGTATCTTTTGTTTATTTGTGTTGACTTGGGCCATTACCATGTAGAAATGCTGCCTGTGTGCAGAAGGAAGGAAGAGACAAGGGACGATATTATATGGCTGGACTCGGTGTATGCTTTAGAAACTCATAGCTTCCCCTAGGTAGCTCATGCTAGGCTTTGGCCGCCGGAAGTATACCCCTCGAGTGAAACCATGTGCAAGTGAAATATATCGAGAGATCGGTGGCATCGCATCACATATGAAGATGTGACTGTGTGTATTTCGGTGGTGGTGGCAGCTGCCCGAGATGCACAGGTAAGCGTACATGTATATGGCCCAAGCCCTTGATATCAAAGCACCAGTGAAGACAGCATAATCAGCAGTTACCGTACTCAATGTGAAGGGTAAAGTAGGTTTGCGTGCTGAATAGGCTTTTTGATAAGGTTAACCTTTATGATCTAACCTACCTTGCTCATGTTGGTGAATTTTGCAGCGACGGCTGGCGATCAAACATGGAGCGGACATTGAGTGTTGTTCGAGAACCTACCCTGATGAATATACAGTGTTTTGGCGTGAATTCCCGGACTTCTACCTCTCATTTTCTCATTTATTCTACACCCACCAAGATTCTAGTAGTATCATGGATAGCTACCAGCAGAGGTTGTCACGATGAATCCCTCATCATGCGAGCTACTAAGCGAGCCAGCTAGCCATGAGGATTCCGTCAATGTTATCTGCCTGGGTGAGCCGGGGCACTTCCCACGACAAGCCTGGATGATTGGCGGACGTGTTTCGAGATGCATGAGGCAGCGGGTGCTCGTGATGTGCCGATGCATCACACTGCATCTCCTGATGGGTGCGATGGACATCCGGCAGTCATCAGCGGGAGTAATTGGCCGTCGTCTTGAGCGCAACGGCCGAGTTGTTGGCCTCGAGTCAGAATGCCGACTCGGGTAGAGTTAAGCTCTTAGTTAGACTTAAGACTACTATCTCCACCATCAACGCCTATGTGGACATCTCAAGCTCGCTATGAGATGAGAAACTGTTGTGTCAGGTAGTATGTACATACATAGACAGGAGCTGCCTCTCCTCTGCACCACATGAAGCCTTCAATGTTCTTTTCTTGTTCCATTCCATCTGCCGCTCGCTTCTCCCCTGCCTGCATATGTCTCACATGCCGGTCCAGACAACGAGGCTTTTCCTAGGGCCCTCTCTCCCCTTTCCGCTTCCCCTTCCACCGTCGACATGAGTACTAACAAAAAAGCCACAGGCAAGCCATCCGTCGCTGCGGGGTCACTGCAATTTAATCTAGCCGCGATGCCCTCATAGAGCGAGAGAGAAAAAACAAAAAGCTCCGTTTCAGCCTCGCTCTGTTCTGGCCCACGGCCGTAGCCCGAAAAAGCGCCATAGCGCGCTGCACGTCGAGTTCAGCTGTCAAGGGTCTCGTCAAATGGCGAAGCTGCAAAAGTTCAGCCCCAGCTCCTTTTGCCGGTGCGCTGCTGCCAAGGCGCCGTTTGTTTAATCGCTGGCGCTGGGCAGGGGTTCCCCGTGATGGGTTGACGAGGTTGAAGAGAGGAAGCAGAAGAAGAAGCGGAGGAAGCTGAGGAGAGAGGGAGAGAGAAGAAAAGATGGAGGAGACAGGGGGAGAAAAAAGAAAGAAAAACTGTTTGATCCGTCATTTTATCTTTTGTATCTCTTCTTGTGGTGATATTTGACTTGGTGCAAGGCAACGCTCTTTGGTGTTGTTGCCGTTGCTGTTGTCGTGCTTCTGTGCTACTGCTGAGACTCAGCCCTGAGAGTCGCTCTCGTCTCGAACAGCAGCTGAAAGCAACATCTTCTCCTCGTCTTCTACCTCCCCCCATCTTCTCTGCTGGTTTACATTTAGCACCGTCGCCTCGGCCAGCCACAGCCCGCCATGCGCCGATCAACGCGGACGCGGCTGTCTCTCGCTCCAGCCATCTTGTTGGCAGCTCTCGTCGAGGCTGACCTCAACTACGTGACGGACCTGGATATCTACTCTCTCCTGGTAGGTTGATGTGCCGTAGATGTAGATGTATCAGTGTCCATTATCAGAGAGAGAGAGACATGGCTAACATAGAGCTCGACACTCACAGGCCCCTTGTGTCTCCGACGCCATCTCTTACAACATCGCGACTCTCACATACGGCACAATATGCGGCGACTCGGAGACGGAGCTGCAGTCGTGCGCCTGTTCCAACACGGACCGCTTCAACAGCATCACGTCGTCCATCTCGCGCGACGTCAAGGTCAGCTGCGGCAGCACCGCGACCGAGGACCAGCAGAGCGCATCGAGCGTCCTGGCCAAGTACTGCAACCAGGACCTGCCGATCACCTTCTCGACGCCGACCAAGAACGTGGTCGAGGCCTACATCACCGACCTGAGCCAGATCAACTATCTTCCGCAATGCGCCCAGTCGGCGCTGTCGGAAGCCGTGATGGGGGATGTACGTTGTTTCCAGTCTCTTACACGGCCGCTGGCAGGATGATGGAGGTGGGAGGAGGATATGACTGACACTCTGACCACAACCGCTTAGAACGCGTCCAGGTGCCCCGAGGCCGCCAATCTCTTTGCGCCCTGCGTTTGTGGAAAGGGCGGGATCCCCTCACAAGTCAGCGACGTGATCAGCAAGTCTGTTCGGTAGGTCGAGCTTCATCTTTGGACGGGGTGTGAGGCTTGAGCTAATGGACGATGTGTGTGCGTGTGTTGAAGATACTCGTGCTCCAACGGAGGCGACATCACCGCTGCTCAGGACTTTTACAACGAATACTGCGCCATGAACAACGGAACGACGACGTTTACGCAGCCGCCGGGGCCGCCAGGAGACAGTACGTCGAGCCAGGCTTGATTGCCGCTGACTACCGAGAAACAAATAAGCTGTACGGGCAACTGACATCCGGTTCCATTACGCAGTGACATATCACATCACGGCCCTGCCCCAGTTCAAGGCGTTGCGGTCATGCGCCCAAAGCGGCGTTGCGTCTGCCATTCTCGATGCAAGTTTGCTTTATATCCCCCTTACGCGACAGTCCTGGCCGCAGTCGTGTTCGCTACTAACCCTTTAACTTCAATGTAGCAAACGGAAATATACTGCGCCACCGGTCCCCAGGCCCTCGCCTCGTGCGTCTGCATCAAGTCCGGCATGAGCGGCCGGATCCTGAGCACCCTCACGTCCAACGTCAAGTGGAACTGCGACAACACGGCCACGGCAGACGTCACCTCGGCCCTCGACGTCTTCGCCGTGTACTGCAGCGCGGCGGAAAAGGAGACTGTCCTGTCCGTCACCGAGACCGCCACGGAAACGTATCCGCATCCTACCAACCGCGTCTCTTCGTTTTCCGCCAGCCCTTCCGAGACGGGGAGCAGCGGCGGCGGCGGTGGCGGTGGCAGCAGCGATGGAGGAAACAGCGGCTCCGATAATGGTGGAAAAGACGGAGGATCATCATCATCTCCTGACGGTAATTCGGGCGCGGACTCGAGCTCAAAGACAAACTCGATCAACAAGACGGCCGTCATTGCGGCCTGTGTCCTCGCAGGCGTCGTTCTCATCGCCGCCATTGCCGCCGTGGCATTCTTCGTCCGCCGGAAACGCAACAAGAACAAGGGAGAGCAGCTCCCGATAGCCGACGGCCCTCCTCATCTCGAAGGCCCCCCCGAGCTCGAAAACACGTCCAAGATGGGGCCAAACGTCGCCGTCGTGCCCGAGCTTCACAGCACCGAGAGACAGGAGCTCCAGGGACATACCGGGACGCCCTTGAGCGAGTTGCCGCCCGGTTACGCCTCTCCTCGGCCGGAGCTCCAGGGGAGCGGCGAGTACAAGCCGCCGGTTTCGCCGGTGCACGGAGGAGGAGGCTATCAGCAGCCGCCCCATTCGCCGTATTACGGGCATCAGCAGCAAGGGGCTGCGACGGTCTCTCCTGCGACGCCAAACACGTACGGGGCTGGATGGCAGTCTGGGCCGGTTGCGGAGACGTATGAGTTGGATTCGGCTACGTGGAAGGCTTCATAGTTTTGAGATATCCTAGCTTTTTTTTTTCTGTTTCCATGACATGGCATCGTGTTGAATTCGTATTGCTGTCATTTGATCGTCTGTGTTTGTCTGGTGTTTCTGGTGTTACGGCTCGTGGGAAAAGCAGCAAAGGATCATATATCCTCGTAACTTCATTCCATCGTTATTACAGTCGGAATCTCTCCTTAGAGATGCCCGGCTGCTCATACCTACTCTTTTCTTTGTAAAATTCTTCATACCGTGCGTCGTAACAGCTCGACCTCGCTGGACAGAGAAGGGACACGAGCCTCGAACCCGCTTATCCATGGGAGCTGCTTTACGTTTGCCATGACCTGCTCCCACGCCCAGTCATACTCACTCATCATATTCGCAACCATTTCGAGGGAAGAGATCCTTTCAGAGGCGAGTTCCGACATGGTTGCGCAGAGAAGCAGGAGCCAGAGCTGGAAGGGGATAAAGTAGGGTGTTGTGGAGATGAGGTTCTTGACGCTCTGGCTTCGCAGGAGGTGCAGCAGACGGTTGACGTACAAGGCCGGCGATCCCGGAAAAGCCTGCGCCTTCTGCTTAACGCCGAGGATCCAGAGGAGCACACCCAGACGAAGAGCCTCGGTGAAGCAGCAGGGCAGGTCCGTGCTGTCCGCGTGCGGATGGGGCGGCGAGTCGAGCAGGCGGTAGGCGATGGGGTTGAGGCGGGTGCCGAGGAAGACTTCCTCCTTCCAGAGGTCGTCGCCCCAGGCGTCGAGATTGGACTGGATGACTTCCGTGAGGCTGCCGATGTCGCGGAGGGCGGAGACGACGCCGAGGTGGTGGGCCTCGTGGCTGGGGCAGAGGCTGATGAGGTGGTAGGGTAACGGGGTGAGGATTTCGTGGGAGTGGTGGTGATGGGGGGTGATGGGGGGGAGGAGCGTGGATGGCATTGGGAAGCGGGGCTTTTGGTCGAAGAGGAGGGAGGATATGGTGTCGATCCTGGAGGCATGATGGGGGTTAGAGAGGGTTTGGTAGGGGATATGGTTGGGGGCGGGTTGTGTTGGCGTACCAGAATAGCATCAAGATGGTTTCTTGGTTGTCGGAGAGACTCTCGATGCCGCCCCTCATGGAGATCAAGAGCTTGAGGCCATCGAGATGGACACGAGCTTGAGCCAAGTCGCCAATGATGTACTAAGGGGAAGGGAAGATGATCAGTATACCAGCTTCGGAGGTGGCATCAGGTATCATACATTGTAGCAAATACAGCCCACCACGGCGCGAATCACATTGTCTGCCGTGGCAATGTTGATGTCGGGATCCCGCAGCTTCATCTCGATGCACGACACGTTCTCGGTGGAGCGGGCCAGGGCAAAGATCATGTTCCGCTCCGTGGGCTGGGCGTGGATGGCGGTGCGGACTTCGGGCCCGGTGAGGTAGCTGCGGCAGAAGTTGGAGGCTTTGAAGGCGAAGGGGAACCAGAAGTGGGATTTGCACGAATCTGTTTTGGAAATGAAAAATATGTCAATGTGAGAATACTGGATGTGATGGGGAAGGGTTGGGGGGAGTTGCTTACTCTTGGCGGACAGGTTCCAAGAGACGGCCAGGGCCAGACCATAGGCCGCAAAGGCGTCCATTGCCCAGGTCGCCTCTAGGATGGCGAGAGGGTGTTGGTCCCAGAAGGGACGGGTGAGAGGGGGGAGAGGGTGAAGGGGCTTTCCGCATGTGTATTGAGGCGGTGGTTGTATCTGTAGCTGCAGATGGGTCTGAGACTGGGACCGAGTCTCACTCTGTGCCTTTGATGAAGATGATTTAGAGGTAGGAGATGATGGGGATGAGGCTGATGCAGCCGACTTTGCTGATTCGGCTGATACTGCGTCTGCCGCTGCCTCTACTGCCGCGGACCGGACGCGCAGCTTGACCTGCGGGTTCCGCGGCGGCTTCCGGCGCGCCTTGCCGATGTCCCGCATGACGTGCTGCCGGATCTGGCGCTTTGTCTTTGCGTCCCGGGGCCGGCCGCGTGCTGAGCCGGTGGTATTGATGAAGAGCAGATGCGGGCCGTCGGACGGGGGATCGGCCGCCTCGTCCTGCTGCTTGGGGGTCATCCTGTGCCAGGGGAAAGTAACTCCTCCGTATAAGTGATTTATAATGCAGGGAGTGGGGGGACTTCCTCCGAGTATCTGGTCTATCTGGTTGAGACGATGTATCGCGTTGAATAAGCCAAATGCTCCTCAGGGCGTGTGTGTCGGCTGTCCCAACAGAGAGTCCGTAACTCCGGAGTACTGGTATGGTTCTCAAGGTCTCTGTGTGGCGGGATCGGTAGTAAGAAGCTCAGTCCAGTTCAAGCGGGTTTCAAGAAGCTTCTTGCGAGCCTTGCTTGCTCTTTGGTATGCGAGATGAGGAGGACTATATGCCTAAAGAGGTTACAGGAGCAGAAGCTAGAGCTTTAAGTAGAGACGACTAAGAGGGAGACTTTGATCTAACAAGAATCGGGATGGGAGCCTCGGACGTCACCGAAACCAACTCGATCCTCCCCTCCTGCGTCTCTAGTCCTTTAGTCCTGCACATGTCAGAAGGTTAGAACCCAAGTTGTTGGACTCGATTATTCAGCCCTTCCCCCCTGAGAGCCAATCGGGGCGTCTAGCTCAACCCCCTCGTCCGTCTAGTTCGTACGACTCCAACTGCCAGGGCGTAGCAAGAATCTCACTCAAAGAACCGACTATTCCGGATGCGGTCTCTGGTATCCCTGCTCATGCGTGTCTAGCGTCGATCCAGTGGCTGACTAGAGCTGGCGGAAGCATTAAGAAATAAGTGCCAGAATAGGCAGTGCCTGAAGGGAGCGAGATTCAAGTGCCTGCTGTGGGCTTGTGGGGGAAGAAACTTGTGGTTTCGAGGGCTGGTTCTACTATTAGATCTAGCTAAACTCGCATTTGTCATAAGTGTGCTTTCTCATCACGATCAATGATTTCTGGATTTCTAATGGTGTTGCATTTTTGTTGAGGGTTATCGCGAGAATCTGGAGATGTCAATGACAAGGCTAGGAGAGTGAGTTGTTTCGGGGCCGCTGCAGGAAAAGATGGAGATGGTTTCGCTTGACGTCTGGATAACATAAAAGGGGAGCCGAGAGCTGTAGACTTGAATCGAAAAGTGTCTCAATCACAACTCATCAACAGCTTGGATCATCAACGGCTCTGCAGTCTCCCCTGGACAAGATCAATCAATCCGAAGTCGTCAACAACTCTGCAGTCTCCCTGGAACAAATATCAATCAAACAACACAATCACAATGTCTACCGACTTCAGCGGGAAACTTGCCATCGTCACCGGAGCCTCCAAGCTCAACGGCATTGGCTATGCTACTGCATATGCCCTCGCCAAGGCTGGCGCTGATGTATGTCTCTCTCCCTCTATCCCTCCCCCCCTTTCCCCGAGTTGTGACAGCTTCTTCTCTGAGCCTTGACTAACACGAATATGCGATAGATTGTCATCCACTACAACTCCAACAAGACTGCCGCCGAAGAGGTCTTGGCCAAGATCAAGTCTACCGGCGTAAAGGCCATTGCCGTGCAGGCCAATGCCTCCTCCGTCACCTTTGGCACCGACATCGTCAACGCCACCGTCGCCGCATTCCCAGGCCGCAAGATTGACATCCTCATCAACAACGCGGGCTGGTTCGCAGGCTCAGACAGCCCTCAAACGACGACCATTGAGGACTTTGACGCCTTGTTCCATCCCAACGTCCGCGGCCCTCACCTGTTGACCATTGCTGCTCTGCCCCATCTCGCTTCGCCCGGCGGCCGCATCGTCAACATTGGCAGCGTCGTTGCCCGCACCGGCAGCAAGTACGCAGCGTTTTACTCTGCCACCAAGGGCGCGCTCAACTCGCTGACCATCGCCTGGTCGGAGGAGCTCTCCCCCAAGGGCATCACCGTCAATGTCGTTGCCCCCGGGCCGATTGACACTGATTACGTGCCGCCGGAGGATAACCCGCTGACGCAAAAGTTCCGCGTCCAGCAGCATGTGAAGAGGAATGGAACGACGGACGAGGTTGCCAGTGTTATTCTGTTTGCGGCGAGTCCCGGGGCGAGCTTCGTGACGGGACAGGTCCTCGGCGTGGACGGCGGTATGAGCTACGTTTGAAGAGGAGCTGGGACAGCGGTTGAAAAGCCCTGTAGACTGTTTTAGATGTTGAGCGTTGTTTGTCTAGAGATATATAGATACTAGTTGGCTCGTCTGCTAGAAGGAATAGAGAATCTCATCAACCCCTGTAAATGACAAGACATAAGCATTGTATCTCTCTTTTTTTCTATTGTATCAAAGAGCTGTCAAGCTTAGCCAATTGAAATACCCGATAATCATCTTCCCCAGAGGAGCTGAGTTTGAACGGCGCCGGTCTCCTATAACTCATAACCCACTCCGGACTTCGTCCCGTTCGCCCAATCACCGAAGATGAAGGACGAGATCTGGCGCTCCGCTAATGAAAAGCTTAAAAGTGAGATGCATTTTCACGACCAGATTGTCCCGTTGACTAAGACTGCTGCTGCTCGAGCACAAAGTCCGCGGAATGCGGCAGCCCCGGAAGATCCGAGAGAGAGAGAGCAGACATGTGCCACATTTCTTGTTCACTCATGGGTATTATACCAATGCCTTGGAGAAAAAGGAACAGATAGAAATAGAGGCCATGATAATTCTCAACATGTTTATGTCAACGCCTCGTTATGGTCGTCTTCGGGCGTAATCTGACACACAACTGGCTGTCAAGTGAGCGGGCAGTGAATGGCCGCGTCGAGTCGTCGTAAGCGCCGAGACACGGAATGACGAGATCCTTACACTATCGCAGTCAATGAACGCTTTTGTATATCGGAGCTGAAAACCGTGGCTGGTGAGCTAGCTGTTTGTTTTCTTTCTCCAGAAGCTCTTTATAATGCTTGTTGCTTCTTCCATCATCTTGGAAAGGTTTGGAGCTCGCTACTCGCTGACACTGATCGGTTATCGAGCAACTCGAGGACCATCTCTCGATTTGACTTCCCATTGTGATGGTGACGATCCTGTATAGCTTAATTCAGTGAGAAGAGAAAGCAGATTCGTCAATAGCACTCACTCTGGCATTGCTGACACCGGAGCACCTCTTCGTCTTGGATCAGCCTTGAATGCTTCCTTGCCGGCTGCTCATCATGGAGAGAATGATTCACATCTCGCGCATCCTCTCCAGCCTTCTTGTGTATTTGATGATTTCAGGTAGGCCACATCTGTAACAGAAACAACCATCACCCTCACTGATATAAGGCGCGTAGCCTCATTCCCACCAAGCACCCAAGCATCGTCCCTCATCCAAAGAGCCGCACCCGTTGCCCCCGACGGCTACACCCCAGCGCGCGTCTCATGCCCAGCAAACCGGCCCTCCATCCGCGCAGCAACGGGCCTCTCGCGCAACGAAACAGACTGGCTCCCCCTCCGCACAAACAACACCGTCCAGGCCCTCAAAGACGTCCTCAGCCGGGCCAACATCAGCGGCCTCGACACGGGGCGCTACATTGACAATCTCACCAATGTCGGGACCGGCCTTCCAAGGGTCGCCATCGCCATCTCGGGAGGAGGATACCGGGCGTTGATGACGGGGGCGGGCGCTCTGGCGGCGTTTGACAACAGATCGACGAATGCGACGGAGACGGGACACCTCGGGGGACTTTTGCAGTCGGCAACGTATCTCGCAGGGTTGTCGGGGGGGAGCTGGCTTGTGGGGAGTCTTTATGTGCAGAACTTCACGTCGGTCGAGTCCATCATCCGCTCTACGCACGGCTTCTTGAGCACTCTCTGGCAGTTTGACAACTCCATCCTCCATGGTAAGAACGGGCTGCTTGTCCTTGTATGAGTGAGTCGCCCAGCTAATACTTCGTGTAGGGCCCTCTGATCTGTCCATTACCAGTTACTTCGAAGAGGTGTTTGACGCCGTCGAGGGCAAAAGCAATGCTGGCTTCAACATCTCCATTACAGACTATTGGGGCAGAGCCCTGTCTTATCAGCTCGTCGACCCGCGTAACGGAGGACCTGGTAAGCCACTCCGTTCAGGACCTCGTGTATCTGCAGCGTGCTAACATCTCACGAAAGCATTTACCTTCTCATCGATATCGAATGATACAGACTTTGTGAATGCTTCGGCTCCCATGCCACTCATCGTATCCATTGAGAGGACATCGGGACAGCTTCAGATTGCCAGCAACTCAACAATATTCGAGTTCAACCCCTGGGAAATGGGCTCGTACGATCCAGGCCTGGAAGCCTTTGCGCCGCTCCAATTTGTCGGCTCCAACTTCACCAATGGCTCCATCCCCCGTGAGGGAGAGTGCATCGCCGGTGTTGACAACGCCGGCTTCGTAATGGGCAGCTCGTCTTCTCTGTTTAACCAGGCATTCTTACAGATTGGACGCGTCGAGGGCATCCCGGAGTTTGTGATCCAGACCATCAACAGATCGCTGGCAGACGTGAGCTCGGAAAACAGAGACATTGCAAGCTGGCCGAATCCCTTCTTTGGGTACAACGCCAGCGTGAATTCGAACGCAAACTCCACCGTTCTGGCTCTCGTGGATGGTGGCGAGGATCTGCAGAACATTCCTCTGCACCCACTGCTTCTGGCCGAGAGAGAGGTCGACGTTGTCTTCGCCATCGACGCCTCTGCGGATACGGAAACGCTGTGGCCAAACGGCACCTCCTTGGTGGCCACGTTCAACCGGTCAGAGGCCAGGGTGTCGGCAAATGACAGCAGGTTCCCAGATGTTCCCGATCAAAACACGTTTGTCAATCTCGGCCTGAACCAGCGCCCGACCTTTTTCGGCTGCAGCAACGGAAGCGACACTCCCTCGGGGCCGCTCATCGTGTACATGCCCAACGCCCCCTATTCGTTCCACTCCAACGTGTCGACCTTTGACCTGGAATACAGCGACGCGCAGCGCAACGATATGATACAGAACGGATACAACACGGCGACCATGGGCAACGGCACCGTGGACTCGAACTGGCCGGCGTGCGTTGCCTGCGCGATCCTCTCACGGAGCCTCGTCCGGACGAGGACGGCTGTTCCCGCAAAGTGCAGGGACTGCTTTGCGAGGTATTGCTGGAATGGGACGACGAATTCCAGCTTGCCGCATACGTATGAGCCTGCGCAGATTCTGGAGGGCACGGCGGAGGAGGCGGCTTCTTCGGCGGGGAGGATAGGGGGGACGTTGCTGTTGGTTGTCGTTGCGTTGATGGTGGCTCTTTGAGGTGGGAGAAGGAGGGAAATGTGTTGATGTAATTCTAGGAGTCGTTGGATTTGACAAGATTGTATGAAAAGGTCAGAATGGTTGCAGATCGAGTTATGGCAATATTCTGCCACTCAGCCAACACTTGGACAAGGTTCACATTCATGATGCTGTATCTAAGACAAAGAAACAACATGAATAAGCTTCAGTTTAGGAAGACAGGGTTATAGACAACCCTTTCTCACCACCGGTCAGCCCACGCTCGTATGCAATGCCTGCTGCTCAGCATGCGGCCCACTCCCCATCTCTATTCCAATCGACGGAAAAATTATTTCGCTTCGTATTGACAGCGAGCCTTGACATTCAAGCCTTGCCTTTGGAATTATTCATGCTTGAAATAAGCAGCTTCTGGATGGCCTGTGCAGGAGGGTTAAAGAGGAAGCTAGCTGGGGGGTTTATTCCGACCTGCCTTGTTGGTCAAAAAGCTCGGACACTATTCGTGGAAATGGGAGCGACAGTGGAGTGAGGCTATCGTAAATCGAGAAGCTCTTGAGGGTCAGGTTGGCACCGTATATAGCTTGTATTGTCTGTCAGGGATTCGGTCGAGCCAGGTGAGGCAGGGATCAAAGAAGGTTCCTGAGCGAAGGCCGCGTACTCGAGGATCATACTGCCCTTCGGGAAAATTGTCATCAGATGTTTGTGAGATTTTAGGCCGTGCATGTTCGATGCTGAACGAGAATGAAGCTGTCGTAGCCCATAAGGCCATGAGGGAACGAGGGAGGCCGTGGTGTATATAAGTCAAGGCTGCATCTCCCGTGTAAGTCCCCCGGACGAACATCAACAACAAGAATCCCAAGAAGCACTCCACGTTTCATCCCCCCTCCCGATACCGCCAAAATGAAGTTCTCCCTCTCCATCACCACCCTCGCCCTGGCCCTCACAGCCTCCGCCTCCCCCATCAGCGAGACGCAGGAGCCCGCCGCCGCCGCCATCTCCGGCTCCGGCACCAACGGCTCCATCTTCATGTTCGGCTCCGCCGCCAACTGCCGCCAGATCTTCTACGACTTTGGCGCCTGCGGCCTCAGCACCTTCTTCGCCGACCAGGTCCCCGCCAGCATGTCCCTCGTCGCCATCCCCTCGGGCATCTTTGACCAGTTTGGCGAGGCGCAGGACAACAGCCTCTGCGCAAAGGTCATTACCATGACGCACAACGGCGTGACGAGGCAGGCGATTGTTGCGGATGAGAATACGAGCGGCGAGCAGTCTATTGACATGTGTCTGGATCTGTGGGAGGCGTTTGGCGGGCATGATAACGATGGCTCTTTGATTACCAACTTTAGCTGGTCGATTGCAGCGTAAAACGCATCTTTGAGGGAAGGATAGAGGTTATGGCTCACGAAGCTCTGTATATATTCACACAAACTGTCTGTTATGAGTAAGATGGCAAGATGGCCCGTACATAGCAACACATAAAGGAGGGCGTAAATACATAGATGCTCCTGTTTCAACGTGCTGGAGGTCTCGTCTCTGTCCTAGGTATAATCTGGTTTGTCACCAAACCAAGCACATACGACCATAGGTAGAGGAGAACTCGGGGTCCCGTCTGCTCCCCCATAGATAAGCCTCTAACCGGCAGATTAGTAGTTGGGTGGGTGACCACCAGCGAACACCGGCTGTTGTATGTTTTTTTCTTTTTGTCTTATTATCTTTTAATATGTTAAGAGCTTTATGAAGCTACTACAGCGGCCTGTTAAGTATATATAACTATATTTATTAGAAAATATAGGATTCTATGAAATACTTCTCTTAAGTATATTATTTTTTTTTTAAAAAAAAAAACTTTATATTTAAAGTTAAATAATTAGTTAATAAATCTTATATTAAGAGATTTAAACTTATAATAAACCTAAGCTATAATGATTTTAAATTATATAATAAACTTTTATAAATTTAATAATAAGTTATTTTTTTTTACTAAGTTAAGCTTTATAAAAGTTAAATATTAATTTATAAGTAATAAATTAAAATTATATTAAGTATATATAAATATATATATATATTTATATATACTTAATATAATAAAAAATATTATTATTTAGCTTAATTTTAATTTATAAATATTTAATAAAAAAGCTAATTACTATTTTATAAATAATTAAAGTTATATCTTATTAAGATCTCTTTATAATTTAAATTCTCTTTACTTTTTAATATTACTTTTAAATGCCTTTAATAATATTATAACTAGCTAGTTTTTAATTAATTAGTTTTATTATACTTTTATTTATTATTTTATTAAAGCTTATATACTTTTTATTTTAAATTATTAATAAAGTAATTAATAAAGAAAAAGTTTATTATTTTTTATTATTTTTTAAAAAAAACTAATAACTTTTATAAATATATTAAATAGGTTTATTATTAAAATAATAAATAAAAGTAATTAATTTAAATTATTAAAGTTAAAATAAATAAATATAAATATAAAGTTAAAGAGATACTAGATTTATATTAGAATTAAGGAATAATTAAGTACTTAGTAAAGTGGGAAGGATGCTCACACGCAGAAAAACACTTGGGAGCCCAGGACGCACTTGCAGAATGTTAGGCGGATGGTAGGCTGCCCAATGCTGTCAGTTCACCAAGACTGTGGCCAATTACTGCGTCTACTTGCAATCTACCGTGCCGTCTAGCCAACACATGGCACAGGCCTATTGCACCGCAAACGTGCCCGCATGCAGGGCGACCACGTCAATCACAGCCTCCACTTGTGAGAGGGAAGACATGATGTCTGAGTAGCCCAGTTTTCGAAGGATGGCGTTGCATTGCTCCAGACGTTCCATCGCCGACATCCTGACCGACCAAAGCCAAAAGGGCGGGGTCGACCCCGCCGAGGGTTAATACGCGTAAATACTGCCTAGGTAGTGTGTGTGTGTTGGGTTGGGGGAGGGGGGACAGTGTTAGAATTGATTGGATGGGTTAATTTGGATGGACATACCTCCAGGAGAGCAAGACGCGCTCCTACAACAAGACAACCCAATATACTGTACTCCCTCACTTGGCTGGCGGCCTAGTCTGATAGCATTTATCACAAAGACAGTGTATTGGGCTCCCATCTGTTAGAAATAAGGGGTGGACATTGGGCTTATCTTCAGCCAATTGAACAGAACGACACAGAGGACACACATAACTATTGGGCTCGCTTCTATCTAATACCATCCTCTTCCTGCAAGACCACCTCCCATTTCACTAGCACTGCCCTTATCCATCCCTCTTAGCGCTGGTCCGGGCCGTGCCGTTGGTCAGAGAACGTTGGCGGGGGGGGGGGGGGGGAGGGGAACGGCAAACGGTTTTCTTTTCCACCCCCCGCGAAGTGAGTTAGACCCCTCATTCTCCTGCCTTTGCCTTGACACCAGGACACATGGATTACGTTAGTGATGGCGAGGTTTCCACCACATGTCCACATGTCCATCTGGAAGGATATAGGTACCTCTATATGTCAACGGCGGTTGCTCCAACATCGGACCTGAGGGTGCGCGAATGAGGCAAAGGTGAGGTGTGTCTTCGGAACTTGTCACCATCCCAACACGTTTGCAACGCAACACGCTCAACTGATCTGCTTTGGCTTCTCTCGTCGATATGGATCTGCCATCTGTGTCCACCCTCCGCGCCAAGCTCGCAAAGCGCATCGTCCAAACTCAGCTGGAGCTGTCTTGCGCGAAGCTCCTTGAGAGATATCTCGGCTCACCAGAACACTTTCGTGGTCCCTTCATCACGCCCATCACAGATCCCTATGATTCCCTGGATCCAAAGAAGGCCGCGGCCCCCGGCTTCATAGACGTCAACTTCGACGAGCTCGACGAGCACACCAGGCGGCGGGATCCGCTGGCCGATCCGACCATCGAGTGGAAGGTCGGCGTCATCGGAGGCGGGATTGGGGGCTTGTATGCCTCGTTGATCCTCGAGGACCTTGGCATCACAAATGAAGTCTCCGAGGCAACCGGGAGGACCGGTGGCCGGATGTGGTCCTATCGCTTCAGTTCAAAGCCCGGTGATTACTACGAGGTTGGCGCCATGCTATTCCCCGACATCCCCATCATGAGGCGGACCTTTCGGCTGCTTGCGCTTCTCAACATCACAAGAGACAATAATCCCCATCCTGCCGAGGGCTGCCTGATCCCTTACTACTTCGAGGGCCCAAATAACCCTTGGCTCTATAACAACATACTGAAGACGAATGTTACCGCCGGGTCCGAGGAAGACCACTTCCGCGTCAGCGTCGAGAACGGTGGCATAGTCCCCAAAAAGTGAGCACCAGCCGCCCCCCGCTTTGACAATCAATGTCATGATCTAACCAAAGGGGCTGCATTGCGCTCTGTCGGCAGGTTCGTGACCATTGGCTACAGAGAGATTCTGAAAAGGGTCTTTCAAGAATGGAGGGATGGCTTGGCTTCTGACTTTGAAAACACCATGGCGAAGCTTATAGCTATCGATCGCAGGGCCATCTCGCTGCGATCATACATGATGGAGAAGTTTGGGCGCGAGACGGAGGGCTTGGACATAGACGGGTAAGCTGAATGTACCATCTCCCTACCCTTTAGCGCCTACTTATGTACCTGCCAGTCCGGAGCTCTATTACATGACCAATTGGTGCGAGGTAATGGACGCGTACGTACCTCTCCTTCCTACCTGTTGACGACACCGTCGCCTAGCTGACCTGCTCAACTCCCGAATAGGAGAACAAGACACTTCGACGCGGCTTTCATATCGTGGGTTGTGCTCTCGCTGGAGTTTGAGTATCCCCCAGGACCCGCCCCGACCTACGACCCAAAACCCATCAGGGATCCCATCGGGGATGAACCACCTGTACACAAACACGATTACTCGTGGTGGATCCTGAACGGCGGCACCGACATCGTTGCCCAGCGAACAGCTGCCAAACTCGCAAACAAGCCCTTTAATCACCTGCGGGTGACGGGGATCTCGCATGCTCAGGGAGAGGAGCAGGGCATGCCGATGAAGGTGACCATGCTGCAGAGCCACCCCCACAATCCGGACAGGCCGCCCACGCCCATCACCAAGGAGTATACGCACGTCATCACCACAACGACGATGCCCTGCCTCGACATCATGGACCTGCGCAACGTCGGGCTCACATACGGGCAGCGTGAGGCCATCCGAGTCCTCAGCTATGACAACGCCGTCAAGGTAGGCATCAAGTTCCGGACTCGCTGGTGGGCTGAAGAGAAGGGCATCACCCAGAGCGGCGTCGGCATGACGGATCGCCCGACGCGGGTCGTCGTGTACCCTTCGCACGCGCTCGACACCCCGGCCGGCGAGTCGGGCGTGCTCATAGCCTGCTACAGCGCCGCCCAGGACGCCTCCCGCCTCGGCGGCAACGAGAGCTGGATCTTCGATACCGTCATGGCTGATTTGGCGGCGATGCACGAGTACGACGAAGGGGCGCTACGGAAGCTGGTCGTAAGCTACCACGTGCACGACTGGAACCACGACCCCTACGTGAACGGACACTTTTGCATGCCCGGGCCGGGCCAGTTTTCGTCCCTGTTCGGATACATCCGGCGACCCGCTTCCCAAGGCCGCCTGTTCGTCGCCGGCGAGGGCACAAGCGTCTTCCCCGGCTGGATCGTCGGCGCGCTGAACAGCTCGTATAGGGCCATCCACCAGATGCTTTGGTGCGAACTTTATCGCAGGTTGGGCCGCTGGGAGGATATGGGCTACATCTGGTGTCTGATTATGCGTCTGAGACAGAATTGGGGCAATGGCATGGAGCCTGAAGAGGAGTACGATTCGGATCCTATGAAGGCAGCGGGCTGGGAGACCTTTTTGGCCATGAGTGGCATTGACGTCTGAATTTGTAACCCGTAGCCTATCTTTTACTGCTTTGCCAATCTAGGCAGATATCCAGATATGTGTAGTAGCTTATGTATGCCTCAAGCATACACCGAACCCCCCTCTTTTATGTACCCCTGGTTCAGCGCCGCTGGGTTAATTAGGTAGGCACCAGGTGCCTTATTCATCGGTAAAGACCAATGCTCTGACTTCAATGGTTTCTCGTGGGTTTCCATCCGTCCTGGCCCCGGATTGTGCGAAAGAGGTATGAGGACAACCTGGCAGAGGATGCCGCGAGAAAACGCGTACGTGTCAGCGATTCACCTCGCCGAAACACCCCCTCATATCTACCTTCTGTCTGAACAACTCACATTTTGCTCGGGCATTCATGTCCGAGTCGTAGGTCTTGAACAACAACACTTCCTCTTTTTCCTGGCGGTTCAAGTAGTACCATTTGTACCTCTCTGGGCATGCAAGCGGATACATGCTCTCCCCGATATACGTCTTCCGAACATGGTCCACCGTCAGGAGCTTCTCTTTGAGGAGGGTACCTCCGTCACAAACTGCGAGCGGGAAGTTGTTGATAGTGTGGCGCATCGGTCGCCAGAGACTAGAATCATCATCATCATATTTAACCTCGAGTCAGCAAGCGCCAGGCACTGTAACCAAGGTCAAGGTGCCGTGGGTAAGTGATAGATAGGTAGGTAATGTTGAGTTGCTTACTTGATAATCCTACATCTCTTCTTCAATAGATCATCGGCACGCTCGCCCATGTGGTATCTCACTCGGTTGACTGCACCAAGAGGGCTTTGGTCTTTGCGAACCCTATATCAGCTTGGTTCCCCAGAAAGACTCCATGTCAAATGTAGAACTGGCAATAAAACAAAACAAAAAAACCCCACCCCCTGATAACATACCGACATGTACAGTCTGAACAGGCGGCAGGCACAAAAGAGGATCATCAAGGTCTACAATCGCTCCAGGCGTCACCGAGGATTTTGACCGGTCACTGGACCGAATCTATCTCGCCATAAGGCAGGCGGCGTGGGTTAGCGTGTACCCCTTGCTTCGTACCCAGATACCAAACCTAAGGTAGTAGAAAAGACGTTTCGTACTCGCCAGTCGAAAAAGTACGTCTCGGTGCCCGGCCCAAAAACCTCCTTCAAGAGCATGTCCAGTGATGGGAGGTAATTTTGTTCGACCGACGCTTTGTCAAAGGTGTCGACCGTGTGGTGGTGCATCCGGATTTCAAACCCGTGGTCTTGGAGATTGAACAGCTTCTCCCGGCCCCGAATATCGTGGATGATTTCAGGCGCGGCTAGGGAACAGGAGAAGTTGGCCCGTGGAAATCCGGCAGGGGCTTTGGATATGACCTCATACGGCTTCTCGGTTGCGAATCTGTCCTGCCATTCGATGTAGTTCAGTTGGACCGTTTCATCCTTGGCATGGTAGGGTCCTTTTGAGTCTGTACAGACATGGATCCTTGCGCTGTTATTCTGCTGGAGAGACATGATGTTGCGTGAGGGACTCAACGCGGCGATGGGGTTGGAATGTTTCAGTAGAAGAGAACACAGATCTCACCACAAACGGTCTACGGCCCTGCCAAGTGCCTATATACCCTTTCGTTGCTGAGACAGACAGCAATGAACCGGAGATCCGATACAGCCTAGAACAGGTACATGTAGTCTACGCACAACGTATCGTTTGTGCTGGTGGGTGTATGGGGTTAATATAAAGACGGAGTCTACTCTATAGAATGATCGTACTATAAATGGTTGCTATTAGGGTCTAGGCTGGTTTAGGTTTAAACGCCGAACGTAGCTCTTGGGAGACTGAGCTCCTTGAAATAAGCTTGGGGGAGAAAAGTAATAACACGAGACTAGCCCCTCCTTAAGTAGATACTTATATATTTAATTACTTATATATATAAGAATAGGTTTTAAATAGTATAATAATTAAATTTTCTTATATTAATATATATTAAACTTTTTAATAAAATTGTAATATTATTAATATTTATTAAAAGCTTATATATAATATTATAATATAAAATTATATTATTTAAAAAATATATATTAATTAAACTATATTTTTAATAACTTATATAACTTTTTTATATAAAAATATATTTTAATATATAAAAATACTTTATATATTTTTTATTAATATATATAATAATTAATATTTTTTAAATATATATAATATATTTAACTTTTATAATATTTAACTTTTAATTATTTTAAAATAAATAAATAAAAGTTTTAAAATTAAATATATTTATTAATATAAAAATAAATATAATTTAAAATTCTAGCTAGTATATTAATAAATATATTTAAAATAAAACTAATATAAAAAGTTACTTTTTAATTACTTTAAAATATATTATAAATAGTTTTTATTAATATATTAATATATTAATATATAATATTTTATTTAGCTATAAGTATTAAGTAAATTATTTTTAAAAGTAACTTTAATTAAAAAATATAAACTTATTTAGTTAAATAATAATTTTTATTTACTTAAATAAAAATAATTTATATTATATTTTTTTAAACTATATTAGTAAGGTAGTTAAATAATATTAGCTCTATATAGTAATATATATTAAATAGTTATTATTATTAGAGACGAGGAAGATAAAAGAATAAGGCTGCAGCATAATAGCAGTATATAAGGCTCTGTGGCGTTAGGCACCCATTTCCCAAGTTCTCATACTTTCATCCTCCTGCAAACTAGATAATAGGTGTAGTGCCTCTTTTCCTTTTCTACTATACAAGGTAGTCACACATACTTTTATTTTTAGAGAACTAAATCAGAACCTGTAATTCTCATACTAAATAAACATAAAAAGGCAGGATAACAAGATTAAATTATTGCCAGAACGAATCCGTTCCTAGATAACTCATTATATCTAACCAGCTCTATTCTGATACCACTATAACTGCTTACGCAGCTAAGAACGCAGGCTTGCATGCACAAGCGGAAGTGGATTTACCGCACTCTGAACAAGTCTCACCGCTGCTCTCAGGTATCTTGACCACGTCTTCCGTTCCATCCTCAGGCTTGGACTGCTCGAAGACTTCCTTCCATGGCTGCTTCCGCTCGGAGCCGAGGTCAACGCTTTCAGCCCCAGTGCTCGCTGAGAGTGGCGCCCTGCTGCTACTGTCGCTGCTGCTATCCATAGCTGCCATAGTGACCAGCTAGTGCTTTCGCGTGTCAGGATTGAACCTCGCGATTTTGCTGTAGCGGGCTATTAGCATGGATACATAAGCTTTATTTGCGCTGCTAGAAGGATACAAGGGATATAAATAGTAAATAAGGGAGTAGGTAGGTAGGTTAGGAAGACAGGTGCCTACTCTGGAAAAAAAAATGGGTTTGCTCGTAGTCTAACACTATACCGATGGTAGATCAGGTATAAGTTATGCAGAGATACCAATTCGACACTCGATCCAGAAGGGAAGGCTCTTATATACCTTAGAATGAGTAGGCAGATGGGGTCCTATAGAAACTGCACCTCCAGCAGAACCTCAATGTAACGTTGTCACCCACTCCCTGAACAGTGCGTGCCAAGGGCGTGGTGAGGGAAGTGCGTTCTGTTCTCCTCTGTCGTGCAACACCGCAACAGCTTGGCCAAATACTACCGGGCAATCATGTGGTGCGATGGGATTCGGTATCCTCTGTAATGTGCTATCTGGGACGAAGTTAGCTCTTGCGGCAATTTGGTTCGGCAGTTTGGTTCAGGACTTCAGGACGCGCTCGGGCAGCAACGACTGCGCGTAAGGTATCTTAAGTCAGGACCCCGCAGCTCGTGGAGGGGGGGAAATCCGGTGGGCCATGACGAATCGGCCCGCATCGAGGGGCACGAGTAGGTCGAACAGGAATGTCAGGTCCAGCTCAGAAAGGTTGACCACATGGTGCCCGCTTAAGACAGCGGGGGAATGCTGAGCAAAAATGGCATGAAGCTGAGTGAGCAAGGGCTCCCGCAGAGCAGCGGCCTGTTCTTGATGACCCTCGGCGCTTGTAATCAAGCAGAGCAGGAAGTCTGCCCGCAGAGCGCATTCAGAAGGCCAAATCGCGTCCTTTGCGTTATATCGGCACTTCTCAACCGCGTCCCTGTTAACGCGTGAGAAGGAGTCCTCACAGTTAGCCACGGTTATCATCACACCTTCAAGGCCTTGGACGAGTGAGGGGGATACTATACACTTGTAGTACTTGGGAACCTATTTGGGAGAGACATACCTGGCTTCCGAGTAAAGACCAAGCCGGTATTGGGTGTAGGCGATGGCATAGAGGTTGTGCAGCGTGGGTGTGCCGTGAATTCCGAAGGCAGTAACCCGCACCTTGTAAGTCTTCGTGAATACAGCCAGTGCACCTGAAAAATCCCCAGCGTTGGCAAGGCATATCCCGTGAACGAAGAGAAAGATGGTGTGCACGCCATCTTCCTCCTCATTTGGAACAACCTTGACCGCTTCCTGGCTTAAGTCCACGGCCTCCTCGGTTCGCCCCTGGCCTGCCTGGATGAGCGCCATGTTCTTGTTCTGCTCAGCAAACTGGTAGGGGGGCATTATGCGCTCGCTTTGGAGTTCTTGCTTCATCCGGACCGATATGTCGACGTGGCTGGCGGCCGCGTCGTATTCTCCGTTGTCGATGAGCTGCACTGTCATGTCGTTATGCGCGTTGGCGAGAAGGACTCTGCCAACGTAGTTGTCATGACTGCGGTCCGCTGCGGCATAGGCTTTTCGGAGTTCCAGAACCTTGGCCATGTTTTCGGTACACTTTTGCCGCCGGGTAATCCCCGTGGAGGCTCCCATGATGGCCCACGAGATCTGCAGTGCCGTTGCCCAGAGCTTGATCCATGTTGCCGATTCTGTACCGGTGGCGGCCCTGGCGGCGCAGATACCCTCGGCCGTGTTGAGAAAGGTGAGACCAGGTGTCCCGAGGCGAACCTCGTAGAGGTAGAAGCCAGCGCCGATCAAAAGTTGAACAAAGGCCATGTCGCCCACCAGGGTCCTCGAAGATTTGTTGTAGATCTGAAAAACCTCCTCTAGCCGTGTAACGTGCGCGATGGACGCTTTGTACAACATCATGTCCTTGTGTATAGGAACCATGAAGTCGGTGACGGGGGGGAAGACATTTCTCACCAAGGCGACAGCTCGATTGAAGGCCAGTTGGCGACTGATTTCGTCCGCATCCATGTCACTGAGGACCTTTCTTTGAAGCACGCGATGGATGGAATACGAGTCTGGAATGCCAGGTGTTGTGCACGGGTGAAAATTGATCAAGTGCCGGGTCCTCAGCGGAGCGCGAATCACTCGACAGAACTCTCCCTTGTCCGAGTACCCGCCAAATTCCAGGGCAGAATCTAGCTTTGCGAAAAAAAGACTCTCCGGGATCGAGTCTGGTGAAAGCATGCTGAGAGCTTGCAAGACGGACAGAGCAGGTGGAGAGAGGCTTTTGAGCGACATGTCAAATGCCGAATTGGCCGGCCTCCCATACTGGAACGTGGCCGAGTCCCATTCTTGACCAACATGGTTCTGGAGATCGCTGAGTGTGTCGGAAAGAGGAGTGCACGAGTCGGCCATGAAACCCGCCAGTCCAACCAAGTATAGGGGAAGGCCATCCACCTCCTTGGATATGGCTCTTGCCAGCGCCGCCGACCTTTGAGCATTGGAGAGCTGATCGGGGAGATATTGCAGCAGGAGACGGGAACCCTCCTCGTCCTGAAGGGCTTCGAGGCACACTTCCGACTGAGCTCGATGGACGAGCTTCCGGTCCTGTGTCGTGATCAGAATCGACCCGTGTTCGCATGCAGGCCAGTACCGGCTCAGCATATCGGGGTCGTCCACGTTGTCGAAAACCAGTAGCCATCCTGAGTCTACGGTTGACGGGTCAGTAGCAAATCCAAAGTGCAATCATCAGATGAGGACGAAAATGACGCCTACTTTGACACAGCCATTGGCGCGATGCGTCCACATCAGCTGATGGATCGATCGATGGATTCTTTTCAACCAGCGACCCCTTTATGAGCCGTATAATATTGGAAAAGGCCTCAGCCAAGACTGCCTGGGTCTCGGATGGGAGCCAGATTATGTACGGAAACGTGGACTTCTGTGCATAGCAGAGTTCCAGGGCGGTCTGCGTCTTCCCAATTCCCGCCATACCGTGCAGCACGCAGGACCGCTGCTTGGCGCTTTCGGGCTTGAGGCATTGGGCGAGTTTTGCGAGCTCTTGTTCTCGCCCAAGGAACTTGCCGTTCCGAGCCCATGTAACTGAGAAAATGGACGCAGCATATCTCTGGGGCTTGGCAACATCTAGCACCTCCCGGATACCCGTGAGTTGGGTTTTCGTGTTGACCACGTGGGCGAGCTTCGCTTCTTCGCCGAAATCCCGAGAGGCAATTTCAATTTTCTCTACCAGGTCTTTGAACTTGGCAGTGAGAGAACCGGAGAAGATGATACTTCTCGATATGTGGACTGGAAGATGTAGTTAGTTCGACATGGATGTCGGCGATTGTGGGTGGTCAGCCCAATCAGTCACGGCCAGAAAGATGTGCATATAACGTACCGATGATGTTGACTGAAAAGAACTTGGCCGCACCAAGGCAAAAATCAAGGTAGCCGCAGTACATCCTCAGCAATGCTTCCTGGAGTCGTTGCCGCTGTGGGAACAGCTGCATGTATTCTTCGAATCTGGGCATCGCACCGGCAATCGAGGTCAGCATGTCGATGATGGTCTGAAGAGTACGTGCAAAAGCGCTGGCTGCCTGTTGTGAAGAGAGCATGTTGTTAGTAGGCAGCAAGAGCTAAAGAAAAGATACACAGAAACTTGGAGGGGATTCTTGGCATTCTACTCACATCCAGTATCATCTTAACGCTTCCCCATACCTATTTAAAAGGAGTCGCAGTTTTATGTTACCAGTTGAATCCGTGGGCTGCTTCGTGGGGGGTAGGTAGGTAGGTATTGAGAGCTTACCAACGACGTAACGACAGGATTAGACGAGGTAAAAATGGTGACCGCCTGGTTGAATGTTTCCATGTGGGCGAGCACTGGAGACAACTTTGCAAACCACTTTGTAGTTCGCTTGGCCGAGTATTTCTGCTGGAGTTCCTGCATCCATTCTTCGACGAGCCCCCGAGTGCACTGGCTGGGCATGGGCCGTTTGCCTACCATCCGGGCAAGAGTATCGGCTCGCTGTGCGGCGGCGTTGGCCCAAGTTTTCTGGCTCACCTCCATTGTTAGGGCGCCTTGGTCTTGGAGGGTTTTGATGATGATGTTACACCTGTAACATACAGACCTACCTACCTGTCTGTGCCCAATGGGCTATACCTACCCAGTCTGTACCTAAGGTAGTTTATTTAGGCCGTGTGGCACAGGTATATAAGGTACTTGGCGGGCAAGGCGGGTTGACTAGTAAGCGGCCCTGACTAGGCCCCCGCCTCTCCTTACTGGAGAGGCAGGGACCTAACCCGTATCTTTCGTTAAACTGTATCTTTATATCTAGGGTTTAGCACTTAATTACTTGATAAATTAAGCGCTATAAGCTTATTAACGCTATATTAAGTATAAAATAAGACCCTTCTAAAATCTTAATAAAGTTATTATTCTTATAAAAAATATTATATAGATTTTATTTAATATATCTCTTAATTTATTATATAAAGTATTTATAATTTAATAATAAACTACTCTTAGTACTTTAACTTTTATATTAAGTACTTTTAACTAGTTAATATATACTTAAAAATAATAGTTTTTATTTAATTTAATAAGTTTAAATAAACTTAAATATACTTTATAATAAAAGAATTTAAACTTATAGCCTTTTATAAGTAAAAGTTATAAATTATAAGTAATACTTTAGCTATTTAAACTTCTTAAACTTATAAATATTTAATAAGAAAAAAGACTTTATAAATATTTTAATAAAGTTATTATTATTATAAAAAATACTATATAAATATTATTTATTAAAATATATATAATAAGCTTAAATTTTTTTTTTTAATTTTTATAAGAATTATTATTATTTTATTTATTTCTTAAATTTTTTAAATAAATAAATAATAGTTTTTTACTAAATTTCTTATTATAAACTTATATTCCCTTAATAAAAATTATTATATAAAAGTAAAGATTTTAATTTTAAAAATTAATAACTTTATTAATAATAACTTTTATTAATTATAAATTTTTATATTTACTTATTAAAAGAATTAATTTAAAAATTATTACTTAATAAAATATTAATAAAATTTATATATTAATAATAATTAATAATATTAGATTTATTAAAATAAAATTATATTTATTAAATAAAAATTTAAATTAAATAATATTATATTAATTATTATTTTTTAAAATTACTTTAAGAATATTAAAATTAATATTAAAATTAATAAATATTTATACTTTTAATTATATTATATCTTATTTAAAAAACTATTTATAACTTTATATTATAAATTTTATATAATTTTATTTAAGTATTTTATTTTATTTTAATTAGATATTAATTAATATTTAATATATAAAATATTAAGAAAATACTATAATTACTTATACTTATTATCTTATAAACTAAATAGTTACTACACCCCTGTCTAAATAATACCTATGCCTAGTAATAAAGGGGTAGATGCTTTATAAGTGGTCCTTATATTCATCGGCTTATATATACTGTCAAAGAAGTCCATTTACTTTATTTTTCTCACGGCTACACACGCGCCGACGCGAGTGAGCTCGATCAATTCAGTGCCTACAACGGCCCCCTCAATTGCTGTTGGAAACCACTGGCATAATCCCTCTCACCGACCTGACGGTAACCGTCCGGCTAACTATGCTGTTCTTCTGCGGCCTGCCGTGCGGGAAATGGCCATGGCCATGGCCCTGGCCGTGGAAGCAACACGAGAGTGTTGTTGAGCGACTACACCAGACCTCAATCCGCTCCGCCCGTCCTATTTGCGAAATATCTGGTGTGGCCGGAATGTCAGTCGGAGTCCTGCATCATGGAGAAGTCATCTTCAAGGACAATTTCGGGCTCCGTGCCACCGGCGGAAAACTGGCTCCGGACTCGACAACCATGTATGGCATCGGATCCCTGACCAAGGCATTCACGGCAGTCGCCATCACCAACCTTCTCGACCAGCATCCCGGCATCACCCTTGATACGCCTGTGGATCAAATCCTGCCAGACTTCGTACCCCTCGATGAACGCTTGCGGGGTCAGGTTTCCCTTGGCGACTTTTTATCCCATCGCTCCGGGCTACTCGGCGACCTGTCCCTTGCCCTGCAAGGTCCATTCGAGTGCCTCCTGCCCAAGGAGCAGCTTCTGCCAACCGTCTCCCGCTTGAAGACCATAGCTCCAAATCGCCGGCTGTGGTCATACAATAACTGGGGCTATGGAATTGCCGGCGCTGTGATCGAGAAATGGTCGGGGAAAAGCTTCGCTAGGTACCTCAAGGAAGCAGTTTTGGACCCGCTTGGTCTCCAACACACCACTAGTCAGCCCGATTTCCAACCAGGAGACAACTTTGCTACTCCTCACATTGCCCTGGAAAATGCCACGGCACTGCCGGTCAACGGGATATACTTCTTTAAGGACACCTTCTTTGAGGCGGCCGGTGGTCTGTACTCCAACGTTGGCGACATGTTGAAATGGGCCAAGGCCATCTTACTCGCCAGGACCAGTCCGTCAAATGGTCCGCTCCGAAATGTCCCCGTCATTATCAGCAATCAGGTGCCGCTCCACGAACCTTCTCACGACTCCCATTTCTACGGCTTGGGCTGGATCCGGACTCAGCTGCCTAGCGTTGTGGGACTTCAGGGCGACAACCCGGAGCTTCTCCCACCCAAGGACCTCCCAATACTCGGAGCCGGCGGTTCTCCTATGATGATGTACTATCACCAAGGCTCAGCGATGGGTTATTACTCTGCACTCTTCCTGTTTCCAGAAACCAAATCGGCCATTGTTGTCCTAACAAACAGCATTCCCTTGAACGATGCAGCAGACTGGATCGCTCAGGCATATGCCTCCGCCCTGTTCAATTTCCCAGAGCCTGCCAGTTATGTTGATTTGGCAAAGAAGAGTTGCAGAAACAAGGTCACAGCATTGAACAGCATCAAGTCCAAATTCGACGAGATGCGACGGGAGCATCCGGGAAATAGGCCCCAGCTTCCACTACAATCCTATTGCGGAATTTACGACAACGACGCCGGCAACTTCTTCATCGACATTGGCCGGCACCCAGAAAACAAGAGCTCCCTGCTGCTCAAGTTTCAGGGAAAGGAATCTCAAGCCTACGAGCTCCGTCACCTTCTTGACGACACATTTGAGTGGGCTCTTACCTATGATGAATCGGCCCGACAAGAGAGAAGTCCAATCTTGGATCCCATGTACTTCAAGGTACGCTTTCATGTTGAATCTGATGTCGAAAACCCAGCGAAACACGTCACATCATTGCAGTGGGCAGGCATCACTGGTGTAGCACCGGATGGAATTCAGATGGATCGCCGTAGCGGTCCCAGGGCACACGCATCCTCGGGGGAATGGTGGTAATGATCATGTCCAGGCGGCATTTATCGGCAGCCAGTGAATGAGACAAGTCCTACAAAACTTGGAATCTGTTGCAACTCGTGGATACCAGTTGGCACTTTACAACCTGTACTATATACCCCACCTTTTTATAGCCTATAGCCTGCTTTTCTATTTTAATAATTATGAAACATATTACTATTTACTATACTATGTACTCTGACTAAACCTCTTCAGTGAATCCTATTTGTTAGCACTGAACTGCTATAGCCTTATTAATATGGCTTTGGCTCGGTTAGATAATAAGTCCTCCTGTTTAAACCGTAGCGAATTCCTATTGGAACTGTAGTAGTCCGTGCCACCAGCTAGGCCCACGCCCCAAGTACGATTCTCCATACACCCACACTGAAATATAGTGTAGAGCTCTAGCAGTTATTACTATTAAGATGATATTATAACAGAGGGCGCAAGACATCACAACTATATAAGGTAAGGAATCAAGTTAGCTTTATTGCTCTGTAGGCTGGCTGCTGCGGCTTCTACTAGCTTCTTCTGACTCGCTGTCGACAAAGAATTCTACGGGTTATATCCCTAACCGAGGGTGTATTTGTTATTACTGATTGTTGCATAGGATGGCCTGAGCCCCCTCAAGGTTTCTGTATACTCTGATGCTTACACCGCTTCAGTACCTAAAGCTCCCCGCGCGAGTGATATCACGATCTGGAGGGCGTTCCCAGCCTCTTCTCCTGACATTCCGCACTGTCTGTCATATATGTACAGCGATGCAAAACCCAACTCACGATACACTTGACCGGCAGATTCCCCCTTGTCCCACCTCCCGTCTCAGAGGCCAGGTTGCCCTTGTCACTGGTGCCGGGCGTGGCATCGGTCGTGCAATCGCCCTCGCTTTTGGATTCGAGGGCGCCTCCGTAGCATGCATCGCACGGACCGAAGCCGAGATCCAATCGGCCGTCGACGAGATCAACTTGAATCAAACATCCAGTCGTGCAGCAATAGCTCTGGTCTACGACCTTACCAACATCCCCGGCATACCCGCTCTCCTCTCCTCCATCGAAGCGCAGCTCGGCCCCATCACCATCCTGGTCAACAATGCCGGCATCGCCTTAATCAACGCCCTCAGCCAACACAATCCAGACCTGCGCGCATGGGAAAAAGTCATTACTACAAACCTGACAAGCCCAGCAGCAATCATGTCCTGCGTCTTGCCTTCGATGCTCTGCCGAAGCAGCGGCACCATCATCAGCATCGGCAGCCGCAACGTCACGCATGACATCCCGTACACGAGCGCATATTCGGTGGCGAAGACGGGACTGCTGAAAATGCATCAGAGCGTCGAAGCGGAAGTGGGTGGACGGGGGGTGTGCAACTATTATCTCCAGCCAGGGAATGTGGACACGGGCATCTTGGAGAGGCAAGGTGCAGTAGATAGGATGAGTTTGAGGGGGCATGAAGGGGTGAGCAGGGTGGTGCAGAGGGTGAAGGAAGCGAGCAAGATATCGGCGGAGACGGTTGCGGAGGCTTGTGTGATGCTTGTCACAGATGAGGCATCACGGTTGTTGAGTGGGAAGTATGTGGACTTGGAGCATGACATTGTTGGGATGCTGGAGGATTTGAGAAGAGGTAAGGATTCGGAATGTGTGAGGAGAGATCTGTATCGGTTGAAGGTTGAGTCGCTTTAATAAACTTAGCATGCATGGGGACAGGACCGTACCTGGATCTACCTGACCTGACCTGGCCTGCAGGGAAGGCATCGGTTAGGGAAAACCACATGCGATATAGAAAGCGTCACGCTAGGGAAACTAGACCTAAGATTCCTAGAAGTAGGTATTTTGTGGTAGAAAGCACACGGGCCTTAGGCTGGGCGACAGGTAAGGGCGCGATAAGGCTGACTAATTAAGACCGGCCGGCTGTAGTGTGTATAAGAAGGAAGATATTCCTAATCCTAGATAGAAAAAAAAGCAAGTTGGTCTTTAAGAAATAAGCCCTAGATTGCCGGACCAAGCTGGAACAATTTGGTCTCTGCAAGATCGAATGGTATCTTGACTTGTTCGCGCGTAGCGGTCCTGACAGTTTAGAGGCAAATGGATTTCCTATAAGACAGTTCAGTTGTAGAGAGGTGGTGTTTAAAGGTATACTCGGCGGGTTGACTAGTAAGCGGCCCTGACTAGGCCCCCGCCTCTCCTACTGGAGAGGCGGGGACCTAACCCGTATCTGTCGTTAAATCGTATCCTTATTTTTTAACTTTAATCTAGTGCATCTTAATAAATATTACCTATCTAAGTATAGTAAGCTTATAAATATAATTTTACTATACTTATTTAAGTAATTCTAAAGTTAAAGCTATTTTTAATAAGTAGTTATTTTTAAATTAATTCTTAAAATAAATAAGTATAAAAATTCCCTTTTATATACCTTATATAATTTTTAAGAAATTATAATATAAAAACTTAATATTTAAAATTACTAAGTATAAGCTAAGTAAAGCCTTAAGTAATTAATATTTTTATAAAGTTAATTTTATAAAGAATTTTTATATATTTTTTATTTTAGAATAGCTATTTTACTTTTATTAATATTATTAATTTTTATATATTTATATAATAAATAAAACTTTATAAGCCTTTTATAAAAATTAAAATAAAAAATATAAATAAATAAAAAAATAAATCTAGTTTATAAAAATATATAATATTTATAATATATATATAAATATATAAGAATAATATTAAGCTTTAAAAGCTTTATATTTTATAAATTATTTATATTAATAATTATATAATTATATTTTATAAACTTATTTTTTATATAATATATAACATATAAGCTATTTATATTTAAATTTATAATTAATAATATTAAGTACTTATATAATTATAAATTTTTAAAATTAAAATCCTTACTTTTATATAGTAATCTCTATTAAGGAAATTATAATTTATAGTAAAGAATTTAGTAAAAAATATAAATCTATTTATTTAAAATATTATTTAAAAATTAACTAATAAGGCTAGAATAATAATTTAAATTTTAAAAAATAATATATTATTAAGTTTATTTTATATATATTTATTTAACCTAAAGCATCTAGCCTAATTAAGTAATAATATATATAATCTTAGATATAAGGATATGATTTAATAATAGATATAGGTTAGGTTCCTGCCTCTCTAGTAAGAGAGGCGGGGGCCTTGTAGCCGGGCTATTAGTTAACCCGCTGAGTATATTCTAACTGTTAAAAAACTAGTAGTAGCTATAGTAGTAGTAGAAGCTAGTAATAGTAGTTATAAAAGCTAGTAATAATAAGTAGCTTTACTTATTATATAAATAACTTAGTAAGTATTAAGCTTATAAATATATATATATATTATTAAAATTTTTAAATTTTATAAAAATTATATATATAAAAGTAAATAAAAATATACTAAAATTTACTTAATTATAAACTTTATTAAAGAGTATTGCTATTCGGGCTGTATAAAATTGCTATTCGGGCTATACTAACCTTTTTAAGCCTAGTGGGGGTTTATGTGTTACTTCTCCCTAAAACTACCTTAAAGTTTAAAAATCTATAAAAAATTCTAGAAAGATAGTAGAAGAAAAATACGACTATATTTAGATTATTTATAAACTTAATTTATATATTTTTTATTTAAATACTTATTTTCTTTTTAATTAGAAGCTTAAAAATCTAATTTAAACTAAAGCTTAATTTTCTAGCTAAGTAATGCTTATATAAGTATGCATATAGTAGAATAGGATTATTTAAGTTATAAGCTATATAAAGATATAAAAAGTTACCTAGTTTTATAAAATCTTTAGCTTTAAAATGTAGCTTAAAGTTTAGTAAAGTTTTTTAATGCTTTTTACAGCTTAATAAAATACTATAAAATAAAATAAAAATATTCTCTAGTACTTTAAGCATTAAATAGCCTATAAAGATTTTTTAAACATTTTATATATTTTTTTCTAATAGTAAAACTATAAAGTAAAAAAGTAGTGTTATAAGTGAAATTTTTCAAGTACTTATATTACAGCCTAAATAGCAATTTTATACAGCCCGAATAGTAATACTCTTATTAAGTTATATATTTTTAAAAAGTATATATAATTATAAATTAAAAAATTTACTAAGTATTTACTAGTAAACTTATTAAGAAAATATTATAATAGTCTTTATATAATAATACTTAAGAGCTGTTAAATAGTATTATAATAACTAAGGTTTACTATACTAATAGTAGTAGAGTAGACAGAACTCCATCTACTCCGTGGGAAACGGCAGCCGGGCCCCACTAGACAACGGAGGCCGAGACGGTAAGACTTCAAGTATATTCAATAACTAGAGCAGGTTCCCCGTCACGCTCTCCCAGAGTCAAGCCAATGAGAGGCAGTCAGGTGGGTGACCACTGGCGAACACCGGCTGTTGTATGTTTTTTTTTTACCCTGTTTTCTTTTTATCGTGATGACTTGGTTGTTCCTGAAGATAGGTATTGTAAGCTTTTGCTTTTTGGTCTAGAAAAGCAAAGAGGTCATGTGCTGGTTTATGACCTGCTGAGTGCGGGGTCCTTCACTTCAACTGCAATGGAATAAACGAATCAGTCTTATACTCAGTGTAATCAGATGAACAGTTCTGTTGTGATATATTAACTTTCTCCTGATGGGAATATTCGAAGGCCTTTCAGCACCTGTTGTACTTTTTCGATGGCTCATGGGCTACTTCCATGCGAGCATCTCGGACTGGAGAATCACCAGCCAGGCGTCCTCCGTCTCGGCCCACTTCCTGATAGCGTCTAGAGTTTGCTGAATCTCCTCCTCCGAAATGCCAGCATCCACCCAAGTCTGGTAAAAAGGATCTCCCTTTTGCAGCTGGCCATCGGCGCGCCATGCCAGCCGTTGACGAGCCTCCGGCTCCGAGAACACCGAGGCCGAAGCCCCAACGCGGACCTTTCCCCCATCAGCGTCGAACCCGGCACGACGAAGCAGCGCTGGCATCATCGTTGCGGTAGGATCCGTCTCGGGTGCCCCTCGGCGAGACGCCCGGAGCTGGTTCTCACCCCACAGTCGATCAAGGTCCAGGCTCTGCGGATAAAAGTGGTGACCCATGCCGTCGCGGGTGGCGAGGATCCCGCCCGGCTTCAGGACCCGCCGCATCTCGGCCAGGGCCCGGAGTGGCATGTCCGGCGGCGGGAGATGGCCAATGACCTGAGAGCTGAAGACGACGTCAAACGTGTTGTCGGGATAGGGAAGCCCGTCCACGACGTTACCCTCCTCGAAGGAGACGGATCCTGGTCCTTGACTGGGGACGCCGGATTCGTCTGCCAGCGTCTTTGCCTTTTGCAGCACGTCTGGCGAAATGTCGACACCAATCGTCGTGCCTTGAGGGGCATACTTGGCCAGGCTTGTCGTTATGGTCCCCGGCCCGCAGCCTACATCGAGAATGTGGTCCGTCAACTTGATGTAGGGCAGCAGAAAGGCGGCATCTGTCTCCGCCTTGCGTCGAAGATGTGTTGCGATGGTGTAGTCGGAGTGGCCTCGCGCATAGTAGCTGGGCAGGTTGGTTTGCGCCATGTTTGCAGTTTCTTTGTGTTGAACCAGAATACCTCATGCTCTCGAAGGCATCTTGTGCCGTACTTATATATGAGACACCCATCTAGAGACTCGGGCGAGACGGGCGTGTTTGTCTCGATCCGGCGGCAGAGCTCCGGACATCAGTAGGCAGCTTCCCCTATCACAACTCCGGAACCCCGCGAGAGCTGCGGCCTCTGGTCCCACCTCGGGCCCGTACTTCCTAATCTGGACCAGCCAGCCCGAAAGCCCGCGGCGGCCCGGTGCAGCCGCTTGGAGGGATTGTTTGTAAAGAAACAGGTGAAGAGGAGGTGGTCGCGGCGAGTTCTGCGACTATGACGATATTCGACGTCTATCGTCTTATGGCTGGAACAAGTCATTCCAGTATGTCCAGTCCAGAGGCGCGTCTTGAATAAAGTCAGCCATGCGCCCAGTCTGAAGTTCTTCCACATCCGCCGCTGAACCTTCCATAGTCTCTGCCCCCTTCTTCGATGCCTGTAACGTCGTAATGAACCTGGGCACAGGCCCTACTCTACTGAGCGCCTTCCAGCGCGCTTCCCAAGCTTGTAGAACCAGATCGGCCAGTGCAGCGAAGAACTCTGCATTACATGGCGGCATCAAGGATTGGTGTCCGTATACCTCCTCGACAAGAGTCCAGGCAGTCTCAACTAGGGCGCCGCTCGTCCTCTGCCGAAGCTCACTAACCATGTACACCAGGGCATCCGCTTGCGTCCGACATACCATGTGGTCCACTAGATTGGTCGAGAAGTTTGTGTTGTGCACTCCACAGTTCAACTCCATCAGCTTGACACTGCTCTCGAAGACGAGATCTTGATCGGCTTGGGACATGCATCGACCTCCTTTAGGCTGGTGGCGGGGGTGGAACATCAAGAACCGTTGATTATGGACGGTAAGGCCTGCCAGAGCTGCCGAGAGCTGATGCAAAGGTATGCTCGGGTCGAGGTGGGCAAGATACTTCTCTTGGAGCATACGGTCCACTTCAGCGACCACCTGTTTCTTCTTTGCCATGCTCTCGGCGCTCGTCGATGTGATCAATTGCGCTGCTTTTTCTCTAGGATCGATGCCATCGGTAAAGCTGGACGATTTCCGCACAAAGTTCCACAGGTCGTATTTCATGAGGCAATAAACCATCTCCGTGGCCGCTGTGTGTTGGACCGCGGGTGGCTTCTCCATGAGCGGATGCAAATCCGCATCGTTGATATTCATGGGAAGACGCACATCACCTAGATCGTCAATCGTCGATAGCAGGCCCATGCCCCGACGGACGCGCGAGTTGAGGCCGCGGATGTACCACCACAAGCGGACCTGCATCTCCTGGTCGAAGAAGGGTATACGAGGGTCTTCAGCGGCACGGTGTAGACCCAGTTTGTGAGCGATACGCATAGCCACCGCGACTGCCGTGGTGGTAAAGTCGGACTGAAGATCAATCATCTTTGAGTGCACGGCGGTTAGTTGCATCTTCGTCTGCTGCTATTCGACGTAGATCTAACCTACCATGACAAGAGTCAAAGCTTGCAAGACCGCTATGTCCCGGGTTGAGAACAGATTGGTGTCGGATAGGGCTCGCAGCGCTCCCGTGCGATACCGGTTCACAAGCACCGACTTCGTTTCCCCAAACAAGTCAATGCAGATGGCTGGTTTCATTGAGATAATGGCCAGCGCGTACACGGCGAACATGGTAGCCTCGAGTGGTTTTGCTACCGATTCCACTGTCCAAGCTTCCTCAAGAATCTTCTGCTGAAGAGTAGGTGCGTGGATGACTTTAGCCAATGGGTTGACGTTGTCTGCAAAAGCCTGCCAGAGCTTGAAAACGTGCTTGGGATTGGGGTGTGACTCGAGCTGCTCTGGAGAAGTGGAGAGGATAGGAAGAGAGTAGCAGAGGCGTAGTAACAGCCGCCTCTGTGTGTGTCAATGTCTCGTCTTCTTTTCTCTCGTAATGGTGTCCGAATTGCGAGATTGGCGGGATTTTCAACTTTCAGCTTTCTTAGCAAAGGCGCAAAGACGAGCAAGGAAGAACGCACAACGTCAGATAGGCCAGCCCAAAGCCATGCTGCGCCATCCTGCTCGCCAGACGCAAACGGCATGTTTTGGCCCAGATTCTCTCCATCCTGTGCTGCTGCATGGGGCTGAGCTGCTACTATGGTGGTATCGATGGAAGCCGTGGGTTCAGGGATTGCCTGCGTCTGGCGACCTTCGACGAGCTTCTCCTCCCAGTGAGAGCGGACCCACGAGTTGCCCAGAGCTTCAAACGGAATCCCATGGCTGTCGAGAATCGATTCCAACTCCTGGATCTTAGATAGAAAATCGCCTTGCGTCAATCGCCTTCGGTGCCTCTGCGAAGGCACGGGGGCTCGATAGATGCAAGCAGCTCGCGATCTGGAGCAGCTCGAGCACGGCTTCAGCTTGTCGCACTTGACCTTGCGCCTGGCACAGGCTACGCATGAGTAGGAGCGTTCCGACATCGCGAATTCATGATGAAGCGTCAAAGAGGCTGGAGAATCCAAGGCTCGTCATACTTCTGTGGCGCTGAGGCTGCGTGAGATGACGGGTTGTCGCTGAATCTTGGTAGATCGGAGGTTGCTGATGGACACGATGCCGCTTGACTGTGAGCAAGTGATACTGTGTTATATGCTATCCACACTGTCAGTATGCACAGTATCAGGTCTACACAGATGTCTTGTCCAGACGCTCAACTCAAACCACGCCTTCAATGCCTGCTTATACTGTCATGTTGCCGAAGGAATTATTCATGTTCATTTCTGGGTATCTCTAAGCTATGCTTGGAAGGCACATTAACTTCATTATAACCACACCACAATCACTCTTTTCCTGTATCTTCTCCCATCGTCACCTCACAGGATACGACAGAGGCAGCTCATCATCTGAGCCTCGATTCATACCCATTCCTCCACCGTTAGCAATCCTCGAATTGCGGGATGTCCGCGAAGATATGACCGTTTCCACTTGGATACCTCCATCCAAAATGCCGCGAGTACTGGCAGCCTTTGAATCGTCAAACTGGCCCATGTCGTCTTCGATGGACGAAGAATCTTCGGCAGAGGGCTTGCTTCTGTGAATAGACTGCATCCTGTAATGGTGAGGAACCTGACTTCGCTCTTCTTCTTCTTCTTCATTGGCTTGCGTCCGGTGGCCAGACGTAGATGGTAGTTTCATGTCGGAATTCTCTCCCTTCGCCAGCTTGGTAATGAGTTCCGCCATTTCCATCTCAATGTTCAACTTGACCATGTAGGTGACAGGATGAAACTGGATATAGACGACTTGATTTGGCAGGGACATGAGACCGATGAGCATTGCCTGCATGGTCCCATGTTAGTTACGGCTGCTTCAATTTGAACTCTGGAAACCAAACTTACATCCATCAAGATAGATACTATCATGAGCTTGGCGTTGAAGCTGACGAGAGGAGCATACTTGCTCAGTCCGTGCTGCAGGACGAGGCGCTGCTTGACCGTGCGTAGAAAGTAGTAGTTGAGGCCGGCGTCGACAAATAAGATGAGAATCTTGGAAATGCGATCCCAGATCTCGTTGATACGAACATAGCTGCCATTGAGAGAATTCGGTCAGTCGTCAAAGTCACTGACCTGTATTGATGCTTCAAGGAGAACTTGGTACTTACAGTTCGCTGGCTGGGGGTGCGGTATGGGCCGGGATCCAGATGCAGAAGACTGCAATGTTGATGCAGGTAATAATGGCTGCAGTTCCCCATTTCAACCTCCATACTGTATTTTCATTCTCGGCAATGATCGCAATTCGGTTGACGATAATTTGCATGAGAAGCTGGATTTCGAATACCCATAAGAACAAGAAGAAGAATAGAACGGGTAGCCTATGATGTCGTGTTAGCAGCTTGCAGCTTCCCAACCAAACACATTGCAACGATATCGAACGAGAGCATTGACAGTGAAAGGTGACAGGCCCGACTGTAAGAGTATCTTTCTTCCTTTTTTCTCCATCATATCTCGTTAAAAAGCTCGCTCAATACTTACGAGGGTCCTATTATGCCGTCGAGAAACACCCATCCGATAATGCCGATGCTCAGGTTGGCCGCGATTTCTCCCCAAATCATGTAGATGTACAGGCTCTTCCATGGTCTTCGGTTTCTCACGGTATGTTGGATCGCTTTCCAGACTGTCAAGAACCCAAACCCGAGGGTAAACCCAGCAGCCACAGAGGCCAGTTGAATATCCGACGTCGAAGCCATCTCTGCTGTTGTATCAAGACAAGAAAATCTTATAGCCAAAGAAAGAGGCGGAATAAGAGTCAGAATACAATATCTGAAAAGTTGAGACCATCAAGGTCAACGACTTTGGGGGGAAACAACCAGCCGCATTCACCGAGTGGCGGCCACTGACTATTAATGTGGGCTTTCCAGGGAAACAAGAAACAACCCCTTGGCCATTGCCATATCCATTACGCGAGATCGAGTAGTGTGGGGGTTTCGTATCACTCTTGCTGCGGAACCATTTACGCGAGATGCCACAGGATCATCCTGTCGACGATCGTGAAGATGTCTGGCCGAGTGCATAGAGTAGTGAGTGCTGCTGTAGGAGAGCCCCTGGCACCCTTACTGACACATGACAACCGACAGAAGCTCGCCCCTCTGAGGCCTTGAACCTCCTCACTTGGCAATTGGAACTGAGTCAATTGGTCAACGCTAGACGTTAACTCCACAAGTGTCTATCTGGCACTACAAGTCCATACCTTGCCCCTAAGGGAATACTTGCCCGGAGACTAAGGTCTTGGTGCTGTTGGGATTCCTTTCAGCTCTGAATTGCCGAGTCCTCTATTCCCAGACTGGTGGGAGAAGATGCCACATGGATACAGGGATCGAGCTCAGCTGGATGGCACTAGGAGGCTTAGCTAGCTGGAAGAGGGTTGAGATTGTTACAATTTGGTTGCGAGGTGGATACGGCCTCGGTATTGCAAAGCATCTCGATCTCTTCAACGGCTTTGTAATATCATACCAGTAGACGTCTTTATATGACCAAAGACTTTCTCGCCGTTTTGTTGTGTAGAAGTGCATTAGCAGTGAGAGCTACATGTGCTGTCTGGGTGATCCCATCCTGGTGCTGGTTCTGAAGTCGGACACTAAGGGCAATTAGCCTCAATATGCCATGCATGAAATGCAACTTCTCGAGCTCATTGCTGTAGATCAAGAGTCCAGACGCGATATCTTGGCTGTCGAAGAGTCTATGCTAGCCGCGCGGTAGTTGTAACCAACACAAGGAAAGTTACTGCCATGGTCATGATTATTAGTATATCCTGGAGTCGGCCGTACTCTTGATACCAATTCCATCGGGACGTCAAACCAAGTGGGCTCCCGTGGTAGGAAGCCGTATGGACCGGGCCAGACAGCCGGGAGCTGGCGGTATGCCGTATCCAGCTGCACCTCCGAGCTGGCCCCGTCGCCTACCGTTGACTTGGCCCCGACTCATCCTCCGTTTGTCCGTATCTATATACGCTTGCATACGATGCATGATTGAAAACAGTAGGCGTCTCTCCACTCTGTCAAGGGGTCGCTTGCGTCGGTCGAAACATGACACACGCCAGAAGAGATAGTCTTAACACCGCCGCAGCGCCACCCGATGTCAATGGCGAAACTTTTTTTCCACCCCAATGGTCTTTTTTTCCCATAGCCCTAGAGATCTAAGATGCAAAGCTTTGTAGATTTCGAGAGCTTCAGGGAATAGTCTCTTACCTACCCAGGGAGGAGGGGAACATGAGAGCTGCTACTGACATGGTGTATTGCGCGAGTCAGGAGACACAAACTGACACTCTGAAGAAACTTGGTTTTTGGCTCCCGGTAGTCACTAGCAAAGTGACCCCCGCAGACTATTGATTCACTCTTTCAAAGGTTTCTCGGCTGCTACTTGGCTCTGAAAATATTCTTTTGCATCGTCGAGACGCTTTGAGGTGAGCGATAAGGTGAGATCGCACCACCTTGATGGGAATGACTATTCGACTTCAGCGGAAAAAGAGACTGATTGATTGATCGATTGATCATTGGATCTCTTTCATGTTCTTTATCCAATGATGTTCATCTGTCTCGTGTTAGTCTCGGTAGTTGAATAGCGAGTCAAGTCAAGGAGCTGAACCTGGAGTTTCCTGTTCCAGAACGAAACTGAGCCGACGCATCATCTGGGCGAGAATATGTTATTCAAAATTTGTTAGATCGTATATTCATCGTGATACTATGAATGAATTCTATACAGATATATAGACCAAATAACTTCTGACGAAGTCAACCGTTTACACCGAAGAGGGCAAATACCAGTAACCAAATAGAAAGCGCCATCGCTAGACAGACCCAGACGTCCATATGCTACCGAAGCCAGACATAAACCAGCGTCCCATTGACCATCGTGTGCCCAGAGCCAGACTTTTCCCAGTGTCCCATTGACCATCGCGTACCCAGAGCCAGACTTGACCAGTCCCCTAGTGAAAGTGTATCCCCCTATGGACTCGCTGCAGATGATTGTAGCATTCTGCACTCGTGTCGAAGAATGAGAGACACACCCAGCAGACGTGGGCTCCACAGCTACATGCCATGTGGTCGCACCCGTCGGACTTTTCCATCAGCCGCGAGCATCTCGGACAGTCTTTGATGCCAAGCCGCTCCTTTGTCTTCTTGTCGAGGACGCTGTTGGCATCGCGTTCAAGACCGGGACAAGGCCCTTCCGGGTGCGGACGCTGGCAGCAGATCGTGCAGACAGGTCTCAGACACTTGCTGCATGTGAAGATGCCGGGATGGTCAGAGTCAGGGGGCGTAATCCGATACACCTGGTCACAGTCGGGGGTGGCACAGTACGCAAGCTCGGCTGGACGACGACCGACAAAGGACTCGAACGACTTCTTGAGGACTTTCTCGAAGACTTCCGACGGGAGAGACTCCTGGAGCTCTGTAAGGGAGAAGGCCTTTCCACAGAGACCCCCACGGGGATTACCCGTCGGGCAGCGAATCTGGAATTCCCTCGATGCCCTCATCTCAGCCTCACAGCAGCGGACAAAGCAAGAGCCACAGTAGATGTGACCACAGGACATGCGAACGGGCTCTTCAGGCTCGCAGAAGCACGCCGGACAGTCCATGCCAGAGCTGGGATCTTTCTGACGGGACGCAGTCATCTTGCGGCCGATGATGGCCATGGCCCTGTTGTAGTCCGCTTTGGGTCCCATGATGAAGAGCTGCGGACCCTCTGCTGAGACTCTCAACACTGCGTCCTGCATCAGCTGCGAGTTGAGATATTTGAACCCGCCCGTTGATGCCCACTTGTAATCGACGCCCTTGAGGTCGATGGTGTGGCTTTCAGGGATCCTCTCCTGGAGTACCGTCGTGATGGTCTCTACCGTCTTCTGGTCCAGTTCGTCGTCTCCGTAGACGCGGAACAGCGACTTGCGCAAGTCGGGCACAATGAGCACATTGCAAGCCCATTCGAGACTTACGACGACGCTGGGAGACTCGCCTTGAGCAAGAAGCTTGCAAGACTGGAGGTCCTTTGCCTGCATTCTCACAATGTCTCCGCTCATGGCTTTCTCGACGAACTGTCTCGCTCGAGCCACAGACGCGTGGTCCTCGCCTTCCAGCCTCAGACATCGGAAATCCCCTTCCGGACGACCTTCGTGGAAGTAGGTCTGCTCGCGCTCCCAGGCTGGCTTCTGCGCAACGATCCTCTTCTGTATCCAGGCGTAGACTTCGTTCGGGACCTTGAACCTGACCGATGCTACAATGGAAACAGAAAGCGTCGTTGCCTTGCCAAACGGTAGCAGCTTCTCATGCAAGGCGGCGGCGGCGGTTATTGCCATTGACTCTTCTTGGAAGAGGCCGTACGCATGGAATCGCTGGCTATCGTTGCTCGGAGGGAGCAGCACCCAGCGCGTGACGGGACCAACCCGATGCAGCATGGACTTGACGACGGAGGCGCTGTATTCCAACTCGCAAGCGTAGTTGGCAGACCTGACCTGGACCTGGAGAGGACGATCAGACACTGGAATGTCCGCCACGACGTCTGGCACTTCCGTGGCCTTGCTGAGTCCGAGGATCCGCACTATCCAGCTGTCTTCGGACTTCTCAACGCTTGCCTGTACTCTGCATCCGAGCACCATGTACGTTCCGTCCATGGCCCTCTTCTGCAGCTTTTCAGCAGCGTCCTCGGTCCTGAAGAGCAGGCTGGCACTGCGTGTCGGCCGGTCCCAGGAGCAGTGTACCACACGGCAGTCGACCTGGGGTGTCTGGCTTTCCGGCAAAGAAGGGGGGATGGGGAACGCCTGGAGGTCCCGGTAAGTGATGTATGTGGCCAGCTTGCTGCTGGCCGTCTTGGCGAACACGGGATCCTCGGCTTTCACGATGGCATTGTACCGGTTGCCCGCCGTATGCTCGAAGAGGCCTATGTCAAGCCCCGACGTAGGCATGCCTACGTTCTCCAGCAGCTCCTTGACAAAGTCGACGGTGCTGCGCCGTGGAAGGTTTCGGATTTCGACGGCAGAGAAATCGGAGGCAAAGGAGACTTTAGCAACCAATGCTCCGTCGTCGAACTTGACCCAGGCCCCTCCGAGTTCATAGAGGCCACTGACGTTGAAGAGATCGTCCTATATCACAATTATATGTTAGCTAGAGTCTCTCAACAAAAAGATCACAGTGATGGAACATACAGTAGTAGCCTCCTGGATGTCTCCTGGCGTTGCATTCTTCTTATGGGAAAGGCTACAGTCCTTTCCCATGTCACAGCACCCGAGTGCCCAAGCCCAGCATGGTCCTCCCGTTGACTCTTTGGGACGTGGAAGCGGATATGCTGGTGGTTGTGGGAAGAGCTGTCCTTCCACGTCCCGGGGAATCAGCCGTCGTCGAGGTTCGACCACTCCCGGCGCCCGCGCACCTACGTCGCGGTAACGCTGGGGGTTGGTCCGACGTTGCTCGTCCTGGGGCTGAGACCAGAGCGATGGAAGGCGTGGATTGTTGCGCGCCGGACGCACTGGCAACGGGGGCTCCACGACGACTGCCTCGTTCTCGCTGCCGTGTATCAGCGGGCAAAGACGTCCTCTGGGACAGACTTCTCGGGCGTGGTACCGGCATACCCTGCCGGCTTGGGGCTGGATTGGTTGAGGGCGTGCAGCTACGCCCTGGTGACCAGGCTCTTGGTGTCCTGGAGGTTGTCTGCTTGGAGCACGGCGGTGCTCCTCTACGCCTCGCGGCTGGCCGTCCCGGCCCACGGCTCTTCGGTGGGAATGTATATTGCCCATGGTGAAGACGTGGCCGTAGACTCGAGAGGGAGGAAGGAGAGGATGGTGAGGATGCTCTGCTCTAGTGTATAGACTTGGTAGAGCGAGCAATATCTGTGAAACAAACTGGATGAAGTTCAGTTGTTGGCAGATATGAGTGCGTTGAACAATGGAGTAAGAGAAATGGATGATGGACGACAGGGGAATCTGCCTCCTTTATGTACGCAGAGGAACACGTAGAGGATGCTGTAGACTCTTTCGAGGCGTTTCAAAGTTCCAACCACCGAATTCTATTTGCTCGTCTAAGTCATGGAGCCATATCAGAAGGGAAACGAGGCGTTCTTAGAGCCTGTTATGCTTTTAACTATACCATTAAGCTTATCCATAGCCTTAACTTAATCTGGGTGAACCTTGCCATTGTAGGTAGTTACATGTGTCGATTGGAAAATCAAGGTAGCTATTAATACCCCTTTTAGACAAGATGCTAATCTTCGGCGTTCGTTGGTAAAGACAAAGTGGAAAGTCTGCATTATTTGTCTCAACAGAGAGGATGCATTGAGCGAGTATCTCAAGCTTCGGAGCAAATGCCACGGCGTCACGCTGAGATGTCAGACCAGAAGCCCTTGGAACTCAACTCCGAGATTGTTGTTCAGAGCAGTGCTATCTTCATTTCTGCGTTCCATCCAGATGATACCTTCAACAGAAGCATTGACAGACCATAATCTCTCTGTTTGTCTACGGCATACTATGTTGGGGCTCGCTCTTACCATCTGTTCAAGAAGGATACCCAGCGGCCGTTATTTGCAGACGTGGCTGCAATTTCTCTCCGAATTACTTGCTGTTATTGTCTAATATTGCCCTTTGAAGACAAGTAATGTTTCCGGCACCAACGCCATGTTCGTCTACTTTTTACTTACTCACCGGTTCGTGATCACCGCTCCACATCGGCTGCATATTAGGTATGGTGTAAAGTTTCAACAATGGCACGATTCCTCCCTTAAGTGAGGTGGCCTTCAGCCCCCTGGTTGAGGATTCTTGGGTCTACGAATCACCAGGCGGTAACGGAAGACTCGGAATAGCGGGAGAAGCATACGAAGAGACGACTTCATTGAGAGCCGAGATTGCCAGTATGCAATATGTCTTCACTATATGCGATATAACTTGATGTTGGGCAAGATCGTGAACTCCGTAGACAAGTAGAGTTCCCGGAAGAAGCTCGAATCTGTCAAACTCGGCGAACGCATCATGAAGTCAAGACTTCACTTCGCTGGTCTCGCTTACTTCCAGTCTACTCTCCGGATTGCTGGCAAATTTGACATCACAGCCTGGTTGATAAACTGTAGGCGGCAAGAGCGCCATGCCGTCATGAGGAACTCTCCGGGACAACGCCGTGGCTTAACGTGGAGGAACATACTTACCCAGATTAAGATGCTTTATCTCGATTATTTGTTGTTCAACTAAACGTTTCCCAGTGTAGCTTGTGTTGAGTGGCTGTTTCTTGCAACAAACTGCATCATCGAAGCCATAAATTAATACTTGACTGCATATAGGTATTGGGTGGTTGGTGGCTGTCGAAGTAGAAATTGGAGCTATGGACTCCTCGATGCACCTCGGTCATCCGGAGTTGACATACTGTACAGTATCGCAGGCAGGTTGATGCAATCTTGAGCACGCCGTTTGTACGAACCCTGGATAGGATGGCTTGGGTTCGTGGGGAAAAAGGACACTGGACATAGTACGAGCAAGTATGCAACGAGAAAGGCAAGATACATATGCCAACCCACAAATGAAAGGAAGCGAATGGTCCTCAGCCATACCATGGCATCTGATACCCTCTCGTCTCGTAGACATTCTCTTACGCTGCCATAGCTACTGCTACCATAACTTTCATTCAGTAAACTTGGTTACATAGTGATAAAAACAGCTCCGAACTTCATACGATAACCGCTGGCCTCCATTCACATGTGAGATTGTGCTGTAATTTTAATGGACAGGATTCCAGAACGGCCGAAGATGTCAGCGCTCTCTCTGATGTCCAACCGTCTCAATAGATCTATGTAGCTGTTGGCCAGACTTACCCTGTCGCTGCTCTACGGGGAACATATATTGCAGAAAGCGATCGCCTAACGATTGCCTAAATACACAGTCTTATTCATTGATACACATTTTTATTTCGCCAAGCAGGCGATTGATTTTATTGAGATCAGATGCTTCAATTCAAAGCATGATCCAGTATATTCTCTTCTCCAAAGTTTGTAAAGGGTAGGGCTTCAGGATCTTGATTGCCCTTTCATGTCACAGTTCCATCTTCCCCCGCATTTTCAAGTTACGGCAGAGTATGAGCCAGTTGTCACTACAATTGATTCTCATGTTCTTGTGTTAGGATGAAGTTGCGAGGATTTCCAATAAGTGATTATCCTTGATCGCAAGGTTAGATCCTAGTCTATACGATTAGATGCACAGATCCAACGGCTCCAGCTCTGATTGATAAAGGCTTGGAAATCCATCCCCGCGTTGGGGCTTTAGATTTGTAAGCTTATTCATCACGTCAGGATTGCTTCGATTGACGAGGAGATCCCTGACTGGAATATAGTATAGGACACATTCGCCGGTTAACTTTTCAACGGAATAGATGCAAAGACTTGGCTTCAACGAAGGCAACATAATTATAAACTTCGCTGCATATTTTGCCGGAAAACAATCCGCACGGTAACAGTAACCTGGATCATTGTATCAGCCACGGAAGATGGCGCCAGCTCAACAGGTGTGGATAGCATCAGCCCTTCGATTAGACAATGTCGTCCTGCAGTTACTTACGTTCTTCATTTAGATCTATCACGACAAAGGCAAATTTACTCGCCCCGACAGCACCTTTCGAAATTTCATCTCCAAGGATCCCAAGTCTCAGTTTCCAGCTGAAAAGGGCCGTTATGCCCTCTATCTCTCGCCTGGCTGCCCATGGGTAAGTGGCTTTAGACAAACACACTTCGTCTTCCTCCCGTTTCATCTGCTAACCGATAGCACGCCTTGTATAGGCCCATAGAACAATGATAGTGAGGCTTCTCAAAGGACTGGACTCCATCATCGATCTCTACCAAGTTCACTTCCACATGGGACCCGAAGGATGGTACTTTAGCGGCGAAGGAGGTTCACTTCCAGAAGATCCCCTGCACGGATTCAAAAAGCTCAAAGAGCTCTATCTCAAGGCCGATCCCAACTACAGCGGTCGATACACGGTTCCGGTATTGTGGGATAAAAAGGCCGATGTGCTCGTCAACAACGAATCTTCCGAGATAATCCGCATGCTTTACTCTGAGTTTGACGACTTTCTGCCCGAGAACCTTCGCGAAGAAAATCGCCCCGGAGGGGGTCTCTACCCGCCACACCTCAGAGCCGAGATTGATGCAATGAACGAGTGGGTGTACGACACAGTAAATAACGGTGTTTACAAAGTCGGCTTCTCCAAGTCCCAAGAGTCCTACGATGAAAATATCCGCCCGCTCTTCGCGTCACTGGACCGACTGGAAGAGCATCTCGGCCACGGCAAACCCTTTCTGTTCGGCGACTCCATCACCGAGGCAGATGTACGCTTGTACACGACCTTGGCACGCTTCGACGTGGCATATCACAGTGTCTTCCTGTGCAATCTCAAGTCGATTCGCCATGACTATCCTCGACTTCACAGCTGGCTGCGGAGGTTGTATTGGGATCAGGATGAAGAGGGGCCGCTTCGAGCGGCGTTCTATCGCACGACTGAACCCAATATTGGACGCTATGCGCTGGGATATGCGGACTCCAAGTGGAGGGTTGTATATGAGGGACAGGGGCCTTTGATTGTGCCCGCTGGACCATTGGTGCTGATGGAACCTCTGTAATGAGAGATCCAGGAGTGATTTGCACCAAGTGGATGGAGTCTCTTGGATTCAGTATTGCAGATGATTCTCATAGGGAAGATCAAATCTCAGGTTATTCATTGGGGCAGTGTCTGTGCAGTGTTTATTCTTCATCATAGGTACTTGGGATGTGTGAGAGTACGCCCTCACAGCCAAGCAACAGCGTCATCCAAGATCCATCGAACCGTCTCCAGTACCGTCTTCTCATCCCTTCTCACATCGACGGGCACGACATCATATTCTTTGCTGCTAGGCTTCTCATATGAATCTAGCTGGCTTTCCACCAAATCCGCACTCATACAGTGCCCCTGGCGCTCCTGCACTCTCTTCAAGAGAGCCTCTTTGTCCGCTTGCAGGTCAATGAAGATGGCCTTGGCCTTGTGTGCAGACAAATGGTGACGGATCTTGTCACGATACATTTTTCTCAGTGCGGAGCAGCTGATTACCACTGAATCATGAGCAAGATCGTAAAGCGTATCTGTCGCGCGCTGATTGATTCGATCAAGCCATGAAATGCGATCACCGTCGGCGAGGATCACACCAGATTGCATAGTCTCAATGGCCAGACGAGAATGCAATTCGTCACCTTCAATGAAAGGAACGTCGAGTAATTGTGAGAGTGCTCTTCCGATGGTGGATTTGCCAGTTCCACATGGCCCGATGATGATAACGGCCCTTTTCTCAATCCCAGCTGGAGATGGGGAGATGTTCCATGCTCTCTTGGTGAGATAGCCGACGAACTTTGCTACGTGTTCTTCCTGAAGTCTCGGGACTTTGCTCAGCGCCGGTGATAGGGATCGTGCCACTTCAGTAGCAAACAGCTTGGATAGGCTGAACGAGTCTTTATCATACTTGGACGCAAAGAAGTCTACCAGTTTGATTGGCGGATTCGCGGCTGGATCGGGGTTCGATGCTCGCAATCTCTTGATCCATTCGTATGGCTCGACTTCGTCAAAGACAAGCCCGCATTTACGCAGAGCTGGCAAAAGATCGTCAGTCCAGCTGAAGACTTGCGGATTCGTGACATTCGCAAAGACACTGCCTGCGCCGGAGAGTGAAATGTCTGTGACAGCATCTGCCACCACATCAACCGGCAACCACGACGGCGTCTCTTGGAGCCTCGGCAGAGCCCCGATTGTGATTGCAGTCTGGATCATCATAGGCACCGCTTCTTGAGCGTTCCAGACACCGTGCTCCGTATCGCCAATGATCTGCCCAATGCGCAAAACACGAGTCGTAATGCCTTGAGAGGCAGCTTTCGCGCATATGTGCTCAGCAACAGACTTGGACTGGGCATATCCCATGTTCTGAGCCCATGACAAGTCAGGAACTCGCTCAGGCACTGGCATCTCTGTCGCCTGCGAGCATGTACTGACGGACGAGCAAAAGTTCATTGTTGCTAGCGGCTGCGCGGATTGACAGAGGGCAATGAGATTGCATACGCCCGTGATGTTTGTCTTCTCGAAGCTCAGAAGGTGCATGTTGAAGTTGACTGACCATGCACAGTGTATAACGGCAGTAAGATTCTCAGTGATTGCGTCGTAGGCTTCTCGAGAGAGACCCAGCTTTGGTTCCGACAGGTCTGATGGCAAGGCTATGATTTTGCGTCGCAAAGACAGTGATAGCGAATGATAGACTCTTCTCTGTAGCATTGAGCTTACGACCCGTTGATGGCCATGAGACGAGTCGTGAGAGCGAACCAGACAGTATATTTGGTCAATATCTGGCCGAGACGCCAATTTGGCTACGACATGAGCTCCCAGGGAGCCGGTGGCGCCTGTCACGACCTAGTGAATTAGAAGATTAGCTAAAGGGAAGCTTTTCACACTTTCTGAAGAGAAGTAATCTCACAATGGATGACCTTGTAGGCTTTGGAAGGATCTTGGCCGAATACTTATTCACCAAGCTCTCCATCTGCTGTAAGATGGATGGCTCCTCATCCATGTCCCCGCCATTCCGAAGATTCAGTAAGAAACTGCTCAGTTTATTGACCGACGGTTGCTCAAAGACGATTTGTTGGCTCAGCTTATTTCCCCTAATATCGATTCTCCGCAGAATCTCACTTCTCATCTGGATGGCTTGCAGGGAATCCAGGCCTAAGACGAAAAAGTCGTCATCGTCTGTAGCCGGGGTGCCCATGCGGAGAGTTCTATGAAGAAGATCGCGTAAGAATTGTCGAAGTTCTGAGAGATCGAATCGAGCAAGCTCTCCAGACACCGTATCCGCAAGATCGTACGTCTCGTCAATTTCTCGCTGGAACTGTTTATAAAAGGCCTGGCGAATGATGCTCCCCTTATCTGTCCGAGGATATGCACAATCGTGCGGCAATATCCGGATCATGTTCCTCGAGATTCGAGCAAATGTATCCGCAGACCGGTTTGCCGCATCAACGACCGGCCAAACGATATCTATTATCTCTTCTTCGGTGCGGCTGGCCAATGCCGCAGCTGGAACAAGCAGCATCCCCAGATGCGCCCGTCCAGCGCCAAAGACAACTGCTTCGGTCACGTTCTTGTTGGATCGAATCTTTCCCTCCATCATCACTGGGTTGAACTTTTCGCCATTGACGAGAACAATTGTGTCGTCGAGTCGAGCAATGTACTTCCATGCTTTGGGAATGCTTGGGTGAGGTTGAAACAAGTCTTTTGTCGCGTAAGAGCCGTCAGGTTGGTTGGATTGCACTTTAGATGGCCAGCCATCCAAGACGACGCATTCGTACAGATCTGGGCCACGTTGAACCCATCGTAGAAATGGAGATACATTGTCACTCTCTCGTACGTAGTTCCATGCCTTGTCGCCTTCAGGTCGGAAAGAGGTCATTAACTGTCCAACCTCCGTCCTATCATGGCGGTTAACATTATATTTTGATTAGCGGAAGCGTATTTCATCTCACTTACGCCCCATAATGGCCGATCAGATTGACCCCATTATCGACAAGCAGATTGCCGAGATCATCTGGACAAGCCGACCCGCCATACATGACAACTTTGAGCTCTTGAAGCAAGCTAATGCCTTTCTGCGACTCTGAGAGTAGCTTGAGCGCATAAGGAACGCCATAGAAAATCTCAAAGTGGTGCTCTTGCATGATCTTGAGCAGATATTCTTGAGTCAAAGGAAGCTCGGCGTTGTAAAGATGGATAGACTTTCGGCTATGGACTGCTCGAAAGAAGTTGCAGATCCCATGATTATGGAATAGAGGCAACGTGATGAACGCTTTCATCTTCATACTCACAGCGCAGTTTGCGAGACATGATTTGTGAGGCTGATATATGGGCTTTGGGTGACCAGTTGATCCTTCTCATGGTTAGTGTTTAGTTGAACCAAGTATGATACACTTTGACGACTTACCACTTGAGTGTATTATAAAGGCAATATTATGAGTCTCAACCTCGGGATCGAAGTGGGAACTAAGCTGAGTATCACCATGGGCCTCAATTGGATAATCAAAGACCCCGCGATCAACGATATCAAGAAGCTGCAATGACGGTACCAATTGCTGAACTTTCTTGGCAGTTTTCAAATGCCTCATGTCGGCAATGATGGTCGCTGCCGACGTAGCATTTACAAGAGACTCAACAGCCTCAACCGTGATTCTCGTAGACAAAAGCAAGACAGTATGCCCAAGCTTTGTCAAAGCCAGCAACGTGATGAGATACTCAAAATTTGACAGCCCCAGGAGAGCTACAACGCGCGGCTTCTCCTTTGAAGACTTCCGCGTTGGAATGGACTGCGCATAGCGATTTGCCGCCCTCCAAGCGAAGACGTCAAGCTGCTGAAGATTGTAGTCTACAAAGCCGATGCCCGATTTTGGGTACGAAACAATGTGATCTTGGGGGTAGTTGATAGCCCGTTGGCGTACCAGTTCATCGACTGTTCGCAATGCCGAATCATGCTTGAGTGTAGTGGTAGGAGCTGTGGTAGTTGCCGTGGACGGTGTCAGACCAAGTTCAGTCGGGGCCTCTGGTGGCTCTGGCCGAGATGAAGGAATGTATACCGTAGCAGGCATGATGATTATGACTATAAGTCTATCGGCTCATACGTTGCACAAGAGATTGCCTCCAATAGTCGTGGTCATAAGCGGCGTATCCCACCAACAAGCAACGTTAACCGTTAGGTATCTGCAGAACATTAATTACATTCCCAGGGACACATCGACGATGGCGAGACAATGAACACAGCATCTTCTTAATGCTTTAGCGGAACTCCAACACTTCGCTCGGATCTTTATCCGCCATTTCCGACGATCATCGTTCTAGCTTTCGGATAAGAATCCGTCACACCCACCACCTCTTCAGCAAGGTGTGAGTGGAACTGTACCCCAGATCACCAGACGCGGGGCCAGTTGGATGTAAATCCTGAGTTTTGGCAGAAGTGTTTTTTTATGCGATAGATGTAGAAGAGCAGATGAGGAGTTGGTCGATGATAAAATGTTGGTTCTGTCCAGTTGACCTAATAGCACCAGAGAGGAGGAGACACTCATGTGTCTCCCCAGCCATTGTAGAACCTTCTTGCGTTCTGGTCTGGGATAAGCCGGCTATTATCAAAACTTCTGCCCTGTTGTCGTCCTTCAACAATATCCAAGATGGCTGCGGGCTCTGCAAAAGGTGAAAAGCCAGACATCGTCTTGGTAGACGACAGAGAAGCCGCCGCTGCGAATTATGACTTGGAAAAGTCGCCTCAGGTCAGAATTATCGACAACTTCACAGTCCTAGGTCTTAGCGAAGAGGATGCAAGGTTTTACAATAGCTTCACTGAGAAGCAAAGAAACCATATTATAAAAAAGGTAAGCAATTTCATCACATTGACATCTCGAAAATATATATATACTAGATACATGATGCTGACTGCCTGATGTGATGCAGGTTGATTTGCGGTTAGTACCGATGTTGGCGATTCTCTACCTGATATCCCAACTCGATCGCGCAAACATCGGCAACGCAAAGATTGAAGGCCTTTCCGAAGACCTTCACCTCGTCGGGAACCAGTATAACATCGTCTTGGCTCTCTTTTTCACCCCTTACATCCTACTTGAAGTCCCCAGCAATATCCTCTTGAGGAAATCCAGACCCTCTGTCTATCTTGGCTCTCTCGTCACTGCCTGGGGCATCATCATGACCTTGCACGGAGTTGTCAGCAATTTTGGCGGCTTGCTTGCTGTTCGACTACTCCTGGGCGTGTTTGAAGCGGGATTCTACCCTGGTGCCATTTATCTGTGCGCCTTTTGGTATATGCCCAAAGAACTCGCCGTCCGAATTGCATACTTCTACTGCACCAGTGCTCTGTCTGGGGCATTTTCCGGCCTTTTGGCTGCTGCAATTGCTCTAATGGACGGCGTCGGGGGTTACGAAGGATGGCGGTGGATTTTCCTCCTCGAGGGCATCGCTACCACTGCTCTGGGCATCCTCTGTTTCTTCTTCCTAGTGGACTCTCCCTCGCTGTCTTGTAACTGGCTATGTCCAGAGGAAATCAGATTCCTCGAGCTTCAGTCCTTCGTGAAGCAAGGTGGACGCTTCTCAGTGCAGAACGCTGATAAGAAGTTCCACTGGTTCGAGTTCAAGATGGTTCTCACCAACTGGAGGCTTTATCTGCAAGCGTACATCCTGTTGTGTATTTCCGCCTGCTCATATGGAACGAAGTTCACTCTCCCTTCCATCGTCAAGGCCATGGGCTTTACGGACAACACTATCGCGCAGCTCATGACGGTACCAGCATACGTGGCAGGCGCCATCTCTTCCATCTTCTTTGCTTACTTGTCGGACCGATTTCTCTGGCGGATGCCCTTTATTGTTGTCCCCATGTCGCTCATTACCATCGGATACGCCGTGGTGATGGGCTTCAACGGCGACCTTGGCGGAAGCCATACTGGGCCGGGATATCTATCCTGTACATCCGTCAGCTACAAGCTGGGCTGCCAACAATCTGGCTCCAGCCGGCCGTCGTGCGATTGGCCTTGCATTTTGTATCTGCATGGGCAATATCGGAGGTATCATCGGCAGTTTCATGTACCTTGACAACGAAGCACCTGCATACCCCACTGGCTTTGGGCTCTCTCTTGCCTTTGGTGCTTCTGGCGTCATCGCGGCTATCGTTCTTGAGTTGAGCTATATCTGGGCGAACAAGGAAAAGTCCAAGATTCCAGAGGAAGTGGTGAGGGCTCAGTATACGGAAGATGAGCTGTTGAGGCTGGGCGATAAGAGTTTGCTGTTTAAGTACCTACTCTGAGAGACTATGCTTTGGTTGGCCTTGAAGTTCTTGTCGCGTTTGTCACAAGGCCACACTCATGAAGCCACTCTCGTCTGTGTTATGGCTTGTTTTCGAACTTGCGTCAACACCATTCATTGAAGGTTAACGTCTGCTGATCTGTTGTGTTGAAGTTATTGCCCTCCTTGTCCTCGTTTAACAACCAATGAGAGTAAAGCTTGAAAATTGTGAAAGTTTTCAAACTGAGTCGCCATCGTACCCCTTAATGTTGTTAACGATCAACTACTTCTAGAGCATGATCCTTGACATCTAACTCCTTCAAAGTTCTAGACTCTGCATTATACCCAAATGATCTGCATTGAAGATGAGACCTTCCCAGAGCGGGACATGCAGTCCGTTTGTAAGCCTCTTCTAACACCCCCGCAGTCATGACACTATCATAACCCCTGTCTTTCCTTTCACACAACTATTCTTAGAACTACTCTGCTGTCTTGCCCCGGTATTAATACTTCATCCTTCGGCTTCTTTTCCGCCTTCTCTCTGCCTCATTTGCAGTGACAGTCAGCAGATACACAGACGCTCATTTCGGAAACTAAGGCCTTGTGCCAGTTCTCGTATCCACCGCGCCTCCTCTTCGACCAACCAAATGGCACCCGAACTCCCACGCCAGAAGCGAAGGGCTGAAAGTATCGACAACCTCTCACGGGATTCTCCTGACGCTGCCTCCCGAAAGGCGCGCAAGGTTAGCCGCGCTTGTGACTTTTGCAAGTCCCGGAAGGCCAAGTGCACCGGCGACCAGCCATGCGCAAAGTGCATATCCAGGCGCCGAGTATGTCTGTATGAAGCAAAGTACACTCGCGGCTTGCCGCCCACGCCTCCTCCGTCGTTGGATGTTAGCCACCGGTGGTCTGCAGGAAGCAGCAGAGCTTCTCTGACCGAGACTTTTGCTATACCTGACGCCACGGGCTTTATATCAAGCACTGGCGCAACTCCAAGCGACGATGTGCCGTTGGATCGGCCTTCACAATCGTCAGGAGGACCTGTTGCTCTCTCCCGGGCCTCCCCAGAGCTGGGAATGGCGGAGATACAGGGACAGGTGTTTGATCCAACATCGAGTCTCGCGTTTCTTCATCGGGCCTCACATCGTCTCTCGGCTCATGGAAGCAGTCAAGGCATTGATGACTCGCGGTCAATGGCAGAGAAACAACTGGTATTCATGGCCGGAGACAAGCCGTTGGCGACTGAAGACGGTGGACCTGAACGGCAGCCCACCCTACCAGATCCAGAGGACGCCAGAGCTCTCTTGACACTGTACTTTGACGTCTGTATTGCGACTTACCGTATCTTGCACCGTCCATCCACGGAGTTATGGTTAAGCACTATGGAGAGCAATTTGAGAAACGGCATGCCGGTATGGCAGACAGTTGGCCCTGCTAAGGCAGCCATCATATACGCAGTACTCGCAAGTGCTAGGTTTCACCGGGAGAAGTCCAAGGGGTATCCTATCAAGGATTGTCAGGCCCTCCGGCTAGGTGATCATCTGTTTCGCTTCTCGATGCGACTCACAGAGCTGGAGAAGGGATACCCCAGATTGGAGTCAGCTCAAGCCCGCATAGTCCAAGTATTGTACTTGTTGACAACCTCACGCTTCAATTACAGCTGGTACATATTTGGCAACGCGCTGCAGCTTATATCGGCGCTCGGCTTGCAGCGTCGCGCAGATTGGAGGAGGAGGCACAAGTCGGCGGCCGATTACATTGAGAAGCAGTGTTCTCTCAGAACATTTTGGACTGCGTACATTCTCGACAACTACCTCGGAGTAGTATTTGGACGGCCGCGCCACTTTCACGACGACAACATCGATCAGGACCTGCCTGACCGGATCAACGACGAAAACATGTCAGCAGATGGTCCTATAAGCGATTCCGATGATCGCCGCGGATGCAATACTGACGCCTTGGTCTTTCACACGCGGTAAGGCAGTGAACCATTTCTCAGAGGAGCCTCTTCTCATCTTACTAACATACTTGACATAGAATTGCCAAGATAATCGGGACTATATCACAAGAAATCTACACAGCCAAGCATTCTTCTGAAGTGGAGAGAATAGCCGCAGCCAAAGGCTTGACACAGCAGATTCGCGACTGGCGTCAAAGTCTCCCGACTCATCTAGGCTCAGTCAATCCCATGATGTTGATCCCTAGCTACCGGAGACCGGCCCTGGCTCTTGGACTCGCTCACTCGCACGCCATCATGCACGCCAATCGTCTGTTTCTCATGCGCTCCCCCGCATCAGCCTACGTGACGCAAGTCAGCGACTGTATCAGGGCTGCCAAAGACGTGCTCGAGGCGGTGGACGGTATGGCTCGTGGATGTCCCATGTTTCACGCCTTTTGGTGGACTCACTACGTGACATTCTGCGCACTTGTGGTCACTTACGTATGGGCGATGCAGCAACACCGCATGGGCGCTACGGACGATCCGGGTTATCGAACGCGGTTGATGCAGCTGGCAGAGAGTTGTCATGGCCATCTTGCTCAAGCGACTGCTTCAAACTCCCCTAGTCGACGGTACGCAGTCATACTAGAAGGGTTCAGGGCGGCTGCTATGGCGCAGTCGACTCCGCAGCATTCAAGGTCACATTACACGGCATCAAACGAGCATCAAGTGGACCAAAGTATGTGCACTCCAATGATAGACTCTGATGACGGCGCCGGCTTCCCTTCATTGGCTCAGAGCAACTTGGCTGCAGATATGCCCACGTTTCTTGACTGGCAACTGACAGACTGGCTGGATCTAGACTCATCTGTAGGTATACCCGTCTTATGCGCAACTATCTGCATTGCTGACATCTTGTAGGCCTTTTGGTTAAGCTTCAACCCAGATGAAGTCGTCATATCACCGGAAGGAGGGCAGACTAGGTACCAGCAAAGCTATACATAGGAGTGGTAGAGTTGGATATCATATTGAGAGTGAAGTGTGCTTATAGTGACATGGTATGGCTGCAAAGAGACGGAAAGGGAGGAGGTAAGCCTGTTTAAGCGCATGGTTGGCGGATGGGGAGCCATGTCTCGTGTTCAATGTGGGCTATATGCAATCCATTACGAAGTATGTCTTTCGAACTCTGTTGTATGCCTTGGCTGAGACGGATCCTATCACTATTCAGAGGCTAGTTCACTATCGCTCGAGACCGCTACCTTGTAATAGTCAAGGAATAGCGTACATCGAGCAAACGTCTTTCTCTTGTCCTATGCAGAGTACGAGCAAGTTGTATGAGGTAGCACATCTCTATCTTGTCCTCATCTTAACGTATGAGCGCTAAAGGCCAAATCCTCTCCGCCACAAGCAAGAGCGCGTCTTTCTCTTTTTGCTTCTCCATCGCGGCCCATACGGTAGCACGTAACTTCCTAACACCAGCAGCCTCAGAGTCAGGATCAGAATCGGTTAGTATCGGTGACGAATGGCGAATATCTTCAATCTTGTTTATCAACATGACCGTTCGGATAACGCCACGGAGCCTGCTCCTAGTCGCATAGCTAGAATATTCCGCTATTCTAAGGGCTTCTTCTGGATCAGATACCAGCACCTGACGACGGATCCAGATATGTCTCAAGGCGTCCTATCAAGCGTGTCGCGCTGTTGTCAGCATTTGTCACTTAAGACTAACAGTTCTTGGTCGGACATACCTGGCATGTGAATCGACTTTGAACATCTGGAATGAGTAACTGGGAGATGAAGTCTTTAGCATCGCTACTGACATCATTCCAATATCCTTGGTGAAAAACGACACCCGTCTGAGTACACTCTTTGTAAAGATCCTTCATATTTGTACTCCTAAAAGGAAAGTAGCCGCAGAGGAGGACATAAGCAACAACTCCAATCGACCAGACATCGGCCGGCAGCCCGTGTCCCTCTTTCGTCATTACTTCCGGAGCTGCATATCCAAATGTCCCAAGAAGATCTGTGCAGACTTCTTCTGGCGAGGAGAGTATGGTCGATTGATCGAAGCAGGCCAAAACGACAGGTGAATCAACATCTGGACTAATACAGTATATGTGTTCGGGCGTTATGTCTGTCAATAGTTAATAGAGAGCTTTGCGTAAAGGAAACCCGGGTTGGCTGACTATGGTGGATGATGAGATTCTCGTGCAAATATAAAACAGCTCGGAGGATTTGTAACATCATCGATGCTGCATCTCTCTCTGTAAATTTCCCTCGATCACAGACACGTTTCAATAGATAGCCCCCAGTGATATGTTGCATGACAATGTAGTATTCAGCCTAGGTCTGGATGTTAATGTGCATAACTCGTAAGAAGCATGAGTAGACTAACTCTTGATTCAAACCAATCAATGAGGTGGATTATGTTGGGGTGTTCAATCCGCCGTAGGATATTGATCTCGTTAACTGCTGCTTTTGCTGCTCCGGCAAACGCTTTTTTCCCAACGATTTTGACCGAGACTTTGCCTATGGGACCATCTGCATCACGAACAGTTCCGTAGATGCTCCTCGAGGATATGGTTGCTCCGAAGCGGTATCTGGATCTAAGGTTCTAGGTTAGGATAGCCGTTCGGAAGCAGGGCCAGGGATATGTCAGTAAGCTCACTTCTTCTCAGAACTCTCAACTTGTGTCCAGGAACTGTCAAAGATGTCTGCGGAAGGGATTGATGTCGAGGTATTAAATCTCATGTCATCATACGTCCCTGTAGCAGCCGATGATGATGCTGTAGCCCGGTCCTTTGTTTCGTGTTGAGACCGTGATGAATGAATGGCCTGGTCTTCGCTATTGGCCGCTTCCGATGCCTTTCGCGACATATGAGGACTAGGATTACGAAACCTCGAGCTGGGTTTGATATATTCATCAGGACTTATGTCCGATAGCTTGCCACTGGCAGCAGCAGTCGACATCTCATCAACCTGCGCCGTACCGATGTTGCTCGGCGATACTGCCTCTTCCAAGATTGGCTCGCTATCTCGCCCTCTAGACGGATCTGACCCTGAAGGCATATTTGACTGATTCTGAGACAGATGGCTAAGAATCGGGTCCTGGTCTTTTTCTGTAATCGGCCTTTGAGCATATTTGTAGTTGTTGAAACCGATATCGGTCCATATTGTCTCGCTTGTATCTGCGTACGTCTCCGCAGGGTGCAATGTGGTTTCTTTGGAATCAAAGTATAAATTGAAATATGAATCACCATCAAGGTCATTCAGCTTTCTGAGACGAAGATCATTCCGATCTGAGGGGTAAGATGCCTGGGAATTCGTACCCCTTAGGCGCCGTTTCCCGTCATCGCCAGCAGAGGCCATAGATGCCCGCTCATCATCGTCTTCATCTGTAAATATGGGAATTGACGTAAAGGTCAATGATTTCACATGCTGGGCGATATGGTTGCCCAATAAGCGTTTGATGTCTTGATGCTGGCCTGCGTGTATCATGGGTATTATTGAGGCCGGAACGCAGTCGCAGAAAGGACACGCATATTGGTCCTCTCGGGTAAGCATCTTTTGCTTCTTCCTTGATAGTGAGTCAATTTGGGTATCAGTAGGGGGTCGTCGACCCGGGTGACTCTTTTCGTCTTTCATATGGGCGACAAAGTCGGCATGATCGTTGAATTGGTGAGCTTGATCACCATGACCAACGTCACAGTACCATGTCCCCATGTGGATTTTTTGATTCCAACCTTCTGAATGTACGGTATCCATGTGCTCGAGCCACTGGGTCATACTGGAAAAGAACAGAAACGGAGCTGTGCAGTCCTCGGACAAGCACACGTATGGCTGTATGTCGGCGTCCAGATGGATCCTATCAAGGCATCAGCGCAATCGTATTGTTTCATTCGTAAGAGATTGACCTACTCCCAGTACGTTTCGTCTTGACGAAGTCTTTCCGGATCTAGAGGGTTTGCACAATATGGGCAAGTACAATACCTGTCGCCTTGCGAGGGCTTTGGTCTCGGAGGGTATCCAACAGTTGCAGCATGAATAGAAGACCCGCTGCTGATGGCAGAAAGCCTCGAACCACGTCTTTTGGTCCTTCGAACTACCATACTCTGCAGTTCGCTTCTCGACTCGTGAGGGCCTGAAGGAATGTTATGCTTCTTTTCTGATGGGCGAAGAACAAGAGGCTGAACTGCTGATTGAGCCTGGGAGTGTGAGTGCTGCGGCTTCGGCATACGAGGCGGCTCATTTGGTGCCGGCCTCGGCGTTGACACTGCTTCTTCTCGCCGCCTGCCGAGTTTCTCTTCATGCATCTTCCTGCGCAATATCCTTTGGCGACGAATAGCAATCGAAGCACCCAAATGCTCGCAAAGCGAACGTCTGGCACGGGGGAAATCGCGCCTCGCAAGAATAATGGCGTAGTTTTCGAAGTAGATCTCCTCATTTCGCTCAAATTGTAATGACAGGGAGTATTTCTGACTCTGTGTTGATGCCCTGCGAATCGCCGCAGACATGAAGTGCAAATCGTCGATGGACTTTTCAGTTGCTCTCCATGCCTCCTCATCCAGGTCCTGTTGCTCAGTTGAGGACTCGTTGATGGAAATGTTGCATACTAGGCGACGCGATGGCAGCATTAATATTGAAACTGAAACGTGAAGGACGCCTAGCTGGCAGCTCTTACTGTGACGAAGATTCCTACAAAGCATCTCGAGGAGATCCATCACCATTGCTTTAATGCCTGCGTGGTCTTTCAGCCGGTTGTCCAGCGATCTGTCTATCGACGCCAGGGCACCCGTATAGTTTATCCATAAATCAAACTTTCTCCCCAGCTGTGCTAATTTGGCCCGTCTTGCTGCGTCATGACCAGGCCGGACGTGAGCTGTTTCCATGTGCCTTGGCTGGTCGTTCGCATCGTCATTATCTTGCAGACTGAGGGCCTCCAACAGGCTAGAGCACTCGATGGCAATGGTATAAATGTCACTGTCGTCTGGCAAGCAATCTTTACTCTGCCTTGAATCATACATCTCGTCTTGGCCAAAAGGATGCATGAAGTTTTGGTGAAGAAAGATGCGGGATGCTTCTCGTTCAGGCGGGGATATTTCTCTGACACCTGACCCATACCGATATGGTAACATCTGAATGTATGGCATCATCCATGTAGCCGAATGTATTCTAGTGATGCCCAACCCTACTCTGCCCACTACCATTGGCCCCCAGGCTGCTTAACCCGCTGACTTCGCGAGGAGGAATACAAGCATATACCGCACCCAGCTTACTTGTAGGTTGCGCCCATATGTTGCAATGGCGACGCCTCAGCTTCTTGCCAAGTTCCCCGCATCAACATACGAGCATAAAGGCGCTCTGTGAAGCAGAAACGTCGACATTCCAGTCACCAGTGTGCTTTTCTCGCGGCAACGGATATGCGCGTCTTTGTTGATGCTCAGAATCAGTGGCAGCTCTTAACTGCTGTGTACCCGCTCTTTAAAGAAGCGCTTCCACGCACCGAGCATCTCTCTGAGGAGCAGCGCAACGACCTGAGAGTGCTCAATGCCGTGACGAACATTCGCCACAACATACTCTCCATTCCACTGCAGATTCAGCATGGCCAGCTTCAGCAAGTCCTCACGGAGGCAGAGTTCGACAGGTTCTGCCTAGCTTTGCATTCACTTCTTTCTGTATTAGAACGTCTAGTCGCACACCCTGTGCAACGTGATAATAGAAGCGAGGTCGTCCATGATGGATGCCTGGCTCCTCAGCACAAATGGGCATGTCCTATCCCTTGGTGATTCGTCATATATGTATACTGGATGAGCTAATCGTTGACGTCTAATCAGCTTACCTCGTTATATCCTAAGTTATGGGCTCTTAGGTGTTTTCTTCGAGAGTCATGCTCGAATGACACTGACGCAGGGCAGTCTGCAAATAATAGCTGGTTTACATCCGCCGAATATTCCATCGATGTCATTTCTGAACTTGCTCGCTGCATCAGCTTTCACGGCTCACGTACTGTATTGGACTACCAGTACCTATCAAAACAACTTCAGCATTTCCACACAGAAGTCCAGGAAGTTTTCAAGGATTCCCTGAGCTTCGCCGATGGCAACATCAGCAACGCAGCCCTGCTAAGAGACGACGAAATCAACTTCATCCGCCGCGCTCATTATATGAATCTGTCATCAAACTCTCTCTTTAATTTTTTGAGTGACAGTTTCGTCTGCTCTAGACCGCATGGTGCAAGAGTACATCTATCCGGTTTTCTAGATCCTGACCTCAGCCTGGACCTGCTTGTGGCTAGTTGCGACGAAAAATCATGGGTTTGCGCCAAATGCAATTGGTATATATCCAGCTTCATCTTCCATCTCGCCGTTTATGATGGCTAATACTCATCGCAGGGCTCTGCGTCCCAAAGCATTTGACACTTTCAAGCATGACAAATTTGCGAACTCTGGATTCGGAACTCATGTGTCCAAGATGCTCAACCTCGCCTTTGACAATCGCGGGATATGGCATGACAGGGTCCAAGCGGTGATGATGGATCAATTCGAAGTCCCAGAATCTCTGCCTACTCTCGAGGAGTTGGTGATTTGCCCTCCAAGCGCTAGAGACAAGACGGCCGAAACGGGCGAGTTCGAGCCAGAGGACGAGAAAATTGTCGAACTGCTCCTCGCATCATCTCTATTCCATCTCAACGCTAGCTATTGGCTTCGCGGCGGCTTAGACATGGATCGCGTCCTGATATTCGGCACTCCGCGTAACCGTGACCTTCTCAGACGCTGGCGACCTTATGTCGCTTGCTCGCTCAAAGACGCCTCGGAGACGGAAGAAGCAGAAGACGAAGATATACTATCGCTCGGCCTATTGATCATGGAGATGGAAGCCAAGCGACGACTCCGGCCGAAAGCCGCAGATATCGATTGGATAACTGGGCTGCCTTCCAAAGACAGCATGCTCAAACGCGCTCTTGTCGAGTGGAAGAGGAGGCTCGAGGACAGCTACCAGCAAATTGGCAAGTCTTGCCTAAACTTCCGAGAACTAGTCGAGAAGTTTTATCATCCCGCATTGCCTGATAGCATGAAGCGGACCGCGGCGATCTACAGGTACATCCTGGCTCCATTGCATCAACTTATCACCCAGAGATACTGCAGCACGTCTCTTCTCTTCAAAGGGTTTCCCCAATCGACAAAGGACTCCCGGCTCCCGTCAACAAACCTCTCCCAGCCCGAGTGGGGATCACCATTGAAGTGGTTTGATGACTCCGAGTCGAGCTTGCACGACCCGATGTAGGTATAACCCTATGTTTGCAAGTACTTGTCGAGGATACAACTTGATACTGACACTGCATGTAGCAAAATATCGTATGCGACAGAGTTTATGCGGAGCATCCGACCTTTTGTCGAAATGATTCGAAATCTTCCCGATTCGTGCGCGGCGCCGCCTCCCTGGGAATCATGGAGGACGCGGAAAATCCGAATTGCAATCATTGACACGGGCATCGATGCAGAGAACGACATCATGATGGAAATGGCTCTTGCGTATGGCTCTATTAAGGCCTGTCGCGGCTTCGCAGGTGACGAAGAAGACTTCCAAGATTCTCACGGCCACGGGACGCACATTGCTCGACTTATGCTTACTGTTGCTCCTGCAGCGGAACTATATGTTGCAAAAGTTGCCAACGAGAAGACTCTTGATGCATCAGCTCTGTCTCGCATAGCTGAGGTACCTGCTCCCGATGCCTACCTAGAGCCCGGTAGACATCGTTTTCATTTTGCTGACCTCAAATTGATAGGCCATCAAGTGGGCTCACAAGTCAATGAAAGTCGACATCATATCACTTTCGTTCGGCTTGGACCACAACAATCGAAATGTCGAGATTGACAAGGCAATCTTCAATGCCATCTCAGACAACACAATCATCTTCGCTGCAGCCGCCAACAGCGGTGGCAATAGACCCAGGGCATATCCCGCCAACAGGCGCACAGGCGTGATATGTGTCCACGCAAGCGACGGCCGAGGCAACGACGGCGGAATAAGCCCTTCTCCCGAGGCAAGAAAGTCGAATTTTTCTACGCTGGGCATCTCCATTGAGTCCAAATGGAAGGGGAAGAAGGTGCTGAAGTCGGGGACATCGTTTGCAACTCCCATTGCCGCCGCTCTTGCTGCGAATATGCTTGAGTTTGCTCGATACAAATGCTCGCTCGACGAGTACGAGCAGAGGCGGCTGCACAGTTACGATAGCATCGAGGAGGTACTTCATCTGATGTCGGAAGAGCGGCAGGGGTACCACTATATCATGCCGCTGCGCCTGTGGGATGGCGCGGATGAGAAGGACGTGGTCAGAAAACTGGTCGAAATTGCTCGATCATGAGGAGGTCAGTAATTTGGCCAGATCTCATATTGGCCGACATGGTTAGAATAACCACATGAAAAGTTAGATGATAGATAGGTGGAATGGCTCACGAGTCGCCTTACAGGACGATGGGAGGCAGACAGACGGTGACCAACGCTGGGGCGCTGCTCTATCTGTATAGAAGCAGGTTTGACGAGGATGTGGCAATAAATGATCGGTTGCCGATGTTTTCAACCTCATAGCGGTAAAGCCGAGGATCAGTGAATCTATCGTTTCGTCCGCTAAATCTTATATATACTACTAGGTCTGCCAATAGGCACCGTCTCCATCTCAATGGCCTCTGCCCTATCCCCACCCTTGTGTTCCAATACGTAGCTGCCAAACTGTCTAGTCGGAATGTTTTTGTCAAACATTTCGTTGATCTCTTCCAAACTCCGTCCCTTCATTTCTGGAACACAGAAATAGGCAAAGAAGAAAGAGCAGATAGCCAATGCCCCGAATATGAAGCCGACTTTCGACTGCAAATTTGCATACGGCTTATTGAGCAAGTATGGGGTGAAGAATGAGAATAGGAAGCTAGAGACGCCAGTGTCAGCAACGTACTTTCGTAGACACATTTACTGTAAAACTTACTTGGTCACAATATTCACAATGGAAGCAACTCTCTGAGTCTTGTCTCGAAGTCGTGAGGCCGGAAGCTCAGTCGTCACGATGTAGTTGAGCGGATCCCAACTAAAACATAGACTCGCCGACGACAGCGCCGTAGCGGCAATGATGACTTGTTTCTGCACGAGACTGGGATGCGCCGACGTTCCGATGCCTCCCATGGTGAACAGCCATATCACCTGAAGAACAGAACCGGTCATGAGGATCGGACGACGGCCGATCTTGTCCGTGATGGTGATTCCAACCAAGCAGGAGAGGAAGTTGATGGAAGAGCTCATGATAGAATAGTTGAAGGGATTTATCGAGCCAATGGACTGTACAAACAGCGTCCCATATGCGGCAGTGAACGGCGATCCTGTGGCTTGGATGAAAAAGTTCATGCCCATGGCGACAAGAGTGCGCCTTCGGTTGGTGCCTCGGAAAAGGTCTGAATAGCGTCCTTTATTGTGCTCCTCCGCCAGAGAGAGGCGCAGTATCGCCAGATCTTCGAGAGCATTGTAAGAGGGATCAGAGCCACGGAGTGTCTGCAGAGACCGGAGTGCTTCCTCCTCTCTGTCCTGCAGCAGCAGCCACCTGGGCGACTCGGGGATGAACCAGATGCATGATGCCACCGTCAACGGCACGATATAGAAGAGGCCCATGGGGATTCTCCATGCCGCGTTGCTGGAAAGACCGCTTGTGCCCCGGCAGACGCTGTTGATGATGACGCCGCCGAGCAACAAGCTCGTTTGATACGTTCCAACAGCAAAGCCTCGAATGGGGGCTGGGACAATCTCGGCCTGGAAAGGAGGACACGTGGAAAGTTCCATGCCGATGTATGTATAGTTGAGGATGCGGCCTGCAAGGACTTGCCCTCGTTTTGTGGCGGAGATGAGCACTGTCGCAGACATCATAGCCCAGAGGGACATGCAGAACATGGACATTCTGCGGCCATAGCGAGCACTGATGATGCTGCCAACATAGAGACCTGAGGTGATTGTGTTAGTTGGATTTATACTCTTCTGATGAAAAGCTATGCCATCGATAGGTCATCGACTTACCAACAGCGAACCCAATGAAATTGAGGCTGTTCAGAAGAGACAGATAGTACGTAGGTATGGCATAGCTGTTGGTCTCCGGGTTGTAGTCTCCAAACTGCTTTTTATAAGCAAGCATGGCTTGGCTGGTAGCAATCCCCTGGTTGTCGAAGCCATAGTTGAACGTCGACAAGGCAATCAGCGCCACGGACAGGGCCAGCCGAGGAGTGAAATGCCGGGCGAAGCGGTTCTCTCGAAGGACTGAGAATGAAATGCTGTGGGAGCGCATATTTGCGAGCTGCGAGAGTCCTCAACTACTCCTTGCGGCGTTCTCTGGATGACTCGAGGTCATATACACGCCAGCCTGGCCGCCCCAGCAGTCTCGATTCGGAGCAGCAGGGAAGGAGAGAAATCATGATTGAGTGCCTCAGGGGGCCATTACAAGTTTGCCCAACCACGTTATGGTTATCCAAGTCACCGATTAGGCCATGCCTCGTCGAGACGGGAGAAGTGTCGCTCTGCCAGTATTGGTGATAGTGTCCATTCTAGAGGCAAGGTCGAAGGAGGTTTGACAGACAAAGCCTTAGCTGGATGCAAAAGATCATGTGTTTCTTGGGAGGCTATAAAATCTCCCCGCGCCTATGCAAAATCTTTCCGCGCGTAAGCAGAGGTTGAGGCTAGTTTAGAACGAGGCGGTCATCCTCTAGATGCTCGGTAGCGAAGCTAACTCGTCTTCTTACGGTCGTCTAACAGTCGTCTAAGGCTCTAGTCTGATGGCTGGCGCGATGGATTGAGCACTATAGACGCACCCATGAGGAGTTGGAAGCTCAGACGGATCCATCTTCAAGTTACTCACTATGGAAAAGCCAGAATAGAGGCCGTCTTGAAGATGTTCGCCAGGGGAGCAGGATGCGGGTTGCATGACACGTTCCACGCAACCCCATCTAATGCAAGGCACAAACGGGATGCCAGGCACAAGATGCCAACCAAGCACTCAATCTCATCGTATCCCCCGCACCGAGCCCGTCTTCCATCTCCACAGTGCTCGGGTTTGACGCCCCTCCACGAGCTGTGGCAACGGACTAGCATCAAACTCAATATCATGGATGCCCAAAAGCGAAGAGATGCAGAGAAAGCTGGAGCCACCCGGATTCTTCGCATCTTGCACCTCCATTCTGACAAATACAGCCTGGGATAAGGGACCACCAACCAACCTTGGAGATGGCTCGAGATCGCGCCTGCGATGCCTGTGCAGCTCGAAAGGTGAAGTGTGATCGAGGCCTGCCGTGTAAACGATGCAAGAGCCTCTCGATCCAATGCGTGGCTGAACGAAGGCGGCTCAAGGCCGGGCCAAAGGGGCCATGGGCGCAGAGGAAGCGCGAGGCCCTGTTGAATAATAAGTCGGCAATGGAGGCGGCCATGATCAATAGAAAGTCGCCAATCCCCGTATCTGACGGCGATGCGACTTATCCGCAGCGGTCGCCACAACAATCTCATGCCTATCCTGGCATGAATCGCATTCCGTCGTCGGCGTTTGAGCATTATCTCGGTCTCTATCAGCAAGCTCTGTATCCCGTGTGGCCGGTGGTGAAGATAGAGACCCTGCTCGATCGGCTGCGGGACTCCACTGACATCGAGGCATATGCACTTGCTGCAGCTGTCAGTGCAGTCACTATTGCACAACTCAAGCCCATGTCTCACGAGGCTTTGGGTCGTTTCGGGGGCGATGATGGCGCCTTTATGGCTGCTGAGTCCTCGCGAGCAAGGCATGAGATGGACTATCTAGAGCACCCTTCCACCAGTGTCTTGCTATCTTCATTCTTCTTACACGTCTCGTATGCAAACCGTGGCCATATTCGAAAGGGGGCCATGTTGCTACGTGAAGCCATCACGTTTGCCCAGATGCTGGGCCTCGATAAGGCGATGCATTATGCGAGTCTCTCTAAACTGGAGGCTCAGCGGCATCTACGCATCATATGGTTGCTTTTTGTGACGGAAAGGTGAGTATGAGTCGGTCGTCCTGGTCAGGCTGGCTGAGAACCACCTACTAATGAATCAATCATGAAAATATTAAAGAGGACACACTACTCGATTTGACTTTCCAAGGATACTGCAGCTTGATCCTGATCTACCCGAGTTGGAGGTAGACGAGAATCCCCCAATCCTATTCGCCTTCATCAGCTTGAGCAAGCTCTTCCAGGGCTTTGCCAACGCAATGGATGGCGATGGATCACCACAGACGTACGAGTATTTTGCTTCCATGCATGCTCGGTTACGGGGCATCAGCCAGGCCTCGCCAAACTGCACAGACTTACAGAGAGCCGACTTTCTCTTGACGCAGCAGTGGATGAGGATTGTATTGTGGAAAACGTCCATGTACTACATCAATCTCTTACCCAACTCGACAGATGAAGGTCTAGGACTCTGTTTCCCGGATCATATTGCGCGAAACGTAGTCAAGAACATAGACGTATTTCCCAGATCCGTGATTGAAGCACACGGACTCGGAATGGTAAGCAATAACTTGCAAGCCTGGTTGATGGCTACCCAGTTCAATAGTATTAACACTTTGCTGCTTGTAGGAAATGAAGCTATTTGAGGTGGCAATGTCCCTAGCTGACATCCTACTTTGTCTCCCGACGACATTCGAGGGCAAGCAGCTGATGAATGTTGGCCCGCGGGATGTGTTGAATCGCCTTTCCGAGTTTCTGACGTATTTTCGAGGTGGTGGAGACAATGTCAAGCTCCAGATTTTGCATGACAAGATGCAGGAGATTTCGAGGAGCATTGCCCAGCAGCCTCGTCTATTGGAGGAAGACCAAGAGCCAGATGCTGAACCGCTCGAATGGACTCGGCCTTGCGGAAATGAGTCTTCGATTGTGTTGTAGATCCGACAACGGTCACTTGTTGCCTGGTGCCGCAAGTTCAAAGTCGAACCGATCTGGAATCTTCAATCCGGCATCAATATGCCCTTGCATCTCTGACAACGAAACGCCATCTCGTACCAACCATGGATCCTTCGTCAATCTTTGCCAATCCTCGAGTTCCTCCCGAAACCCCAGCAAAAGTTCTTTATACTCTGGACGATCCGCCAGATTCACTACTTCTCTAGGGTCTTGATCCATATCATACAGCTCCTCCGGAGGTCGGCGGATGTATGACTCCAAAGAGCGCTCTCCAACTTTGACCGGAAATTGAGAGTTGCGAATGCCTTCCCATGAGAGAGAGGCGTAGAGATCTGTCGAAAAGGGAAAGTCAAGCTTCCAGGCTATGTTGCGGTGGTATTTGTAGCGCGATGTGCGCAGGAATCGTGTCGGGTAGTAGTTTGTGACTTCGTGAAAAGTATGGGATCCAACTACTCTTGTCCAGTCATTATGTGTCTTTGGAGTATCAAGAATTGGTAAAATGGAGCGGCCTAGCCGAGGGGGAGAGGTCGATGAAGACGGTGTTGGGCTATCGTATCCTGCCCAGTCGAGAAATGTGGGCAAGATGTCGATAAAAGAAATGAAATTTGGGTTCTTCAGCCCTGATTTCCCCTGAGGGTGTCTTATGATGAATGGTAATCTCACACCCGCGTCGTAGAGTGTTGTCTTGGAATTGAGAAATGGCGGTCCGTTGTCGCTCGTCAAGAGAACGAGGGTGTCATCGCCAAATCCAGCCTTCTCCAAGGCATCCATGATGCGGCCAAATCCCCGATCAACTCTTCCAACGGAGCGATAGTACTCTGCGACTTCCTGGCGAACTTCGGGGATGTCGTTGAGAAATTCAGGAACAGTGATTCTTGCAGGGTCATACACAGGATCGGGACCCGACACGCTCTCATCACCGTTGCCGAATCCCCCACGAGTGGAATCCCGATGAGGATCCATGAAGCCCACCGTTAGGAAGAATGGTCGCTCATCATCCTTTGCCGACTGAAAGAACAAATCAGCCTGTTTGGCCACCCAAGACACATCCCGCGTTGGGCTTTCTTTTCGCACTTCCCACGGATACACATGCTCTGGCCCAACGTGTATCTTCCCAATAATACCGGTCAGATACCCAAGATCGCGGAACAGTTTAGGCGCAGTATCAATGTGATCAAACGTCATGAAATGGTGATTGGTATGCTGCAGTCCGTACTGCCCGTTTTGATGCGTATGAAGGCCAGTGTAAATGACCGATCGGCTGCCGCTGCACGATGCCGTGCTGGCAAAGGCATTGTCAAAGAGCGTGCCCTGAGCGGTGAAGCGGTCGATGCTGGGCGTTGATATTGTAGAGTCGCCGTAGCAGCCGAGGGACTTGCCCATGTCGTCTGCAATGACGAGGAGGATGTTTTTCTTTGGCGCCATGATGATGCCGTCGCCAGTTCGTTGACATGTAGGAGGTTGAACTTAGAGTCGTCTAATGAAACCCGGGAACGGAAGAGTTTTCAACCTCTTGCACGCAAATACAGCAAGAGGCCGAATATCCGATTCATTTATGTTGTTTTCACGGGAATACCGATCCATCTACCGATCCATCTATCCTTTCGTCATTGAGGCATCTATTACTCGACGCGGTGGTGCTGGGGAGCTAGCAATTGGTGGATAGATTTGCGGCAAGATTTTTGGGGCGTCGGGATGACATTCCTCTTCAGCTACTTACATGCTTGCTGTATCTCTGACTTCGGAATGCATCCGAGCATTCAGATGACGTTGGACGTATATTGAGCCAATTCCTAAAATATCGCATCGTTTATCTTGGCCGAGTAGAAACGAGGCTCTCCAGTGGTCATCTGAGAGAGGAACAGTTGCAGAGTAGAAAGCTCATCTGTACACAAAAGAATCTGGTTGGCAGAGGCGGCAGTACTGCACGACTGTTGGATGCTGATTTTTTTGTTGCAGCAAAGATGAGGTGAATGTCTGCATCATATTGATAGCATAATCATTTTACATCAAGAGTCGCCAATTTACATGATTCAAGGGTAGCAATGTTGCATTGTCATTCGAATGCACCGACCCTACTGTTACTCTTCCCCAAACCATGCTGGTCTTGCTTGACCTGGAATAAGTCGCCAATCAGACATCGAAGCGTAATTGGTTTAGTGGTAAAATTCTCCGTTGCCATCCGCAACGTCGGGGAGCCCTGGGTTCGATTCCCAGATTACGCATTGGAATTTCATCTCTTTTTGTCCTTTTCCTCCATTTTTTTTTTCTTTTTTTTTTTTTTTTTTTTTTTTTTTTTTTTTTTTTTTCAACGCCTGCTGACACGCGAACAATTGTAATGTGACAATAAGATTTTACATGTAGATGATGTACATACAATCTACCATTCGACTAGAATCGTCCCTCAAAGCTCGCTACGAGTCTCCTGCTTCTGCAGAAACGAGGGCACAAACATCTTCCACAGCGGCCCCTTTCCAGCCAGCAGCCTCGTCTCCGCAAACACGCCCTTCATAGCCGGCAGAAAGTCCATGATGCCCAGCTTCCGCTCAGATCTCTTCCATCCCAGCTCGACCGGGAATCGTTCCTCCGTCAACCACGTCTCGACCTTCTTCTTGGGCGCGCAATACGAGTCCGCCGAGGGGAAGCTCCATCCCGATGGAAGCGGCCCGTCGTTCATCATCCCCAAAAGAAGACTTGCCTCCAAATACGCGAAAACAGTGTCCATCAGCGTCATTTCCTGAGGCGCTGAGAGGTTCTCGACGCGCAGACGAGTCTTTGCAAGCGAAGAAACTGTGAGGCAGTCGGTAGAGCTGTCCTCTAGAAGAAGCTTGATGCGCTCAGGGGAGGCAGCACAGTCTAGGCTATCCACGTCGGTGACATCGTCTCGCGTGAGGGACGCAATGTGCTGTAGGATGCCGGGACGGTTAAGTTCGGGCAGATCGAAGGCGGATTTGTGCACAGCCTTCAAGAAGTCGTTTCCGACCTTTGAAGCTACCCAACCATCGAAATTGATGGCTTCGGTAACTGCATCGGACAATAGCTGTGCTGTAATATTGCGGCCGTTGTGAGGTCTTGACACATCAATTAGCCACCCATAACCATCATCAATTGGCATCCAGTTGGAGAGAAATCAGTACAGGTAGTTGTGGTTTGCCAGTGTATTCAGCATTGGGCAAGGACCCCGCAAGTCATCCGGGCCAGGAGCTTCATATGGTCGAAGGCCCTCTGTGGCAGCCGACACGGCGATGAGAGAAGCAAGCACAATCTTTGAGGCCATTGTGTGCTGGATTCGGCGATGGAGATGTAACAAGACAAATGGCACACGCGTAGATTTGACCGAAAAGACACGAATCTCCGCATTGACTGTCAGACCGGAGAGTCTACGTCTTTACTGGGATCGGGCTTCACGCACAGCTATCTTGACAGCAAATAGCATCATCACGTGGCGGTGAGCTGACAGGGTCTCTAACCTCACGTTTTCTCCTCTTGAGATAAGCGAGCATTCTCATTAGGTATAGGCACCGTCTTGATGACTGGGCGGCAGCTGTCAGCAAAGCTCCGACTATATTCTCCGGCGATTACGGGGATTGAAGATTGTGGAAGATGACGATGGTGGGGGGGAAATAGGTAAATAAGCACAAGCTGAGAGGTCGGAACTTGACAAGGTGGTGTAAGCCTGCCGGTGGCCGGCAATCCGGATCTGGATTCCTAGATCCCTGGCCATTTAGGAGTGACTTGCGCGTGTACTCCGCATTGAAGCATCTTTACATCCTCCATGGAGATTTGCCCAAGGCTGTTCCAAATACAAGGTAGTGTGGTAAAGTCCCTGAAAGCGAGTGTAAATCTCACTTGCAGTCTCCTCCACCTCGGTGCCGTATGAGAATCCAGAAGCGCGGAATAAAAACATGACTGAAGCGGGTCCTGGATGCGGCACGTCTGGGCCACCAAGGGATGGGATCTGGTCACTGGGTCGGCGACATCTGATTACCCAAACTGCTCGAATTGTTCCCGAGCCTGTCTTAGAACATCTTGGGTTCTGCACGGATGACACTTTATGCAAGATTTCGAAAGAACAGCAGTGTCTAGACCGTAATAGAGACATGGACACACTTGACAACCTCTGTGGAACACCACCGGATCATGCGTAGGAGTACTTCCTCCTTTCGGCAGCAGAAAACGTCGTAATGTCAAACTGATTACCTCCTCGGTTGCCATAAGCCGCAAGCTAAAAAGATACCATGGTCAGCTTTGCATCAACAAAAAGGTGGCAAAAGCGCATATGCAACGTACCTTGCTGGGAAACGTCCCCTTGGACCACTTGGCCTGCGACGCAGCAGTCTTCCCTGCACCCAACTCATTGATGCCTTCCAGAGTCTCGTCAAACTTCTTCGGTCCAGCCAGCGTGATCTTTGCGATGGTGGCTTGCTTGACGACGTAAGGGGTCCAGCCGATCTGGTCTTCCCAGCCGTAATCAGCGCCCATTGAGTGGGCGTAGCTCAGGACAAGGGCGAGCATGATGCCGATGTTGGGGATAGAAGAGTCCTGGACAAAGAGATCGTTCTTCTGAAGGGAGGCGATGACGGTGATGGTCATGTAGCCGACGAGCTCGAGAATCTTGCCACAGCGGTCGGCATCGTCGCACACTTTGGAGGCATCAGTAAAGGAACCACAGATGTGGTGATTTGTCAAGGAGACAAGGACTTACTCTGGAATTCGACACAACCGCTGTTGAGGACCAAGGCGAGCCCTTCAAGCTCAAACCACAGCTCCATCGGGGTATGAGTCTTGCGCTTGAGCACCTTTTCAAAGTTGACAAACTATAACCGCGGGTTAGCCACTGGTAGTTGGTCAAATATCGCCATTGGGATACTCACAAGGTTCTCCAACACTTCGATGGTGCCATACCAGGTAAAGTCATTGTAAACATGCATGGCAAAGTCATCCTGGTCTCTCTTGAGCAACTCCGAGATCCACCACTTGTGTCGCTCATTGCCACGCATCGTCGAAACCCATTTATGCTCGGGATGCAAGGAAGCAAGCTTGCCCACAACCTTGTGCATGGCAGCATGCTCTTCCCTGGCCTTTTCCTTTCTGGCTTTGGCTCCCTCCTTTTGCTCGTCATCATCATCCTCGTCATCCTCCTCATCTTCGTCCTCGTCCTCGTCATCGTCATCATATTCGTCTTCTTCCGAGTCCCGGGCTTCCAACGCAGGCGGATGAATGCAAACAAAATCGTCAGGCGCATCGCCCTCGTCGTCTGCGCGAGGCTCGCCCTTGGCAAAAGCCTCTTCTCTCATCTTCCAGTGCTTGGCAGTCAAGCCAATGGACTTTTTGTTTGCTTCAAGCCAGGGCCCATTGAGCTCCCACCAGCGGCGGTTCATCAGAGTAAACCCGTGGTCGGGGTCGCCATCAATGGACGACCACCGCTTTGACAGGACCATCTTATCGAGGGCCTTGATGCTCTCCTGGGGGAACACCTGCGGGATGAAAAACTCGCCATTGGGTCCGACTGGCACTCTGCGAGTGTTGGGAATACGCGAATTGCCCGAAGGGGACTCTGCAGGCGGCGCAGGTCCTGCAGTTACTGCGGGCTCTGCTGTCTCTGTCGGCTTTGCGGCCGTCTTCTTACTCGCAGGAGCAGCTCTTTTAGTGGTGGCGGCCCTTTTGGCGGGGGGCTTCTGGGCACCACCGTCTGTGTCTCTGATTGAGCGCTTCATGGCTGCGAAATTGACGACCAAAGGGCTCAATTGGCAATGAGAATGGAAGAAACAAGACGAACAAAGACGAAGACGCGAGATGCAGAGCAAACGCTTTGTTGATATCAAAAGTGGTGGCCCGTCTGGTGTTTTTGCACCGCGTTAATTGGTTGACGTCAGTTGGCCATCAAAATGGTGCGAGAAAAAGGGGAAACAAAGTGACCTGTCAGTTTGAGACGCGATTTTCTGGGGACCTGGAGAGACGCGTTTGTTTAACTGGAGCTGAATGTCCGCTTGGGCAGTTATTGGCTGGGGTTGACATGGATGTCAGAGCGTGGGAATACTAATGGGCTTGTGTCACGCTAGAAGTTCTACATAGTTTCAGTTGATGATCCGCTGTGAGAAGTCATCATGTTGCTGGTCTTAGTATTCATCAGAGTGAAGCCATCGAACAGGGGACATGAGTAATTCACAGATGTCCTATGGGAGAGGTGAGAAGTTGGCAATTGACGGAGAGTCTTCGATGAAAGAAGCATTCAATCTATTGTCTATATTGGTTTCGTAAGTACCAGGTTCTCTGCCTCTGCGTATCACAGCCGGAGTCCGCAGAGGAGGCATGACGGTGAGGGCCTAACCCGCAATCATGCACATCTATCAATGTCTCATTTCGAGGCATCCTCTTGGAAAGGCGACCTCTTTCTCAGCTTTGCCCCCACGCGATTAAATAAGATTGGCATCAAGACCAGGGCCAAGGTGACGAAGCCTAGCAACGAATTACCCCAGCCATATCCCAGGGCATCGTACATGGGCGGGCCAGCAAGAGGCAGAAGCGCACCACAAAGCGATCGAGTCACCGTGATGGCTGCAATCCCCGAAGCCGCATAAAGTGGGAAACAGTCGATAATGTACGTTTGCAGCGTCCCGAAAATGCCAATCAAGCCAAATGCAAACGGGAACAAGCCGATGATGGGTACAATCCAGTGCGTGTGCGCCTGGACGGACCAGCCGTACCAGAAGAACGAGATCGGGACGAAGAGTGAAAAGGGAACCGTGAGGGGAAGACGCATTTCCGGCTCGAACACGTTATTGTTGCGGGCCTTGAGCTTGACAAGCACTCTGTCGCTGAAAAAACCAAATACCACTTGGCCGGCAACGAAGCCCAATCCCAAGCCGATGTATGCCAGCCCGCTGATCTGTTCACTCCAGTGATAATCGCTCTGAAAGACCTCCGTCACAGTCGTGAAGAGGAGATATAGACAGCCGTATACGACTGCGATGTATAGTGCCACAATGGCGACAATGGGTGATCCGAAGAGCAGTTGGAAGGGCGTCGTCAGTCGGTGGATGAAGTGTGCTGTTGTGCTCTCCTCCTTGCGAGTATCGTCGTAGTAGCTGCGAAGATCAGGACGGTTGAGTTCTTTTCGCAAGCGGTTCGTCTTGCGCTGAATGATGATGACGGGGTTTGTTTCGCGGTTGAAGATCATGACAAACAGCGTAAATGTGCCGCCGACGATGACCAGGACCCAAAAGACCTACATTATCCGACGAGTTAATATACGTAGGAGACTAAACTGAGATTGCGTAGAAACATCATGACTTACCCATCTCCATCCGGCACCTTCAGCAATAAATCCACCGCAAATAGGCCCCAAGACGGGTCCAAAAAGCGGCCCAGACGAGTAGATGGCCATGGCGAGTCCACGCTGCTCCGGCTCGAACAGGTCAGACACGACTCCGCCGCCAATTGTAAGACATCCAGAGCCTCCCAGCCCAGTGAGCAGTCGGAAGACGATAATCGAGGAGAAGTTGGGTGCAAGAGCGCACCCTATCTGGAAGAGGACAAAGGCTGATGTTGCCAAGCTGAGGATTATTCGACGTCCGTAGATTTCACTGAGTGGTGATAGGAATAATGGACCAAACTATTGCCTTGTTAGCTGTGTTTTGAAAACCATGAAAGTGAGCTGATACTCACGCCATAGCCGAATAGGTAGGCTGTCACACCCAGAGATTTGAGAACCGTTCCCTTTGTGCGAAATTCTTCTGCTGCGTTTGCTACTGCTGGAGCAAAGATGGATGAAGCTAATGGACTGTGAAAGTTTAGTCGCCATGATTTCATACGTTGAAGGGATCCTGACCTACCTGATCAATGTGATGATACTGACCAGCGAGAGGAGAAACCACTTTCTGAGAAAAGGATAGTTTCTGTTGCAACAATGTTAGGTTGTTGATGCCAGACTTGGAGAAAGGGGGACGTCTATCTTACCTTGGATTCAATGGATCATCCTGGCTTTCCCATGCTATGATGCCCTTTTCCATGTCTGTCACAGGATAAACCTCCCCTCTTGTCTCTTGCTGTCATTGTTTTCAGTAATAGTCTTCTCATGGCGTGTGCAGTAGGTTTGGCGTACCTTTTCAGTATCATCTTGCTGGGATTTCTCGGACATATTGAATGAGAGCCAAAGACGCCTTCTACCAATATCTAGCGACTTTATTCTGGAAACAGCACAAGACGATCGAAGATGCAGTGGAATGATAGTTCCAATCCAGCCATGACCGCCGCTGCAACAGGAGGTTATATATCAACGTAACGGAATTGCAACTATGATGTCTGGGCAAGGTTTTGTTGCCACAATATCCGGTCAATGCTACCAAATCTCCGTGTATATCGTTAGCACCTCACACTTCATCCTACATGATCTCTGCATTGATTGGCAAACAAAGTATCGCCATACGCAGGATCTCGGTCGGTGCCGATTCGGCAGACCCATTAAGCGGGCATGTGGAGGCGAGACTTTCCATCCTAGTAAGGAGAACGTCGCATCGAAGTATCTGATTGGATGTTATCCTCCGTGACTGAGGCTAGTCCTCGATTTGAGAGCTCCGAAAGTCCGCATTTTCAGTTAGCAGTTCGCTCATCATCGGATCGGTCGACTCTTACACTGACGAAGAGGTTGAGCGTGTTGTGTTGACATGACGGCATCTGGATCATTCATCTCTTGTTCAGTGCCTTATTCGATTATACTTTATAGTCCGTCGTATCTGTGCCCGGCCGTCAATACTGGCGATCAGATTATTCCGCGCGTTTACGACGAAATCTACCACAGCCACACTGCTTGCTCAGCACGGAAGTTACTATAATGTCTCCTCAGAATAACCCTTATACGCCCTCGCCGCACAGCGACCAGCCCCCTGCGTCTCAAGATACTCCAACACAGCAGGTAAACAATACACAACACGACAACGGAGACAAATATTTCTTTCAGCCACCCATAACCCATGAGCGACCTCGCCAGACCGGAGAGTTTGGTGGTATACCAAAGAGGCTGTCATGTAACTTCTGTCGCAGACGCAAGGTCAAGTGCGACAAAAGAGATCCATGCGGCCAGTGCAGCATCTCATTTCAAGGTACATACGGACAAGCCATTCTGAGTGTCACGTATAATAACAAAATGATATTATGTGTAGATTGCATCTATACAGAACGATCAAAACGCGCCACTAAGAAGATAAAATCTTCATCTGCATTACATGCGGCAAAGAAGCTCAAGGTGAAAGAAGGCGATCAATCCTGTCCTTCGTCTGCAGTTGGTACAACAGCAGCATCAGCATCAGCCTCCAGCCCACCACGGATCGAATCCTCACAAGAGCACATACAGTCCTCGGCCAACAACCCCGCCACCGCCAAGACAGACTCTGAAGAAATCGGAAAATGTGCAACAGCGCACCACTTCATCGAGCAGGGCGAGATCGAGTTCCACGGCACCTCCGCAGAGAGAACGTTCATGGAGGAGCTGATGGAGAAAATCGGGGACAGCTCCGTGACCCACCCAAGACTCCCCATCCATGCATCTGTCCCAGGGCTCTTTCACAGCGATGCACGACTCTCTGACGACGTTCCTCTTCCGGCAAGGGATCAGGCGATGAGACTTGTCGAAGCTGCTCTTGATGCACAGGTTTTGTTGCACATCATCCATCGGCCGAGTTTCGACTTTTCCTTCCACATGATTTACTCGCTTGAGCCATCCGAGTATAGCTTGAAGGAGCGGAGATTCCTACCCCTTCTCTATGCGGTTATTGCCTTTGGGAGCTTGTTTATCGATCCGTATGGGCACCAGCTAGGATACGATGAGCTGGTTACAAGAGCGTAAATGCCCTCCCCGAAAAGCCTGCCTAATAGTCTCAGCATGTAATAACTTGCTTATAGGTCACGATATTTCATCAAAAGCAAACAGCTACAAGACATTGCAAGCTGCAACGACCTCGTCTCCCTACAGGCTATTGTTTTCAAGAACCTCTTCCTTCTTTACACCACCCGCGCTCCTATGTGTTACACCTATCTGTGTACGTCCATGTCGGTTGCCTTGCGCATGGGGCTTCATCGATCTTTCCACAACACGCAAGACATCTTGTCTCGGGAAACTAGCAAAAGAGTGTTTTTGGCGTTGAAGCTCCTCTGCTTGGAAGTGTCTACTTGTGTCGGACTCCCGATTCTGGTCAATGACGAAGATTCGGATCAAGAACTGCCCTTGGAGGTGAATGACGCTTACATCCAATGGGGACGAGCGGCCAAACAGCCACCAAACGAGATATGCTATGCATCGGGGTCGATCTGTTATTTCCGTCTGCAAAATATTCTCTACCGAGTCTTGAAAGACGTGTATCCTCGCAAAGGTCGAGCAAGCGTTGAGACCTGTGGATCGATGAACTACGTGGTCAAGGTCGACACCATCCGGGGGATCGAGCAAGATCTGGAGAAATGGGTCAAGGAGATACCCCTGGGTTACCGACTAGGTACATATTACCAGGATCGCGCTGTTCAGAGGCAAGTAATATTTTGTCTCGAACTAAAGCATTACTTACTGACCTACATGAACTTGTCTCAGAGCCCAGTTTGTTCTCGCAATGACTCACTCCTACATCAACCTTCGTCTTTACAGACCATTCTTACACTATGACGTCGATCAAACAAAACGCCAGAAAAATAGCGGGCGATCCCCGTGTGTCTCGGCTTGTATCCAAGCGTGCCAGAACATTATCGATCTGTGCCAGGATGTTTGCAGATGGGGGTTGATGACAGAAGCTGCGTGGCCTACCATTCGGACCTTGACCAGCTGCATGCTGACACTCTTCTACATCGCCATCATGCATCAAGACCCAGACGAGGAAGATGTGGTATATAGAACGTTGACCACTGGACGGAAGCTTCTTCATATCATGGAAAAGCGCAGCCACCAAGCTCGTCGCAACGGGACGCTCTTCAAGGCAAGCAAGCAACAGTTACCAATATGATTTATTATTCTGCTAATCGGTTATTATTGTAGATTATTATTTCGAGCCTCTCCATCAGATTCGACCATGTTCGAGAGAAGTTGATGAAGTACGAGTTGGAAGCGCCTCATGTCCGTCAATGCGACCTGTCTTCTGTCAGCGAAGAGTACACCACGCTATTAGGGGAGAGAGTTTTCACGTTATCATCGAAGAGATACCAGAGGAATCGTAGCTACAACCCGCTTTTAAACGAGGGAAATCAGCCATCACAATCCAATAGCGTTCATGGAGGGCTGAGAGAAGCAAATTTGCAGCCGCTCAGTGCAGAACACACACAACAGGGCAACATGCCTCTTATTCCAACACCCGCCTCCACAACGTTCGATACCTCGCTCAAGGCCGAAGACTCGCCAGTTTCTGGCCCTGTGGCGGCCTCCAATGCACCAGGATCTTTCATTGCTTCTGCCTCGAGGCCAATGCAAGGGCACTTTTCCACGGGTGGGCCGACGACGAATCTACCACAAGACGGGCCTAATGGATCCTGGATGAATGCCTTCGACCCGATGACTTCATCGGGCACGATGTACAGCCCTATGAAGGATTTGCTAGGAAACATTAGTCCGCCTTTCGACGACATCAATGACCTCTCTGATTTATGGGATTGGTTTTAGTGGTGGTGGCAACCAAATACACTTCTAGATTGCATGATATGTAATGCGATCTAAAGGTCGGAGATCAGCTGTCAACAGCGTCTGGTCATGGCGATGCGGGCAGGACAAGCGCCTCAATGCGCAACCTCCCAGAGGATTAATCAACACATATTCTTGGATAATACATGGCCCAGTCAAAGCTGGTGGTTTCACATCAACCAATGAGGAGCTACCAATGCCATCTGACTGTCTCGTTCAGCTGTCATGTTTTTCCTCGGTTGAGACTTCAGCTGTCATCACTCATCCCAATACGGTGACGCTATTCGTAAACGGAAAACATGTGCGCACACATGAACAAATTCCAACCAATACTTTAATAACACGCCAGAGAGACTATCCAAGGAATAATTGACGCGACAAAGAGTTGGAGAAAGTCGCCTTTGTAGGCTCCTATAAGTACTCTGGCCAGTAGCTTCGTTCATGAAAAGAGCCATCAGAGATATTTAATACACTATTTCAACAACTCCCCCATTATCTTCAGGATCGGCCAAATAGGAGCATTCGACTAGGAGTACGCTACTAATTCTTCTCTGGCAAGATAAGGCCATTGAGTAAACAGTAGCTTCTGCATCAGGTCAACCACCAGGTATAGCGTTTTTAGTGAGTGGCTTATTCATCGGCTTTGATCTTGAACTGTGAAGCAATCCTCGATAACGTGGCAAGGCTTCTGAAAGTGCTGACAATCATGTCCACAGTCATGGAGGCTCAGTCTCTCAACTTCGTCGACGACTGCACCACATTCAACTCCGACCTATGGAAAAAGGCCAACTGGCGCATGGGCCTAGGATCAGTCCTGGCCGCCAACGTAAACCCAAGCGGCGGCGGCGTGCTCAACTTTGAGATCCCAGTGGGAACCCACGACGGCGGCGAGATCGTCTCCAAGGCACAATACCCTTTCGGCCAAGTCGCAGCCCAGTTCAAAGTCCCGGACCTGCCTGGTATCATCTCCAGCATCTTCATGTACCAGGGGACTTCCACCAGCGACGAGATTGACATCGAAGTATATCTCAACAAGGGCAGATGGGAGGTCGCTTTTACTGTGTATCGCCTGGGCGTCAAGTCGTGGTCGAAGGGATACTTTCCAACGTGGGATCCCAGCTCGGGCTATTTCGATTATATGATTGACTATCAGGAGGACGCCATCTCGTTCTATGCAAATGGTGAGATGGTAGCCAAATATGCCACGCCGGAGAAGCAACCGATTCATCCGATGAATATTCAGCTCAACGCTTGGTTCCCGGCATGGCTCCAAGGCAAACCGGCATCGGCTACTCGCTACTTGCAAGTCAATCAGATATCCTACACGCAATCCTAGAGAGAAATCGCGTTGGACATGTTGGCGTCGGTATAAACGTCAGCTTTGATTTCTGTGATCCAGATGATCGGTGACGAAGAGGATTATAAAGGGCTCCGTACGAGGAGATGGGCACGGAAACGGGGAACTTCCTAATGTCCTCTAAGTCCGACTTGGCAACTTCACCGTCACCTTCTATCTTTCATTTCGCTATGCTCCTACATATCCTGTACTCTTGATGACCTCAGCCAACTATGACTGGTGGAAGTAAGAACGAGTTACAGAAGTAGTCAAATATGATATAATCAGATCCTCGGGAGTGATAACACGGAATGGAGAGTATTCTTAGCCCTATAGGCCTTATGACCCCATATCCTAAGATGCTACATTCCTAAACTGGTAATAAGCGACGGCTTATACGAAGTGCTACAAAATTATCCATGCCTGCCGTCCATCAACCCCGCCATCGCCGGCTCTCGCCCGCCTTGTTCGCCTTATACCATTACCACCGACTGGAGAGGTGGCTGCAACATGAGCGAAGTCCGCGGGTCAAGATCATCAAGCCTAGCAAACAGCCTAAATCGTCTTGAGATATGCATACGTCCAGTCTCTATTAGGCCAAGGCTTCGCTCGTCAAGAGAAAGCGTCAGTTAATACGTCTCACTCCTCTCTGGCGCCTTGGACGAGGCCTGTAAGAGTCTGTAATAAACTCCGTGCCCCGTGGGGTTACTGGCCCCGGCAGTTCTTACTCCATCATCTTACCATTGTAAGCCCTGTTTATAAATCGAGCTGTCTTCCTCATGGGAGAGCCAGCCTTACCCAGTGCCCGTTATCTCGTCACAGGGTGCCTCGTGCCACAATGACAATTTTCAGCCAACTGTTGGTTGTTACCTCCGCAGCAGGTCTCGGCCTGGCTTCAAGCGTTGTAAAGCGCCAGTCTCAAACAGCTACAGTGAACCTAAGTCATATGCAAGGAGCACCGCAACACTTTGCGTCTGGCTTCTTGTACGGCATTCCGGATACTCCAAATCAGATTCCCGCGCATTTTTACTCCGAGATCGCATTCAACTATGGAAGGGCTGGCGGTGCGCAGCTTCCAGCCAAGGGCTATATGGATGGCATAGATCAGTACGAGGTGGGCATATGATTCTTGTACGCCTTGAGTTATGGTTAATGTGTGTAGCCTCGCTTCGCCTCTATGCTGTCAAACTATCACACTTGCCGCCAGTTCGGTGCCGAGTTCATCGTCCTTCTCCATGATCTATGGGGTGCCGACGGATCAGAGTCTGAGTCTGACTTGTTCCCCGGAGACAATGGAGATTGGAGTACTTGGGACAATTTCCTGAACCAGGTCGTTTCCGATATGCGAGTCAATAACATGACGGATGGTGTCAAGTTTGACTTATGGAATGAGGCGGACGGCGGCGGCTTTTGGCTCAGAGATCGAAGCCAGTTCATGACCATGTATGCCAGGACGCACAACACGCTACGGTAAGCCGCGAAATCACAATTATTCTGGCAAAGAAATTTCTTGGTAACAGCAAAAACAGGAGCCTTTTTCCCGAAGCGCAGATATTCGGACCAACTTTCACTGGACAGCCAGATCCAGGCAACGTCTGGTGGACAGATTGGTTGAGCATGATTGCGTCGAATAATGTGATACCCGACGTGTATTGCTGGCACCTGATCCGCCAACCAGGAGGATCTGGCGGCGATGATATTACTTACTCGAGGGGCGTCTTTGAGCAGATGCTGCAGCAGTTTGGCCTTCCATCCCGTCCGATCAACATTGACGAATATGGCGTACGATCCCACTATCATTACACGCGGTATTACAGTCAGCTGACGAGAGGACAGTCCCCCGAAGAGCAGGTCCCTGCCAGTTCCGCTTGGTTCATGGCTCGTTTTGAGCGCGAAAACATCCACGGCCTCCGATCAGTCTGGACAGGCGGCCCCTCTCTGCACGACTTCATGACCGACCTTTTGGGTAAGACTGGCGATGGCGTCTACTTTCCCGCAGGCGAATGGCAAGTGTACCGATACTACGGCACGAACATGACGGGCAATCGGGTCGAGACGAACGCATCTGCGGACGGCTTCTTCGACGTATATGCAACCGCGAGCGACCGAGTCAGGATCCTCGGCTCAGCCCATACGCAAACTGGATCTTACACACTCAATGTCGCTGGCATGGCTGATTTTGGCTTTGACACCCATGGAACGGTCAACGTGCAGACGCGGGAGTTCCCGTATGCGGGCCTTCGCGGAGAGGTGGATGCGCCCATTGATCACGGCGTAAGCCAGATTTCGTTCGACAACAACCTGCTGGTCATTCCGGCGACAATTTCAGTGAACACGAGTGCCTATGCTTGGGAGGTATATCGGATAGAGTGAGGTGTCGTGAAGGAAGTCTGGTTAAATATTGGTATCTACCTCTCACTGCCACTTATAGGATGCCATCAACCGGCCATTCGTTCAAGCGCCTGCCTTGACGCAAATTAGAAAGCGGCACATTACACTTTTGACTAGCATCGACTTAATCTTTAGTGTATACCATATGCAATCAGTCCGACCAATGAGTATTCAGTCAATTGATGGATCGGGTAGCTGTCAAAGATGGTCAGATTGATCCATCACTGCGCCTTGTGATCTCCCAGCGACGTCGATTACGATCAGCGAGAACGCCAACGCCCTTATAGCCCATTCTTATCCAAGAAGCCAAACAACACTTGGTATCCAGCCGTCGCATTGAGAGACAATTGGACGACATGTCCAGTGTTGGGCTGGAGGTAGACGTCCAGATCCTTCACGTTGGGATATATACCGTGAAGCTGCGTCATATTAAAGGTCCCAGCGCATTGGCCGGCGCAATAGGCGAAATCGTTTTCACCAACAAAGATCTACATCACATATCAATATCATGGACAGCCCTCTGATTTGTATGAGAAACTTACCTGAAGAGGCCCGGTAAAATCCTCCACAAGATCTCCAACTCCAGTACCAAGCGTCAAGACCTCCCCCACTCCAAGAGTCGACTGGATGGTGTCATTCCAAAGGGTGAGCACATTTGGGTCCAAAGTTTCCTTCTTGAAACTGTCGGCCTGCAGAGCGGTAAGACTGCCGAATGCCAAATAGCCGCTCGTCCGGTTTGCGAAAAGGGCAGGGTTATGCTCGGGAGCATAGGACAAGTCGGCAATCTCGACCTTGAGGCCGGCAAACTGGTTGTCAATCAAGAACCCGGTAAGGATTGCGCCTGCACTGAGGGAGCCGTATCGAGCGAGGAACCAGTTGGTGACGATTGATCCGTAAGAATGGCCCACGTGCACGACCTTGTCTGCTGTATACTCTGTTATGCTGCTGCTTCCTCCTGTCTTCTCCGAGGCTGTGACGATTGTGCCGTCTAAAGCCATTTCGGTGAGAGCGCGAAGAACTTCGCCTTGTAGAGGAACTTGAAGGTCATCGTATGCATCGGGAAGAGACGATTGACCAGCACCGAGGCGATCATAGGCCAGAACAGCGTAACCCTGGGCCAATGCAGCATCGACGAACGAAAATTCGTCCGGACGGTAAGCGGAATCCCAAACCCTACAGCCAGTCGGTGAGCTGTTCACAAAATGGTAGACTACGTAGAGATACTGACCCTTTTGAGAAGCCAACGCCGTGAGATGCAATCATGAGAATATTCTCGCCATTCCGAGGAGTTGGTGGAACACAAAAGTGACCGCTGATCTCAAAGTTTCCGCCGACCGCAATGTTGCCCGCGGAAATCTCGTCAATTGTAAGAGCATCCCATCGGCTAGATAAATTGTACGTCAAGTCAGCAATTTGACAGCACAAAGACGCTTAATGATATATCACAAACTCTCGACTTAGAGTAAACTCAACCGCATCGACATTGCTGTCAACTCTGACGGTATTTAACTTTGTATTATTGGCATGCGCAGTGACAGGGATATTGAGCTCCACGCAGTTAGAAGAAGCGGCAAGGACAAAGCTACTTGTGGCAATGAGAGCCAACGTCACAATAGACCTGGATGTAGGCACCATGATGCGAGGTTTACAGTTCGAAAGAACTGAAGTGAGATTATATCGAGAGAAAACGCTCTCCAGGATATATAAATGGAACAATAGTTTTATACTGTTGCTTTAGATATTGAGTATGTTGCACAGCATACGGCGAGGGCTTGGTAATCGGCATCATTCATCCAGTATGGCAATATCATACACTATCCCCGATCATATCGCCGTACTGAGCCACGCAATAAGCAAACGTACATATGGCCTTGCCTATTGCAGTGCGCACTTCTTCCAATAAGTATACAAGTGCTTACCTGCTAATCGTATATGCGGCTATATGCAAGGATAAAGAGGTGTCTTCATATCGAAGATGCCCTTCGCGCATGGGTTTCTTAAACATCAAGAGGCTTATGAAGTGCTGATTGTTCATGTCAAATACTCGCCTGACATATCGAACCCCAGCAAATGACGTAGACTCTATCATAGCCTCCTTCATAAGTGCCTGCTTTACTTCTTCGCTAACGTATCTGGCAGTATTCTTAAAGTAGCAAAGGGAGTTGGGTGTCTCCAGGTACACACTTCTTGTCCCTTGCCAATATATATACAATCGCTGTATCTTTGAATCGTGTCTCTCAGACGGATTTTACACGCTCAGACTAGAAGATGGAGCCGTCCAAGCACGGTCAGTAAGCTCTTGGGGCGATTGTGCAAATGTAGATGGCTTCATTCAGTCAAGTACCCTGTGTAACATTTGGCCCTTCCTGTCAATCCAGATGTATTCCCTTCCGGTCTCGCTGATTGTGTGTATTATGTAGGTAGTAAGCTCCATTTTCTTCCCTTACGCCTTCAAAGAATGCCTGTCGAGATCACTCATGCTATCCGTCTCGACATATATGGTGGTCTTCTGCATAATCTTCCTAGAGCTAGAGTTGTCGTCCTCCAATCGCTCCCATTGGCCACCAACAGCCGTCGCCTTTCCACTGGTAGTGAGTGTGTCCAGCTGTGTTGACGGAGCGCGGTTATGGCTCCTAACAGCCCCAGAGCCGGTACCATAACCGTGACTTTTGCCAGACGAACCATTCTTGGATGCATCGACGTACTTGCGGACCAAGATGCGAAGCGCTGGGAGACAGGCAGCGATGAGTGCGATTCCACTCTCAAGCAGACACCATAGAGTGATGTAGCCGTTCCAGTCTGTGTACTCAGTATGGTAAGCTTAGCAAATGACGCTGGGCCGTTTGTATGAAACTCACATAGTCGATCCTCCGTAACGAGGTAGTACTTGAGATACGGCGCTCTAACAATGGTAGCCGTGCTCGCAACAGCTCCAAGCCCCAGAATGAGCATCACAATCAACTTCTGTCGGGACGCCATTTGAAGATTGCGCACGATAAAGTACGGCAGAATCGCGCATGTCCAGTCCGTCACAATACCAATCGCCGTCCAAGCATAACCAATGCGAACAACCACCATGAAGTCGCCACAGGTGCCAAGAAGAGGGTTCCAGTATGCTGGGACGGGATGACAATAAAGAAGAGTAGCGAGTATGCCGACGATGGCCATGATGGTGGCCATGAAAAGCATTCCGTAGAGTCCCCAACAATGCCACGGGGTGGTGGTGATGCGGTTAAGTGTAAACACAATCGAGGCCTTAATGAGAGGCATGGAGAAGCCGTATATAACGTTGGAGTACATCATATACTCGGCGCATCGGATCATGAGCAATGGGTTCAATTTCGAGTCGTGCGACCCCAGTCCGTAGAAGCATGCCTTGATGGCAAATATCGCACTCGACAAAAAGGTGCCCTAACGGTCGATTCTCTGGTGAGTAAACACTATCGAGAGCAAAGGAAGCAACGGCTCCATCATGTATGGTCTTGGAGAGATACTGACATAGCCCAGGACGATAAATGTGTCTTCCCATCCCCAGGTTTTCAACGTCTTCTCCATCCATGCTCGAACATATATCCTCAACGCAATGACAATCGTAGACAAAACCGTAAAGATCAAAATGACAATGACAATAGACAAGGCAAGGCCAGTCGGTACAATAGGAGGCTCGGCATATGCTTGCTTCGAAAGCAGTTGTCCCTGCTCCAAAGGCGTGAGAGAAGACGAAGCATCAGCTGCCTGCGGAGCCATGGCGACTGCGGAACCGTAAAGAACAAGCAGAAGAGCACCTGCCTCTGGGGTCAGACATAAGTTACTACAGTAAACCTTGGTTATAACGATGCTGGTCAGCAGCCTTACCGTATCGGTATAGTCAGACTATCATAACAACCAGGTTTAACAGGGGTCAGGTACCAGTCTATTAAAAATAGGTTAAAAATGCATATTAATACGCGCCTAATACAGTAATAAGGTACTAATCTATAGTCTGTTATTATCTAGCCTGATCTTAGTCTATATGCGTTTAGTAAAGAAAAGCGCGGTGTTACTGGTAAAGCGATTAGAGAAGTAGGAAATCTGGTATTTCCTGCTGCTCTTAAAAGTTAATAAGCTTAATAAATACATTAGACGCTGCTGCTATAGAGATAATAAGTAGAAGAAGTCTATTTAAATTATTATCCACATTATCTGCTAAGGCTAATAAAAATTATGCTGCTATTTAATCTAGATTATTATTATCTATATTAAAAATGCGCTCTTTATTAAGGTTAATAAGGGCATCTAGGGTAGCCTTATTAAAGTTAGTAATATAGTTAATTTATATAAGCTCTTAGATATGTATTTAGGTCAGAAGTTTGCAAAAAGCCTTATAAGATTTATTCTAATCTGGCGGCTGTTTAGCAGGTCTGCTAAAGCTGCTAAATAGCTAGGATTTAACCTAGCATGCGTTAATTATATCCTCCTTAATGCCATTACGCTATGCATTAACCAGCCAGCCTACAGCGCATAATAGGGTAACTTCCTTTATTAGATTGCGATTATAAAAGAAGGCATTAGTAATAAACTCTAGCCAGTGCCTTTTATAGTAGACCTTTAGGTTATTAATAATGCCTTAGTCTATTAGCTAATATAAAGAGGTTATATTTACTAGTAAAAAAATAATGTATATATAGTAAAGGATGCCTTTTTTATTAGCTTCCACCTAGGCTTTAATATAGGCACTAAAGTTATTTAACAGCAGCAGCACCTTTTAGCCAGTTATCTAGTTATTAAACTAATATAGCTACTTAAGAAATATCTTATTAGTTATCTAGGCCATTTTATTACTTTAATATTATATTAAGTATATAGAAATTTATATGTTATTTCTACTAAACATGCATAGGTTAGCTGTAGTGCTAATTAGCTAAAGATTAAGTTAGTAAGTGCTATTAGCATTACTATAAGGTAGGATTATTATTTATAACTTGCTGCTTTTACTACTAGATTAAGGCTTAGTAGCTAATGTAATATTAGGCAAAAAACGCTAAAAGAGGCCGGTCTTATTAGCATTATAAATATTATTAGAATTATATTTATTAACAATAACTTAGATAGCTTTAAGGTCTTCTATACAGTTAATCTATAAGGCAGCGCAGGCCTTGCTATGTTAATAGAAGCGTTAGAAGGAATAATATAACTTAAAGCCATCTAGCTAGCTAGTTAAAAACAGCAGTAAAGGCTAGCTGGCATAGTTATTAAGATAAACCTAGAGCTTAGCTGTAATTAATTTAATAATATCTCTAGTCATAAAGGCGCCTTTTCTATTTAGCTAAAGCAGGGCCTTATTAAGAGCTTCTTCTAGTATAAGGTAGTTGCTGCTATAGGCCTTTTTAATATCTTAAAGCTTAGTATTATTATTAAGGTGTTAGTAATAGCTGCTTAGCGACTTAGAAATTATTAACTAGGATAGCCTATACTTAAATTCAGTCTTAGCCTAATAACTAAGCTAGGCTTAGGTCTAGGTTAGATTTTTATTACGTTTTTTCCTTAATAACTAACGTTATTTTTAAAAGATTGAAAATCTGGCTTGCTTTAGCACCAGCAGCATAATTAAATGCATAAAAAAACAGCAAAAAGATATAATTTTAGTGATGTTATTATATATTAAAGGAGGAAGGTTAGGCTGCATTAGCTGAAATTAGCTGCCTAGCTAGGCCTAGGCTAAGGACTAATAATAATATTTATATAGGTTAGTCAGTAAATTCTGGCCGATATCGTTATTATTAAGGTTTTAGGCTTTTTAGTGTAGAAAATAGCTAATCTGGGCCTTCCTATTGGTATAGGCAGATTATCGTTACGGCTGGGGTTCGTTATAACCAAGGTTTACTGTACTAACATGCAGGGCGAACGCAATACAAGCACGTATGTATGGCCTTGAACAGGAAGAGGACAGGACGATATAACCTACATTACCGCCCCCTGAATCTAGCCACGAATTCCCGAAACGGAGGACGACAGGGTATTCAATCCTTCTCCGTAGCGTCACAGGGAGGGCCAAGGTGTCCTGCTGGTTACCTGCCATACTCGTAATTCGAAAAATCCTAACAGACTACATATACCGCTAGCAAGAAAATCTCGTTACTCCTTGGTAGTCCAAATTCATCTCATTACATCGTAGCGGCATGGAGTTGGTTGGAATTGTGCCTGATTGAGGGTTATGTGCGTACAAGTTACTGGATGTTCAAAGCATAATGTACTCTCTTGATGTATTTTTGCTCAATCGTGGACAGCAAGATTACTTCGTTAATCTTCGTTCTGGTCATATTGACTAATGTCCTCCTTTACTCTTACAATATGTATTCGAGAATTTTTGTCTGGGTCGGAGCATATATTAAGCTCACATTTGGCCTAGAGATCGACAGACAATATGGAGTAATCAGAAACTTCAAGCTGTTGGCAATATCTTCACGGGCTCTGCGGGAGGCGGAAGTCCGCTATCTACAGGGGTCATTTTGCTAACCTATGAGCAAGCACACGAAAGGCAATTTATCTCTTACTCGTTGGTAAACCTGCAAAACAAAGAAGAACTACCGTGACTTAGCAGTGATGCATCCTTATTTGGCTTTGGTTGACCCTTACTCTACTTCTGCTCCGAGACAAGGATCTTTTTTGGATGACAGAAATATGGGCAGTATACTGGGATCTTCTGGGCTTAACCGAGTTGTGGAGCAATGCGAGCTGCTCCAATGCTGGGGTCAACTGGCTTCATGATGATTGGTTCTAAATACGATTAAGCATACGTATATGTATAGTGTCTGTAGGAGCATGTTCGTCGAGAATCGCATGATATCTTGCAAGGATGACGCGTCTAGTACAAGGAGTTCGCTTATACTATTCTCTAGGCCAAGTTCGACTTAAGCAGACGAGCTGAAGCACTAGAAGGACATTTGGATAAGATCTTCGGCACTCTGTTGCGTCAATTCTAATTGATTCCTGTTAAACCATGCACGGAGTGTTTTGGCGAAAAAGGAGATGGCGTTCAACTGCCGGAATTGCTGCACTCGACGCTCGCACTAGGCTCTCGCAATCGGCTCCCGCACTATCATCTACAGAGTAGTTATATATCGTCCATTGGTAGAGACTTTTTTTTCTTCTTATCCTGCAGCTGAGCCGCGAACAAATTCCCTATCTGACGTGTCGGCACAAGGTAACGGTACGACACCGCGGGGCTGGCGTTCCGGGTCCCCGTCCCTGGTGATACTACCAACCAACACCAACAAGAGAAATTGACGAATGCTACTCTACGCGGATATAGCTTGTCTCTTTCAAGGATGTCGTGGCATTTAAGTAGTAGTATCCCCGGCACTCCGTTTTTAGTAAGGGGCAAACAACACCAGGATGTCCGCGCCGTTGAAAGTTGTCCCAGGTAGCTGGGATTCCTCCCAACACAATCACATGAAGTAGACCGCCTTTCCTATGTATTCTCCGGCCTTCCGTAATTCTTTATTCTTAGAGAACGCGAGTTATTTTGGATTCTTCTAAAGAGCCTCCGAGTGGTCAAGAGTGTAGAACCGTCCAAAATGTTCGGCAAGCCGGTTACGCCAGCTACGGTCCCTACGGATACTGTTATCCCCTTTCGCTTCTTCGACGATACACCACTATGGACAGCATTTATTCTGTATTCTATGTTTGTATTTGACGATGTGTTGGACTGTGGAAAGCTCCGAGGTAGCCTTGAGAGTTTAGCTATGCGCGATGGCTGGAGCAGACTCGGAGCCCGTCTACGCAAGAATGTCAGTGACAAGAAAATCTCTGGGACGGAGCAAACTAACGCCGCTTGCAGGCTCAAGGACATCTTGAATATCATGTCCCGGCTGAGTTCACAAAGCAGCGCCGAGCTCTCACATACACCCATACAACCCATGATATGAATGCTGCAGATCACCCGATTGCGTCAAAAATTCCCACTCCGAGCTCAAAGCCAGCCGTCGTATGCGACCCTGACGATTTCCGAGAATTATTTCGCCCCGAAGGCGGCCCAGTCAGCCTAGAAGACTATCTGAACCGAGACATTCCTCAACTGGGTCTTCACATCGTTTCCTTCCGGGACAAGACATTAGTTGCCATATACTGGCCCCATACTCTTATGGATGCCCTAGGCAAAAGGGCCTTGCTAGACGCGTGGACCTTGATGCTCCAAGGTCGAGAGGACGAGATAATCTCTCCCCAAGGCGGCGACGGCGATCCGTTGGCAGAGCTGGGCAAAAGTCCCACAGAGCCTCACAAGCTGGCGTCTCAGCGTTTGTCCATGTTCGGACTGGGCTACTATGGGATCAGCAATGCCCTCGACTTCTTTCGCGCGCAAGAGCATCGCATGGTTTGTGTTCCTGGATCTTTCGTGGAGAAGCTTCGCAAGGAGGCAATGAGTGAGCTCGCGTCCGAAGCTGCTGAAAACACTTTCCTGACTGAAGGCGATGTTCTCTGCGCCTGGTGGACTAAAATGGCTACCTCACATCTGCCATCGAATAGTCAGAGGACGGTTTCGATCAACAACGCATTCTCTCTAAGAAAGTCACTGGAGACAGATCTGCTCCCCAAGGGAGCTCCATATGTGTCCAACGCCATCGGCTTCATCAACGTGCTGCTACCTGTACAGTCCATATTCGAGAAGCCACTGAGCTACATTGCCGCCGCTACTCGAAGCGCAATTCAAGAACTCGGTTCCCGTTCCCAGGTTGAGGCCTTTGCCGCTCTGTGGCGAGAATCCGGTGCCAGAATCCCACCTTTCTTCGGCAACGGCAGCATGTACATGATCACATACTCAAACTGGTGCAAGGCAAAGCTTTTTGATGTGGACCTTTCTGCAGCCGTTGTTAAGCCAGGCAGGGAGGGTGGGAGATCAGGTACACCGACCTATATACAAAATAACCAGTTCGGTTTGGTGCTGCCGAATGGCTTTCCGATCATTGGCCAGGACAAGGATGGGAATTTTTGGCTTTCGGGATACATGAATAAGGGGCTTTGGGGGCGGATAGAAGAACAGCTTGCGCAGATTTAGAGGTGGTGTTGGTTTATTGGGTACTAATTCATATGTAAGGACTACTGCTGGCAAAGGTGGTATGAAACCCAGGAAGCACAATTTAATAATAATTGACAGATTGCACCTTAGCATACGGCACAGTCATATATATTAGGAGTATGCAACTGCTAATGAACTGCTGACTTCAAGGCCAAGAGACAATTTCTGTCAAAGCAGCTTGCCACCCTTTCATCGCATACCGCATTTCCACCCAGTGACCCTTTTTCGCCATTCCACCGAGCCAAGTTGAACCAGCCAGTCGATAAATGCTGAGCAATCAATCTCAACTTAGTTGCTGACACTCTGCGAGGCCGAACCACTGCCACCCCAGCCCTCAACAGCCACAACCTGATAGTTCATCTGGCCCAAGTTCAGGCCAAGCGAGGCCCAAGCATTGAAGTGGTTCTGCACAGTAACAGTTCCGCTGGTCCTGGGCGAGTTCCGCACGGAAATGTACTGGTTGAAGGTCGCCGTGCCGACGATTGAAGGCTCGTTGACGCGAGTGTTCTCCCAGATGGTGTAAGTGCCTCCGTCGCTAGTGACGGTTCCCTTGACGGTACCCTGTGCTGGGTAATTGTGGTTGTCCTCCATGATGTAGTATTCAACCAGGGGGTTGGTGCTCCAGCCATAGACGGAGAGCAGGCCAGTTCCGCTGTTGACACTGAAGGAGCCGCCAAAGTTGATGGGGCTGCAACAGAATTCTATTAGCAGGTGCCATCACAATGCACAATGGTGTTCTTACGCAGAGGATCCAACCGTCCAGCCGACTCCCACAACAAAGTCATTCTGAGTGTTCCAGTTCACTGAGAATCCAGTGCCGGAAGGCGAATAGCTGACTTGCCCGCCAGTTTGGTAGTTCTGGTCATAGTTGATGGCGGCACGACGGCGGTGATCGTTGTGGGCTCCGAGGACAAAGTCGTACATGCCACGCTCCGTGACGTTGACACTGCTCTCAGGCTCGAGGCCTGTGGGCATCGCCAGAGTACCGGCAATGCCGGCGAAAGCCGCTACGAGGCTGGTAAAAGCGACCATGATGGTTTCTTGTGCGTTTGTTCCTTGGAGTGAATGCTGTGCAGATGAGCTTGTCGCCTCACCATCATCATGTCTTCTCCCATGGCTTTATATATGCGGATTCTTCCCCATTGACGACTTTTTCCATCACGATCAAGCCTTCGACTCCCATTCTCTCGATGAAACTCGGACATCTTCAACTGAGGTTGAAAGCGGCTTGTACGGTATCCTCGAAGCTTGGCATTTTGCCTAAAGCACTCTCTTCAGGTATCGGATCAAACGGCATCGGAGTGCCGAGAGTAGATTAAACGCCACCCGCAATGTCGTCGCATATCGATCTCCATTGACTACTGGAGTATCCCAGTAATGCATCAAATCCGGCGCTTCGGGCCTCAAGCGGCTCGTTTCCCCAGATCTGGGGTGCATCCGGCTAAGATGCCGTATTTAGCCTGCCAATCAGGTCGACACACTACATGACGGACTTGCGGAGGACGTAGTATTCCAGTGGACCGCATTTGCATTCTCGTGGAGTTTTTACGTAGTCTCTTGAGGGGCTTTGCTTCAGAATGATGAACAAATCGGCAGGAGAATGCCTTGGAATGGAATGACTGGTCACAAGGAAGAAATCATGGCCTTCTATTTCTGCATGCCTGAAACCAGCTGCTCTCGAGTTATCGGCTGCGAATACCCAGTGGGTGCCAAGCGTCATGAGCAATGCGGGAGTGCTTCGGTAGTTGTAGCTGTTTTCACGGTATTGCGAACCGGGCCCGCAGGGGGGAGACGCCCACAGTTTCTGTAACTCCGTCTTGGTGTTTCTTCTCATGCACAGGACCTGAAAATCTTCACTTAGCATCTTCTAAACTGGACTACAGCTAGCATCCTCTCACCATAACAGAATACACAACGGCTACTCATGATGATCTGTCTTATCAAGGCCGATGTGTCCCTGGTATTCGAAACTTGGACACAGAAGCGGGCAGATCAAGTATTGCAAGGCGAGCTATTAATGGCGTAATTTTGGTGCATACAATTGCTTTGCAGAAATCTACAGCATTCTTTCCATCCCCATGACGTGACTTGCTCTACTCCGGCTACTCGGAAGCCATCACAACGCGTAGTAAGGCAATTCATCCGCTCTCTCCGTATGCGCAGACTGGATATCCCTTGGTCCGAGGGATAAATCGCCATTGTTTGGGAACATTTTCCTGATCATGGAAGAAGGGCAAGGAATGATTCTGAGTATTTCTCGTAACTTGGATAGATGAGGTTGTCGATGGAGTTGTAGATGGCGTCAGCTTGTCTGGCAAATCGGCAAGCTATATCCGATCAGCGTTGGACTCTTTTTCTCATTGGATCAATTAACTCTAGTACACGTGTAGTTTTAACCCTCTGCAGCAGAGTAGATCCGGTTGGGCAGCCAAGGCAGAGCTCGATGGAGTCCTGTCACAAGCCTGAGGAGCGGACAGAAAAGGTAAGGATTTGCCATCACAAGAAAAGCTTCAATCTGCCAGCCAACGAGATATTGCTAAAATTAAGTCTTCAATTAGGCATAATCTTAGTGAAGTAGAAAAGCAGATTTAGCCTAATTGTCAAAGGAGAATCTGATAACTCATCATAACAGGACATCCAAGGGAGACTGGAAGTACGTCTGGCTCAGAAGCAAGATATAAGCACTGCAGAAGTACGTTCTTCAAATCCGGTATCTCTGGGATTCATCAACACTCATTGCACCTTACAATTATCAGTGCTTGAGTACCTACTCGCTGGCCAGACTCATTCATCAACACATTGCCCAAATTCTTAAGCCTTCAGATCTCTCTGGCTCATCGGCCTTGGGGCTTGATTTCTCTTCCATTTGACGCCATGGATCACTAATGAAAAGAGTTTGAGATTCAAGGAAGCTTATGATGGTATCGCCAACAGATATGAGTATCTCTTCTCTGAATCTATTCCACCAAAGCTGCCAGTGCACACCTCTCACTCTCAAGGTCAATGCACCCTTTCAGCGCGATTATTGATGTTTGAGGACAACTTCCTTACTCCGCAGACGATCTTCCGACAATGACAATTACCACCATCTCGTGCCTTGAGGAGTACAATTACAGATCCAACTGCAATACCTAGTGACCCGAGAAACCGATTGTACACGGGACCGATGTGTCAGTACGGCCAGCATAAATTTCCCCCTCGAGACACAACATAAGAGATACTTTCGGCTCAACTCAAAACAGCCCGTTCACGTGGAAGATAGCAACGGAGGCCTGTCGCAATGGTACAAGCCCTGGTACAATCTGGAGAATCCTCGCTTGAGTGCAGTTATACAGATACGATACAAATGAATCACGAAAGTGCTTGACGGCGACAACAGCTAGACAAAAAGTCAGGTTTGAGGTATGCAGGACCAACATCCCCCTTCGGTCCAGTAACATGCACGTGTGCGTATGCATTACTAGCATGGCCTTCTGAGCGTAAATTGTACCCTGTGGCCACCGGACAATACATACGCGTAGGTACTCCGTACTCTAAATTGTTTTTGCAACCTGTCACTGGAGAACCAGGGTTTCAGGTTAGACAGGGTATGTATCCCTGCTTCGTTTCGAGTGTCGTACGTCACCCGGAGGATTGTGGTCTGACAGCAAGGTTGGTAAGTTTCATGGGCGATGTTTGGGGCAAACAGCACCATCATCTGCAATCGTGTTCAGGGACTATAAGGTTAGCCATTTAGGTGAAGAGAGCCATACTCGGGTACCGAGGCTTCGGAGAGTGAGTCTATGTCCATGGGATGACCTATGAAGTAAGCGATGTATATCAGTAGCATCATCGTTCTATTTTGCTTCACAGTCAGCACAATACCTGGTGATTTGGAATGCTCTTGAAACACTCGTATAAGCTGCTCCGATCGATGTCGCCGACCATATGGAAGGATACTTGAAGTAGCATCGATCACTGGCCATTCTCCATGTTCCATACTACCGACGGGTATTCCGGAACAAAGATGGTATCCGATGGAACGCTCTCATAAAAGCTGAAGATTGATGACATGTGTTTGGATAACCGATGCACCTTCAACTATAAGTGAATTGGCGGTCGTCGATGATCGTTTCTTTGCATCGCCATGCTTCTCCACTCCTAGGCCGTCGAAAAATATTGCAAGGACCACAATAATCTCGCATCTCTAACCAGTACGAATGTATGTTTCTAGTCCGACGGTACATAGAATTACATGATGGACGGCCTGACATTGGATGCGTTCAAATGCTGCCCTCAGACAAGAGTCTCTCGGAGTAGATATACTGGTTCACATGCGAAGTGCACAATGGTTCAGCTTTGGTGGCGATTCAACTCTACCCTGTATTTCCGTATCTTACTACTAAAGATGTTCTCTGTGCATCAACGGGGAGCGGCCCGATACGCAGTTCACGTGCACCAGTTGAGGTTACATTGAGGAGAGCGGAATACCGAAAGCCACCCGAAGACTGGAAGATCGATCGACGCGGGGTGCATGTAATCTATTCGATAGACTATTCTCGCCAACAGGATAAGACTTGAGTCAAAGTTGTCAAATAGTCTCAAAGAAGACAACTTTCTCTGCTGTACGGGACAGACTATTCTGGGGCAATATCACGCTCTGCCTTATTCACTGCAAAGAGGTTCAGTCCTGACCCCAGCAAATTCCAGCAAAGATCGGGCTTACACAATACTGCTCCGATCTCCGAGTTATGGCAAAATGAGCCTTACTCGTACCTTCTATGATCCTCTTCGCGGATAGGTTAGGATTCATCGCGTCAACTCAATCTAATCAACGTATACGACTAGAAGCAGCAGCTAAAAACATGCTGCAACTCGGAAGACTGGACCGAGGTTCCGGCCTATGGAAACACCGAAACACCGACATAATGTGGACGGCCCGGGAAAATGCCAAGGCATCGGATTGGCGCGCTTTTGACCTTCAATTTACGGCTGCAACTCTAAATAACACCTTGTATAATAGAAACTGGCCCTCGCCATTTAAAGTATCAACTAGAATACACTGGAGAAAGAAATGGTTGGTGGAAAGACGACAGCTGAACGGACTTCAACCCCGGAATATAGGAGAAACCGTCTGCAAAACATCATAACTCCATCATATGTTGCCTCTACACTGTGGTATTTCATTACGCAAAGGCCTCAACACCGCATACCCGTCGTCAATTTGGGGTTGCGCTCGTGGAGTTCGACCTCAAACTGGCAGCAGAGGCGAGGCCCAGAGCTCCTGCACGAGATTACAGCCTGTTCTTCTGAAACAGCCTGAGATGAAAACTCGCGGCCCAGAATACAGGGGTTGGGGTCTATAAAAGGGGGTCTTCGGTTCTCAACGAAATATCAACAAGTCGAGAAGCCATCGACTCTGCAAAGACATATATCAAGAAGCATCACAGTTATTGAACAACATGGTCAAGTTATCACTTCTTCTCGGCGCTGCCGCAGCTTCAGTCTGCGTGCAAGCTCATGTTGTGCCTCCTCCTACCGTTACCCAGCCACCCAAGCTCGAGGATCGTGCCACCACTTGCACCTTTTCCGGTTCCAATGGTGCATCTTCGGCGAGCAAGTCGCAGAAGTCGTGTGCCACCATCGTGCTCTCGAACGTTGCCGTCCCTTCTGGGGTGACGCTCGATCTCAGTGACTTGAATGATGGCACTACCGTAAGTATCATAAAGCAAGGCGTACTTTCCATAAGAAGTTGCTGACTAGAATGGACATCTACAGGTCATCTTTGAGGGCACCACGACTTGGGGCTACAAGGAATGGTCCGGCCCTCTCCTGCAAATCGAGGGCGACGACATCACCATTCAAGGAGCCAGCGGTGCCGTTTTGGACGCTGGTGGATCCCGCTGGTGGGATGGTGAAGGAAGCAATGGCGGCAAGACGAAGCCCAAGTTCTTTGCTGCCCATGACCTCACCTCCTCGTCCATCACCAACTTGTACATTAAGAACACGCCCGTGCAGGCCGTCAGCGTCAACGGCGTGAATGGACTGACCAT